ATTTTCATATAGATATCTATATCAAATGAACCATATAAAATAGACAATCATTTAATGTCTATATGCCCGATAAGAGTTATATTCAAGATCCTCATAATTATTCACAATATTAAATGTTATAGCATATGTAAAAATACAGTCGATATTTATTTTATATTGATTCCATCTTTTCTTTGACATGACATAACTTATTGAGATCTCATTATTTTCATCAAAATCATTAGTTTCAGGCACCTAAATTTAGTCTGAAAATTATTTATCAATCATGTCTAAGATCTCTTCTATAGAATATAACATATTTACTCATTTTCATTTTCAATGATTTTTGTCCTTGGAATTGATCAATCTACTACGCTTCAGTTGTGCAATAGATTTATTAACATATACAATTTTATCCTTCAGGGACTTCGATTATAGTAGGAGTTTAGCAACTGATTTACAATAGTTTGCAAAATAACTATCTTTTGAACTTCTAGTTCATACAACCTTGTGAGAGGATCAAAATTTGATAGTAATAATTATTTTTTAAGTAATTAGCATTTCAGCTGCTTATTCCCCTCCCCCCCCCCCCCCTGTAATTTGATTAAAATAATTCTTCTGGAATTTTAACTTATATGCTTCAGCATTTTAAATCCTTCAAGATTTTCATAACCAATCCAAGAAAGAATGGAAACATGATTGAATCACATCATCTGTTTATTTTCCACCATAGATCACATGAATTATACTCAGCCATATCTTAAGACGATTATACCACCTTTGCAAAATAATTTTCTTTAACCATATATAAAATCTTTATAATTTATTTTAATGTATTTTAGGGGTTTCAATTTTGCATGCTTCAAGCAATGTTAAATCCTTCAAGGACTATTAATTATCAAGTACATATTAAAGCCTCTATATAATTTTTACAAGAATTGAAGTTTGGCTTCAAAGCAACTTAAATCTTTTAGAATTTTCATATAGATATCTATATCCAAATGAACCATATAAAATAGACAATCATTAATGTCTATATGCCCGATAAGAGTTATATTCAAATCCTCATTAATTATTCACAATACTTAAATGTTCTATAGCATATGAAACTACAGTCGAATTTATTTATATTTGATTCCATCTTTCTTTGACCATGACATAACTGTATTGAGATCTCATTATTTTCATCCAAAAATCATTAGTTTCAGGCACCTTAAATTTAGTCTGAAAATTATTTATCAATCATGTCTAAGATCTTCTTCTATAGAATACTAAACATATTTACTTCATTTTTCAATTTTCAAGTGATTTTTGCTCTTGGAATTGAATCAAGTCTACTAGCTTCAAGTGTGCAATAGATTTATTAACATATACAATTTTATCCTTCAGGGACTTCGATTAATAGTAGGAGGTTTAGCAAACTGATTTTCACAATTAGTTTGCAAATTAACTATCTTTTGAACTTTCTAGTTCATACAAACCTTTAGAGAGGCAATTCAAAAAATTGATAGCTAATAATTATTTTAAGTAATTTAGCATTTCAGCTGCTTATTCCCCTCCCCCCCCCCCCCCCTCTCAATGTAGGGGGGGTCCATAACCAATCAAGAACTTAGGCATTCAGTTTGGCCTTTATCTCTCCCTAATGTTGGGATCCAAAACAATCAACAATTTACGATAGTTCAATTCTCTTTATTTAACAGATTCTAGATATGAAAATTGAAACTTCATTACCTGACATTATCTATAACTTTGCTTTGGAGGATCCATATTCAAAAAGAAGAAAGAAATTTATAAATAACTATGTTGGCTTAATGCGCAATAATTACTATGTATCACAATTAACAATAGCCCTCCCCCCCCCCCCTCTCAATGTAGGGGTCCATAACAATCAAGAACTTAGCATTTTCAGTTGCTTATTCTCTCCCCTAATGTTGGGATCCATAACAATCAACAAATTTAGCGATAGTCAATTCTCTTTATTTAAAATTCTAGATATGAAAATGAAACTTCATACCTGACATATCTATAACTTGCTTTGAGGATCCATATTCAAAAAGAGAAAGAATTTATAATAACTTGTTGGCTTAATGCGAATAATTACTATTGTATACAATAACAATAGCCCTATGCATAAATAGAGAACTTTGTTTTCATAAAAATTATTTTGAGAACACAACCATTAAAATTTATTAGATTCGAAGAAACTTCTGATTCTCTAATAATTATCCATATAAAGATTTAATTTCTTTTCGCATCAATATTGATTCAAAATAGCACAACTGATCGTTATCAAACAATAAAAATATTTTGAATTTGTAAACTTCTAGTTTACAACTATATTCATACAATTATTATTTCTATATGAATATTCATTTCACTTATCCAAATAATAATATTTGCTCTTCAAGAGCTTTTGATGATACTTTTAATACCAAAAGGCCAAAATTTGCTTTCATATGTTTTGATGTACAATAAGTACATAATCAACATATTATATTATTTTTTGCCACTTCTAGTGATAAGATTTATTTTGATTACTTTTGGTTACCACAATTACAAAGATTAGTAATTCAATAACGATCTTATTAATATTCTCCATGATAAGAATATTATTGTTATTATTCACATTCATACCCAATATTATATGTTACTGCATTCAATTCAGGAAATGAAATGAATCTAATTGAATGGGTTTCATTTCATGACATCTTATATATCACGATCATAAATATGTTATTGTTTTTGTTTATGCTCAATATGATCATATACCATTTCATTCACCTCAAGGAATGGAAACAAATCTATGTGAATTAAGATCAATAACAAAAAGACTAAAACTAATTTAAAATTCTCAATCGATATATTAAAACATTTTTTTTTTTGAAAAATGCTATTGCAGGAGCATATTCAAAAATACAAAATATTATTCACGGTTCATAAATTAAATAAGTGGACATTTAATTGTTAAATATCTAGTGAAAGAAAATTATCATTTTAGTGCAAATTCGACTAATTCCTTGATTTTCTTCCTTATTGTGGCTTTAGGACACATGATATTCACATATAAAGATAAATAATTCATACTCAATATATATTAAAAGTCACAAATCCAAGTTCTATGAGATTTGACTTGATAAAATAACAATAGCATACCAATTTGATTTTAGAATTATATTCTATATAATAACCAACCAAATATAAAATTAAAATATATATAATTAAGATCTAAAATATATATAAGACAAAATTGTATATAAAATTACCTTTTAAGCATGAGCAGTCTTAGATATATAACTTTTAACTTTGGTTGTTGCAAACCGTGAGTTATTCTTTTTTTTAACCAATTTCAAACATAAAACACCATAGAAGTTTATTAAAAAATTGTAGAACCAATTTATATAATTTGATTACAGTTTCGTGCTAATAACGTGTTATAAAAATATAAAAAATATAAAAAGAGAAGAGAGAAAGAGATTTATAATATTAGAATCTTAGTTACATGATGAAAAGGATTAAGGAACTACTTATAGGATACAAAATATGGTCTAAAAGTCATAACCTTATGCATTAAAAGATATAATCTTTCATCCTAAAGGACATAACCATTTATTTCAAAGGTCATAACTTTTGGAGAAATAAATAATATCTTTAATAAATTTAATGGATATCCATTACATGGTTTTATAACAAAAATAAATTTATTAGTAATTATTAATTTGTAAATTTAGATAAGCAGATTATTAATTTAGGTTAGACAAATAGATTTATTCATTCTTGTTTGAACAATAACTTAATGTATTTGCCCCATCCTTGATATTTTTGTCAAAAATTTTACATAGGTACTAGTATAAGATACATTATTCATATCTAATCTAATCTAAACTATAAATAATTATTAATAAAGTATACCTTAACAAATGATATTTTTTCAATGTTATCCTCATTTACAGTATATATAAAAAATACTTTCACAAGTAACTATTGATTTTAAGATAAGTGATAATCTGGTCAATTTACCTTTAGTTTTGTTACAATCTAAGAGAATTAATTGCTTCTTTGATAATCGTGTAAAAACATTAAAAGACTTATATTTATATTTTGAGATAGAGGGAGTATAAAATACTAGCTTTGATTTTTTTTTTTTTTTTTAAGATGAATATAATGAAAACATAATTTTTGAATTTTTAAATAATTCTCAAATTGATTTTTTAATAATATATTAGATAAAGAAAATTTTAATTGTCATAAAAGCTTTATGAAATTTATGTATCCATATAAATAACATTATCAATTTATGTGTTAAAAGAAACCTATAAATAATAGGTTTTTTTACCGGTTTATTTTGTATAATTAGATAATTTTTCATAAAAACTTAAAACTTTGTATTTCTTTTTTATGTTTATCTCCGAAAATGCAAATCATCACCTACTGGCATCTAGCCCAATTTTCTTTAATCTTTCTTGTACTTTTTGTTTTTTTAATAATTTTTAGATTTGTGCCTTTTTGATATAAATCTGAATTATTGTTGCTTATACATTGAGATTATTGTTACACATATCCACATATCTTGAAATTTTGGTCTCAGATCTAATTGTTTTGATTAAGTTTATTGATGGAAAGGAAACAAAATTTTAATATAGGAATAAATGAATATTACACATAATTATTTGACTATTTATTAGAATTCATAAATATATCTTCAGAAATAATTTTTACATTTAATTGAATAAAACCAAATTATATTTATATAATTTTTTTCAGTGTTAGACCACAAATGAAACTCAGATATTCAAAATATTTACATGACATAATATTATTGAAAGCCATTATTGATGGATTTATAAGTGATTCAACAAAGATGTTTTAGTATGAAGTGAAAATTCGTAGATGGGCAGGGGTGTGAACTGAAAATGGTAGAATTCATAAAGATACAGAAACCTTTAGATTTTCAAAGGGCGGATTTTGTAGTGTCTGCTGCTTTCCTAGATTGAGCTGTAATTTTACATGATCACCTTCTCAAATTGGACATAATCAAATTTCACATTCAATTACTCAAAAAATATTGGAAATCGGAGTATAAAAGAATATAGAGGCAACTGGTTTACAAAGTAAAAGGTCTCCAATGATATTAAGCTATTGCTCTACAGAATACAAAGTTCATTCACTTACACAACTTTCGTTAAAACCATCATGGGTATATATCATCAAACATGATGATTGTTGCTCAGCTGCATCAGAGAGAATGAACTCAGTTGAATTAATCCATCAACCCATTGTCGATGAAAATAAATCATTTTAGCAAAACAGCATTCAAGGGTTTTGGTTAAAATGACTTCACCAGTTGATTTAGGTATTCGCTTTCTCCAGACTTGCCATATATGTCATATATACAGTCCATAGATATGAAAATGAATTGCTCACCAGTGGCTGCAAAGTGTAAACAATAATATTATAAACAGATTAAAAAAATAAAGAAATTTTGGGAGAGAGAGAGAGAGAGAGGGAGGGGAAGGAAAAAGAGAAGAGAAGGGGAACACATTGCTGAGTCATAAATCGATCCATACCTGTAAATGGACAGGGATGAATTTGAATGTGATAAAATCACATACAGGCCAATACATGACACCATTCATCATTGTAGGCAGTAAATCCCGATTTAATCGGGCAACAATCTCCTGATTATTCTCACCTGTGCTTAACCACAACAGCAACATTTAAAACATGAGTAAGGAGTAGAATCTATTTAAAGGCATCTATGCTTCATGCAGTCTTTTGTGGAACACAACTTCACCTTTGTGTTATAAGGAATAGCAGGAACATGCTACACACAGGATCTTTTGCCTCCAAGTTCCAAGAGTTCCAAATAATCATATTTAAAAATCAAACTTTGAAAAAATTATTATTCTGTTGAAATATAAATTTTCAAACCAAGTCTGATTAAGCTCACAATTGTTTCTGAAAGTTTAGTTTTACTACACATATTGGAGATACTATCAAGTAACTTGTATTGTAGTTCAAACAGGGGAACAGAGTTTTTTGTTTCCCTCTCGGTGTATTAGCAATTTAGGTCCTTTAGACCATCGATTATCTCACAGCCTTGCTAGCTTAGAGTCAAAGATTTCTTTTACTGTTACTATTTATATTATGTTTTAGCTTGAGAACTAGGGGAATGCTCCTTTATTAGCCAAGAATTAAACAGGTCAAGGATTGCTTCTAACACACTGAAGTACTTTTAGTATATCATCAAGTTATCAATCATTTCCAGCATTGACCATAACATCATTTCATTGAAATATTTCAATTCACCCAATTGAATAGTATCCTAGACCTAGGAGTCCATTCAAAATTCAGGAAAAAATCTAAGATTGTCTAAAATAGTTCCAATAATAATAATAATAATAAAAAGACATGCATGATAGGTGAGATTATTTTACTTTGGGCAAAAGAAGCGAAGACAGCAAAATAATGAAAGAAATAAACACTCTCAGGTTGTACCAGTATGCTTATAGAAAATGTGGAAAAGCAAACATCTGGTACTTACCCTGCAGGCGTGCATTCAAAGAGAAGAAAAGAACAGTCATGGCTGGTCCATAAAGAGTCTGCCCCAAGATAATTTTCTTAAATGTTGTGATTAAATCTCGCTTGGGGAATTGTTTTGATACAAAGTTGAACCAAAAATGCAGTGATGGCCCTAAAATCACCATTCCGTATCCTGCCATGCGCAGTGTCCTCACCAAATCATAAGTTTCTGAATCTGGCTTTACAATTGTCTGAAGGAAATTGACGTGAAATCCCCATAAATGACATCAGACAATAGCACGTATACATTTGTTAATGTTTAATATAACTCACAACGCATTAATATAGACGAAAAAACTGGTACAACCACATAAAACTTTTTGAATATAAAGGAAAGCAACAAATTAATACACAATAAACCATGCATAGGAAATAATAAGATATGATGCCATTCGTAATTCATATGTCATATCAAGATGACTCAAAAGCAAAATTTAGCCGACACATTGTAAACAAAAAACAAAAGTGAACTCATGTTATTGCAGCACCTTTCGTATCTTTTTTCTTTATCCCCTTCAAATAAATGGTAAGCAAGTACTATTTTAGATTTTTTCCTGCTTAGAGATGACTAAGATGAGCTTGGTAAATATCATTTCTAAGTTGTAATGTAAATCTAAAAAAGAGAGTGGACTGTGTATAGAACTAAGATAAGTAATCAAGAAGAAGGACAATAGATTATTGGAATAAACAATTTATTACCAATATTACTCTTATGATGAAAACTAAGAATCAATTAACATCATTTCAAGTTTACGCCAATCAACTATTGTGAATGTCAACAAAGAGATTGTGAATAGTGAAGAAGACAAATGACTGTACAAAATCAAAAGGCTTGAGAAAACAATGCCCTGAAGAGAAAAAACTCAAAAGTATTGGAATGAGAATCCAATAGAATGAGTCACATTTGAAGCATTTGAAAAGGATTATCAGTATTGGAATGAAAATCCCATTTGAAGGAAGCCTCACATATCACTTGCAGGAAAACGGAAAAAAAGAATTCCGTTCATATCTATCTTAATTCAAAGGAGAAAATAAGAGAGCTCAATATCAAAATTAATGAGCTTTGTTGAATTCAATAATGATACATAAAAAAATATTGAGTTTTTCCATATCAAACAAAAAACCATATATAATTTTTCCAATTCATCCTTCTCCTCACAAAATTGCAAAATAAGACTCACAGCAGCATTAGGAAATAGATAATTTTTAGAAACGAAAGAACTCCTAAATACCAATATCTAAAACATAGAAAAATTACAAAAAGCATAACATCAAAAGGGCCACATATAATTTTAGAAGTCTAAAAAGAAAAATCAAACGAACTAAAAAAAATCAACCCAATTTGTAAGAACAAAGACTACAAAATACAGGGATCGCATTTGATTATACTCATCTACCAATTTACCTGAGAAGACAAGTCGGCGGCAACATAGATAAGCGATGAAGTGACACTTTTTGTCAAAATGGGCCTTGACTTTACCATAGCCAAGTACCATCCGACGAAAGACGCCGTTACATTCGATGAAGAAGAACCGGAAGATAATGCAGAGGTGAAAAACGAAGGAGATAGGTCATTATACTCTCTAGTTTTCCTAAAAATTTGTGAGAAACGAAAGAAAGCTCTGGACTGTGTAGTTTGGTGTTTGAAAATTGAATGAATTGCCGTCGCCGCCGTTGTAGTTGGGTCTACTCCGGCGATGTCAGTGATCGTGTGGCTGCGTAATAGCCGGTGGATGCTAGATTTCCTCAAGAAAGAGGCGCTCATTTTGGGGTTTCCTGAAGGTTTGGGAATTACGAAGGGTTTTTGGGAGGAGGTTGGGGTTTTAGTTATACGAACGAGAAAGCATGAAAGAAAAAACTGTGGCAACAAACAGCCTATACCAAACACAACAGAAATGAGGGTTTTTGTAATCGCTACATTCTCGAGTATGAATATCTACCTGTACTCGCTTTTGCTTCCTCTAGGTTATTTCTATTGGCATTATTATACTAAATTTCTTCTATCATTATTTAATTTTGAAATATCAAAATGACGTAAAAATCCTTTTCCCCACATGCATATTCATTTTGGGTATGTATTGGAGGGTTAAAATTGGAAAAATAAATAAAATAGATGAAAAAATGGATTTCGTTCATAACACTGACTAGATACAATAATCTCTTATTTGCAATAAGTAAATTCTATAAAATTGTGTGAAATTCAATTTTATAGATTCACACGTCCGTAAATGAAAAATTTATTAAAATAGATAAAACTTTTAAATGAAAACAATTCAAAACTTAAAAGGTAACAAATTGTACCTTTAATATTACCAAATTTAATAAAATTATATATTTCTCTGCACTAAAAATAATAGTTTTTAAAATTTATAATTTATATATGTAAAATACTGATTTGATATATGCTATCTCCGTTTTTAAATATTTGTTACATTTAAAAAATTACTATATCATAAAATATTTGACACATCTATGGTTTCAAAGAGTAATAAAATATTTTTTCATGTTTATTATTTATATATAATCAACATCTTTTGTTTTAGTTCCTTAAAATTTTGGTATTTGAATATATTAAATTACGAATAATATACTCAATTTACTCAATAATTTATTATAATCAAGACAAATTTAATAATTTTCTTAAAAAATATAAAATTTCAAATGTTATAAATATTAAGGAATAGAGGTAATAGCTAATACCATTTTGGAATAATAATTTTGCACTTGTTTTGTGGTTATCACAAATTTCCTCATGGAACTAATGCTTGATGTGTTATCCAAAACATTCAATTATGAAAAAATATTTTTTATATAAAAATAATGTTTGATTTATATCAATTTAATATAATTCAATTTTTAATTAAATAAAAACTCATTATGTTTGAATGGACCTAATTTTTATTTTTTAAATTGGTTTAATTTAATAGATTTTGACTATTTTTGAAAATAAAAAGCTTCCAAACTGATTGAAATTGAAATCAGTAAATTTTGAATCAGTCTCAATTTCGGATTGCCGACATTAGAATCGATAATTTTTTGAACTAAAACGATCTTGTCACCAAATTGGATGCCCTAGTCTTAATTATACTACAACATGCAATATATATATATAGAGAGAGAGAGAGAGAGAGAGAGAGCAGCGCGTAGCAATCAGTCATTGATGCTGCGAATATGTGTAATGAGAAGGTGGGAGCCGGACGCTTTGAAAAGTCACAGGCTCACAGCATCACCACCGAACGAAACTTGAAAATTTTAGTACTTTTCTTTCCAAGAGTTCAGCTCACATCACTTTCGTGACACGCATCTTCTCTAGCCATTGTTTTTCTGCCACGTATATGGAAAAAATTTACACGTCATAATTTATGAATCAAAATTCAAAACACCTTGTCCAACCGTTAACATGCGGCTGTTTTTCCCTTCCCTTCAGGTTCGGTTATTGAAGAAATCAGAACCATCCATCTATAATAATAATTATTAATATTTTTTATTATTTTAATAAAAGTAAAATCAAAATGACATTAGAAGGGAGAGGAAATCATATTCCCAAAAGAAAAAAGCAGTGGCAAATCCCACGTGTGACAAAAACAAGTGTTTTCACTTACCATGTCTAAAGAAGTAATTCGGTCAAAGCTGATCACACATCCCTACTCTAAATAAATAAATAAAGCTTGTTCACAAATTTTTATTTGCGCACTGACATTGATTAAATTCATTAAAGATGTATTATTAATTCATTATGTTATTGCTTTATATGTTATGTAATAAATTTTGATTAAGTTTAATCATTAAGTTAATGTATAGAAGTAAATCTTAGTTTAAGAATTTTTTTTTTTAAAAAGAAAATAATAAACTACTTAAGAATGTTTTGATAAAAATTAAATCTATGGTTAAAACTCTAGGATATAATTTTTTTGCTTTTGCAAATTAAACATGAATAAACATGCAAATAAGGTTTAGTATATGCATTTTTTTTTTCTCTTTTTTGTCTTCTTTTAGTTTTTGTTTCGAGCCACCACAGATCATTAAAGAGTTTTAACGTGCTTTTGTAATTTTTTCTTTATTGACAATTTGAAATACAAAATAGATTATTGATTGCTTATGTTTGGAGATTTTAAATCTTCAAATTCAAGTAAATTTCTTTTATCAATGAGCTCAGTAATGCAAGCTTTTCATCCACTAAGGTTTGGTATTAAAAAAATTTTTTGCGAGTGTCAGGTGAAATAAATTTCCTAAAAATTTCAAGACAATATTACAAAAAGTTTCATTTATTGTCCTATTTCAAGAAAGAAGAATATTTACCTGGAAGATTAATCTCTTTTATTAAGATCATCTCCAAACAAAAAATTTCAATTTTTTATATTTGTATTTTTTGTTGTCATGATAATATAATGATGTACTCAAGCAGTATTTCTTTTATTAATGAATTGCCAAGTTAAAAAAATTGATTAATTTTTAATTTGTTACTTATATAAGTTGAAAAAAAAATATTTAGGGTCTGTTCGACAAAATTACCCGTTAGTTATTTTAGCGGTTAGCTATTTGATAGCTTTTCATGAAACGCTGTTAAAAGTTAAACATTACATGAGTTAACTTTTCAACTTTTCACAAAACACCGCTTAATCTCTAAAAGGTAGTTCAAAGGCTAGGTTACCAAACACTATAAAAAGTAGCATTTATCGTATTTTGACTGGTCAAAATACTAAAAGCTACTCCCTCCATTCTTTTTATATAGGCACAACTAATTTTTCATCAAGATTAAGAAAGTAGTTTGACTAATTTTTTTTTCATTTTTTTTCCTAATTTACCCCTAAGATATTATTTATTTCTCCTCTAATATCAATGCATGTCTTAAATTATGTTTCAATCTTTAATAAAGTTTGAAATACTTTTGTTGGAATGAACGGAATACAAAAAGTTGCTCTAATATATGAAGAGAAATTTATGTTTTGTCCTTTATTTGGAAAAATTGTTAATATGAAAATTTGTGTTCGTTTAACCTTCCAACTGCCTTTCATTATTGAAAATGTACTTTAAATATTGCATAATTTTTAAATTTTCGGCAAAATTCGTAAAAATTCAATTCAATGTGGCCAACTTAAAAATTTTGTGGCATTTTTCTATTTAAACTTCATTTTAATCGGTGCTCATATAACCTATATATAAACACATATTTTTTTTTACAATGGAAATTGATGTAAAAAATGTATTCAACAAAATTTATTCACATTAAATGGTCATTTATATTTTTTTCTGCCACTATCTTGAGAATCCTCATACTAAAAGCTTCGCAAAGGACTAAAATAAATGTAAGATAGACTTTTTACATTGACATAGTTCCCATAGTTACTAAATTAAGTAAAATTTTCTGTATAAAAAGAATATCCAAAATAGAAACTTTTCCTATACAAAAAGAATGAAGTGAGTAATTAAAAAGCTGATGTGGAATGCAGCCTCAGTGAGAAAATGCATGAACATTGCACATAATTATTTGACTATTTAATATTTTTTTGAACAATATTTGACTATTAATTAGACATCATAAATATGTTTTCGGAAATAATTTTTTATATTGAATCGAATAATACAAAAAAATCATTAATCATCAGCTTTAATATAATTTTCGAGAAGCGAATTTCTAAATATTTTCCGAGAAGCGAATTTCTATGCACATCGACTTTCTAACTATGTTTCTTCCTTTCATTGATTTTTCATATTTTAGAATTTCCTCCTCTGTATCTTATTTAACGTTAGTTTCTTTAGTTCTTATTGTAACCAAAAAAAAAAAAATCAATGACGTTCAGTTGTGAAAGGTCGTTCCATTTTTCCTTCAACAAATGCGTAAATATATTAGTAAATGCAAAACTCTATCAAAAATTCAAAACGGCGTGACGTATGAGGATGAAGAGGCTAACATCATTCAAATCAATTCCCACATCGAGATGATGAAAGCAATCTCTATCCTTTATGAACTTGCTTTTAGTCAGCACGGCCCGCCGAGCTCATTAACGAGAGCCTGTAACCCGAGTGGGGGCATGAAAGTGATGGAACATTGATTCAACTCCAAAGGGTTGGGTTCAATGTGGCTAGTCTCTGGCCTGCCCGTTCCAAGCAGTGAGTTGGCTCTTATGGCTTTAGCGAAGGCTCAGACCATATGAGTCCTAAATTGGCGGGTAATGCGTGAGGCTGGCTTCACAGAGCAGCGACAACCGCCTGCTTCCTGCAGTGGAAGGATAACATGTCGGTGCCACTTGGATCCGTTTGGCCTAATGGGCTGGTTTAACTGGACCATCATTTTTTCCCTCGTTTTTTGTATATACAAAGTGGGAAAAGAAATTAAAAACCAATACGCATAAATCCACAATTTGGAGCTAGTAGCAGTAGATTTTTATTTGCCAAATTATCCAGTCAACTTACATATATAGGCATACTATAAAGACTGTAAGGTCATAAATGTTGGGCATCCATTTTTATTTCCTTGCTTTTAATACAGATCCTACATCAAAGGTTGACAGCCTTCATCAAGTACAGATTGTAATCAGGCACATCACCACTTCTACTATATCATGATGAGTAGTTATACACCCATAGTATTACAGTCTTCAAAGGATCAACTCCGACTGAATCGAACTTTCTAGGCTTCAACATCCGAAGTCATAGGGTGCAAGTCCCTTCAGCTCCGGTCCATTAAGCTTGTTGTTTTCAAAACTGAAACAAAGGCCAAGATAGCAAATAACTGAGTATAAACTTCCAAATATGAAAACGAAACGAGCAAATTGTTTCAAACTAATTTCTTTTTTCATGAATGTTTTTTCTCAACGCATTTGTCAAAGACCATATAAATTAAACTTTGGTATAAACAAAATGCATATGTCGCCTATAGGATATTTCATATTTAAAGTTTTTAATCCACTTAAACGATAATTCATATATCTTGGAATATTTCTATTACTTGGGGTTCAACAATCCACTTGCAGTCCTGCACAAATCTACAAGTGAGCAGACCCTCTGTGACAATAATTATTATAGGCAGGGGCGGAACTAGGGATTAGAGTTTGGAGGGTGAACATAGAGTCAAACGATATAATAGGTTCTTTTTTTTCTTTACTAAGACTTTTCTTTTTTTGAATTATGGGGAGGTTACATGGAATACTGCCCTGGTCATAGGGTCTATTCATCAACTGAATTTCAATATTCTAATCATAAAACCTCAGAACATTTAATAATGTTTTTTTTTCTTTTTTCAACATCTAAAGGAATACTTTTCTGAAAAAGCAATTTCAGCCTTAATGCCAGACAAGTTCATAAACCCAAACAGCACTACAAGCTACCTTCCGATCAGGTCAGGTCGGATATCATCTGTTCAATCACAACTATATAGCTTCCATGTCATTCCTTGTACTTATTTCGTGGGAACAATTCATTGTTAAGCTTAAAAAATTGGTGTGAACCTATTGGTAAGTATTCCAGTTCCAGTTCAGCTAAGCAAATAATTGGTACAGAGTACAGAGATCACACAACTACTTAAAAACTTCCATGTGATAATAGTTCGGAACACAAGGGAAAAAAAGATAAGAAACTTTATGCGAGAAAAAAAAAAAAAAAAAAAAAAAAACAAGGGAAAAAAAGAATAAGAAACTTTATGGCGAGAAAAAAAAAAAAAAAAAAAAAAAAGAAAGAAAAAGAATATGTACAATGAGAATAATGAATACCTTTTTTCCATTGGAAAAGTAAGCAAAAGGACCAACAACTGGAATTGTTCCACAAAAGTTTCATTATTAATAATCGCTGGTCAACCAACCCAAGAATACAGAATATAACTAAATAGAAATCTAAAAGAAAGAGTAATCAGAAGCAAAAAAAAAAAAAAAAAAAAAAAAAAAAGAAAGAAAAGAATATGTAACAATGAGATAGATGATACCTTTCCATTGGAAAAGTAGCAAAAGGACCATCAACTGGAATTGTTCCACAAAGTTCATTATTAGATACATCGCTGCAACCGAAAAGAATACAGAATATAACTAAATAGGAAAATCAAAAGAAATGAGTAATCAGAAAGCAAATATTAAGTAAAGTTTCATTTCTTAAACTTGCAAAAGTTCTTCTTTTTTCTTTGTTATTGTAAAATGAAATAACAAAAAATAAAAAATGAAAAAGAAAAGAAGACACTTTAGAAAGTTAACAAAATGAAGACTAAAATTGTAGATTTTTTTTTTTTTTCCTTTTTTACTTACAAAACTTTGAGGTCATTGAGGGTGGTGAACTCCCTTGGAATTGATCCACTTAGCTTATTGTTGTTTAGCCGTCTACATCATCAATTCAAACCATATTTCAGAGCTAGAATATTATATAACAAAAATTGTGTAAGTTCAAATAATTTCAGTTGATCAAAGTGAAGGAACTTACAGGAATCTCAATGACTTCAATTTGGCTAAGGACTTGGGTATTTTTCCTTCAAATTTATTCTCATACATATCTATACTAATAAGATTTTTCAACTTACCCAACTCCTTGGGAATTTTGCCTCCTATATCATTTCTATAAAGCTCCCTGCATCCAGTTCAAGAAATTCACAAAACCCGTTATTTGATACAATCATATCAAGTACAAACACACAAGTTCCTAACAAACAAAATCCTTATTACATATTTTGTTCACTCTAGAATTGGGTATAAAATGCAAATTCTTTGAATATGAGGAACCCAAACTTTTACAGGTATTCTAAGTTCAAATAACTTCAATTTCAATTTTCTTAAGCATTATTCTTAATATAACCAAGAACTTTTATTCAGTTATTTAAAATTAGACTTGGAATTGGATTTTCTTAACTTAGACATCAATTTCCATTCTCGTTCCAAGGTACACCAATAAAACCCCTAACCTCTAGTGGGTTTTATTCAGCAAAGAATGACATATTTGAGCTAATTTAAGTGCAATTAGACACAGCATTTTATAAATTACTATCAGTTTTTCTGATAATTTGTCAAAAGAGATAAAAGGGGCATACAAGTACTGCAGATGCTGGAGTTGGCCAAGCTCAGGTCCTAAAGTTCCAGAAACGTTAGAATTCCCCAAGTCCCTGAAATTTTAGAAGCAAAACCCAAAAATTTTAATCATTATACTCATAAGAATTAAGAAATTGAAATAAAAAAAGAAATAAGAAGAAAAAAAAAAAAGGAAAAAACAGAGGTGGAGAGTAACTCACAAACGAATCACATGATTGTTGGAATCACAAGTGACATGGAACCAGGTGCAGGGATTGACCAGAGTTGGGTCCCAGCTCTGCAACACATTGGTTGGATCAGAAAGCCTACTTCTCAAAGCATGCAAAGCATTTCCTGGAACCCCAAAACAAACAAAACCACAACACAACAAAAGAAAATTTCAAAAAGGGGAAACCCAACCACATGATTTCTTGCCTATAAAAGCAAAAAACACCAAAACCAAAAAACTCAAAATCCAAACTTGTTAGAATAAAAACTAGATTTAATGAAACTAATCAAAATTTTGAATCCATAAAGTTAAATCTCCCTTCTTTTTCTGTTTATTAAGCCAAAAGTAAAAGAAATAGTTTTTAGCAAAAAGATTGAAACTTTACCTTCAGAATTGGTGCAGAGAGAGGGAGAGAAGAAGAAGAAGAGAAAGAAAGAGAGAGAGAAGAAGATGAGGGAAACAGAAGCCATTTTTTTAGAGCAAAGTGGAAAGAGCCTATACACTACAAAAGAAGCAAAAACCAAAGAGAAATGTTAGAGAGAGAGAGAGAGAGAGAGAGAGAGAGAGTAAATGGGTCAAGTCAAATTAAGTGTGCATTTGAGTAGAAGAAGGGCCTTTGGAATTCACTGTCCAGTCCTTTTAGAGAGAGAGAGAGAGAGAGAGAGAGAGAGATAGAAGAAGGAGACGAAAGAGAGAGAATGGCGTTAGTCACGCAATGGCTGTGACTTGTGAGTCTTTGGGAGAGAGAGAGTCGTTACCGCGTTACGAGTGGTGGGTCCCAATAGGTAAGACTTGAAAGTTTCAAAGTTCAAAGCTTTTGCTTTTAATGGTTTTTCTTGGGACTACGGAAGTTTTTTGATGGTGGAGTTGTTCAAGTTAAAGATACTGTAACTGTAAGGACATGTTTGTTTGGAAGAACTCACCATGCACCGACTGGCCCCACTCCAATCATTTTATGCCACGTAAGATGGGTTGTGCTGCATTTGTTAACCCACAAAAGGAGAACACTTTCCATTTCGAGCTGAAAATCAACAGTACAATTCATGCTTTTCACTTTTCAATTTTGTTTAGCTTTTAATCTTTAATGTTTGGTTTTCTATTTTTACATATTCAGTTCGGGGTAAAAATTTTGGATTCTTGAATTCAGTTTTCTAGATTTAATTCATTTTAGTCAGAAAAATAATTAATTTAGAAAATATCGTCAAATAGGCTAATTTTTTTCAAATAAAAGAATGATATTGAAAATGTTAGATAAACTGATATTGCAAAGCCTGAGCATCTGTCTGAATGAGAAGGAAACAAAAAATAAAAGGCCAATTTTGTACACGGGAATTGGTTTCCATTGGTTGGATGTAGAAATTTCAATTCCAAAATTTACTTCTGTACAATCCAAATGCTAAAAATCTGAGGGAGACAGCATTTCCTTCTCTCATCCTCCTTTGCAGGGCAAAACTTGCCTTAATCTCTCTATGAAAAGACACATGAATTGAAATGCATCTGACCATATAACCCTCCTCTTCAGTATGTGACAATGAGAAAAAGAAAGAAAGCCAAGAGCCATCACAAAAAAAAATGGTAGCATTTCATCCCATTTAGGATGAAACCATTTTAAATGTTGTTGGAAAAAACAGCTTGTGAATAGTGCTTCATCGTTTAAAAACTTCTATGACCAGAACATGTAAAATCCTAAGTTCAAGACCAATCCCTAATCAGCTTTTTCAACAGTATTCTTCTCAACAGCAACTCAAACAACAATGCTAAACAAATCTTAATAATCATCCCCAGTCAATAATGCAAAATATTCACATATCAATAGTACCATCACACATCATTTTCCTTGGTCTAACTGATCATACATATAAATTTTTGTGGACAAGGCCGCAGTACCAATAATCAAGAAAACTCTTCTTCAAGAAGTAGTTGCAAGAGACATAACAAGCATTTTATAATACATTCAATTTCTTATTTTGCATTTGTTTCATTTTTTAAGGTGCGGGAAACAAGCATACAAATCAGACTTAGGATGCTTTGCTTCTGCATGCTCTCGACACTACACCTCTGTAGTGGTACAAATGAAAGTCTGCATGCACACCTTGCACTGCATTCATGATCCACCAGATGCATCATCAAAGAAGCAGTTGATACCAGCAACGGAGACAACAGATCAACAAAAGATCAAGTCACTACCTTTTGCAAAAGGACTGATCAAATTGTTTTTGTTGCACTAAACTAAAAGATTTCAAAATCAACAAACAGTTTTAACTTCAACTATGAATGTGAATAATGGAAAATAAAAAATAGAACTTTTAACAGCTCATGAGAGGCAAAGCTAAAATAAGTGGTCTGATGTTCATAAACCATGTAAAGAATTAAAATTTGTATTCACAAAGTCCCGTCTAATCTTAGCTTGAATAAATCCCCTTCCCACCAACAGATTTGTAAAACCGGCAAAATTAACACATGCATGGTTCAAAAGGGAATGATGTTAGACATGCACTAGTGCCATCGGCCTTAATTGGCTATGGCTAATTGGTTATTTTAACGCTCAAACATAATTGCTACCACAAATGCATAAAATAGATGTGGATGAGAAGATAATACTTTGCTAAAATTATTCATCATAAATAACACAGTTCAGTATAAACTGCACTTGAGGAACCGATGTCTGCGGTCATTATACCACTTCCTTTTTTTCTCTATTAAGGGTGAAAATCTTAATCCAAATTAGTTTTCGACAGAAAATTAAAAACAGTTAAATGAGTTGGGCAATTTTTGTAAAATTGATGAGTACTTTCCCAGAACTTCATGCTGACATAATCACACTAATGGGAATCTATGGATTATTAGAATCAACACAAGGAGTTGAACTCAAAATACAATAAAGAATCATTTAATTAAGAATCTATGAAATCATTGTAAAATTGACAAATACTTTCCCAGAACTTCATGCTGACATAATCACACTGATAAGGCTCTATGGATTTTTGGAATCAACACAAGGAGTTGAACTCAAAATACAATAAAGAATCATTTAATTAAAAATCTATGAAACCTTTTAACCAGCTTAAAAGAAAGATCCCAGTTAGGGCAAGAAAATTTCAGGCTAAAGCATAAAAACTGAAGAAAATTTTCAATAAAAAATTTCTCATTATAATCCGGCGAAGTAATTGTAATAAGAATCAGAAAACAACCAAAATCAAGCAAAAAAGGGGAATTTTTAATGAAATCTATATAATTAACAGTCAAGAGTATCTAATAGGTATAATTCCAATCGAATTCTATAGAAGCAAAAATTAACAGATCAAAGCATGCAAAGATGCTACCTGGATGCTCATGGCTTTCTTGTTAGTCTCAAGCTGGCTTCCTACACAACAAAAATTAGAAATAAAATTAAAATCAATAAAAAAGCAAAAATTAAAAAAGAAATCGGAATATAACACGTTTCTATAGATTTTTCAGGCCAAAAATTTAGAGAAAACCCTATATCTATGCTGAGAGAGAGAGAGAGAGAGAGAGAGAGTACCCTTGGCAGCTTTTTGCTTCTCCATGTTCTTCTCACGTGCCATCTTGGCTTTCTGGCCGTTGCCTCCTCCCATGGCTGATTGATTTGCAGAAATATGAACGCGAGAATGGGAGTCTCTAAAAGATTAGGGATGGAGGCTGATGGCAGAGTAGGAGAAGTATCGGAGGAAGAAGAAAAAGGAATTGAAATTTCTGGAGACAAATATAAATATTAAGTTCCACTACCATGCACCAGCAAAGAGCAAACTCAAAGGTAGACTTGATTTATTAATTATTAATTATTGTAGGGCTAGGGCGGGGCCTTATGTCTTATGCCTCGTGAAATGAAAATAAAATAAGTAATAAAAATAATAATAATTTGACAAAAATGATAATTCTTCTTTTAAATATTTTTTTAATCATAGTAATATTATTATAATAAATTATTATTATTATATTCTAATTTTTTGAACGTAAGGATTTAAAATAAAAAATACAGTCCCTGACAGAATATTTATATTTAATATATATATAATCGATTGATTATATATATATATTTTTTAATTCACTGAGAAATTTAATTACGGAAATAATACAATGAGGGTAGCACTATCTTTGAGTCATCATATTAATGAAAATTAATACCATAATAATAGTACTTCTCTTTACTCATAAAATTAATAAAAACTCTTCGAAAACGAGAGGATTCAAATTCGATATCTCACTCATAGTTGCCATCAAATTCCATCATGTTAATGGTACTTATTTTTTTATAATCAATAAGATATTCTTTTTCCTATATATAGGAATTTATCTAAATTTATGATTATTACAATTCAAATTTCATTTGGGATGTGATAATAATATTTGAGAATAAAAACTTAAATGACAATAATACTTTTTTTAAGGTAAAAGTTTGAATAAAAATCTCAGAGATTATTTATCACGCCAAGAATATAATTTGGAATAGAATTCCAAACCATAAGAAAGAATGCTTAAAAAGAGAAGACAAAACGAATAAAAGATTCAAATTTATTATAATATTTATTATATATTTTATAATTATTTTTTCTATCCACGATTACTGTAATTATCCAAAAGTTATCACCAAAAGAAATTAATTTTCTATCCAAAAAGAAATAATGTTATTTATTTTGTTGGTTTTTTTTTCTTTTTTTATCTGAGGTACCTCTATAATTGCAGAAATTAGCCATAACGTGCCTTAGCCAATGTATTGAATAAGTTATGGTCGCCAACATTTACACTTGCCGAAAGAAACACTAAGAACTCGTTTCATAGGCACCAAAAGGCATGCCAAGCAAGAACAATAAACTTCTCTCCAAAGATACATACAATTGTGCAAAAGAAGATTCAAGAGAGAATCAACAAGGAATTTGAGACATAGCAAAAGTTCAGAAATTACATTCCCTCTCCTATAGCACACCTTTTTCTTTCCTCTTCTTCAGCTTTTATCCAAGCAGCCTAGAACATGAGAAAGAACAAACATAGTTGATTAAGTTTTCAATACTAAAAGTTTATGGAAAATTTTACTGAATGAAAAGAATAAGAGAAAACAGACTAAACTTGCCTTGTCCTTTTCAAGTTTGGAGAGATGTGGCTTGATAGAGTTCCCTAAACTTAATCCTCCCCATGTTTCTTGCAACTCTCTATCTCTTGCTTCTCTACGAGACACAGAGAGTCCTCTCTGGTTTTCCCCTTGCTGAGAAGATAAAGCCGGTATCTTCTCTCTTTCAAGTTTTGATTTATGTTTAACCAAAACTTGGTCCAGTCCACCTTCTTTATTCATCTGCATATGCACATTTCTGCAACTTGTTTTCTCCCTTTTCACCTCTTCTTCCTTCAAACTGAACTCCATTTTCTCCTTCTCTAGTCTAGATACATGCTTCACTAAAACTTTGTCCAAGCTTTCACAATGTGTAGCAGTGTTTCCTGCGTTTTTATTTTGGTGTTTTTGGTTGCCTCTCAATGACAAGGCTTGCATTTTCTCCCTTTCTAGTCTATGCACTGGCTTTACCAAGATTTTGTCCAAGCTTAGGCTATCTCCTGTCTCATTATTTCCCACCTTTTTATCCATTTTAGATTTTCTATCCTGTGCTTTGTTCGAGTCAACATTTTCCTTTTCTGCAATATCTCTATCAGAAGAATTCGTCTTTGCTTCTTGGACCTCTCTTTCAAGTCTTGAAACATGTTTTACCAGAAACTTATCCAGACTTGGGACTTCTGGAACATCTTTTCTTTGACTGAAAACTCTATTAACTGCCTTTTCAGATTTCCCTCTTATCTCTTCAACTTCCTTTTCAAGCTTTGATGAATGCTTTATAAGTATACTGCCAAGGTCAGGAATGGACTCTGATGAAGTGAGGTCACTGGCTGGTTTCTTCGGAACAATTTCAAAATCTTTCCGTGAGTTCTTCTTCGCCTCTTCAATCTCCTTCTCAAACTTAGAGGAATGCTTCACAAGAATAATTCCTAAATCAGGAATAGAATTTTCGTAGTCAATTTTATCATTCTTGGGATTTCCTTCAAAAGATCCATTTTTCTTGCTGTTCTTAGCTTCTTGCACCTCTCTTTCAAGTTTTGACATGTGCTTAACCAAAAACTTGTCTAAACTTGGGAGTTCTGATTCAAATTGCTTCTTTCTTATCTGCTCAAGATTGGAATATCTAATTGTTCCTGCACACACAGAAGACATTCTACGAGGCATCTTAAAGCTTGAAGTATAATCAGCAGAAGAGTCCTGATCATGCAGCTTACTGCTTTCCACTTCTGCTAAGGCAGCATTTAGACCACAAGTTGCCACTATAGTGGCCAAAGAAGAAAGTTCATCTTCTTTCAAACATCTAAGCCTCTCAAGCATCATATCGACAATATTAGGCTTCTCGATAGACTGCCTTATCTTTTTCCTTTGTCTTGTGTCTAGAGTTGGCAATTTACAATCTACGTCGGTTTCATGTTCTGGTCCTGAATCTGATTCATCTTCTGAAGAAGAAAAGTCTGATAGTTCCTGGTTATTATCAAAAACAATATCTGGATTCTGTCTAATTTTGCAGAATAGCTCTTTGAATTCATCTTTGTCAAAAGAAGGACAACTTGCAAGCCTAATAAATGCAGTTTTAACTGCTGCAGCTACTTCTTTATCTACATCAAATTCTGTTTCAAAAGATGCTGTGACAGTATGAGTGGTAGATCTCCCTCCATTAGCTGTAGATGTTTCAATTCGACTAGGCTTCCGAGGACAATTTGGCATATCATACATGATCACCCCCAAAGCTGTTGCTGCTTCAAAAGCTTCAGCTGCAGTTTCCTCTGCCTTTAGCAAGAGAGCTTCTGCTTCTTTGCTCTGGATCCTGAATTGAAGAGTAAAGTTATGCAAAAGAGATGAAAAGAAAAAGATAGTCATATTGCCAAAGCATTAGTGCTTACCTGGCTGCCCGAAGTATTCTACACCAAGATGCTTCCACCAATGCAGCTTTTCTAGCCTCCATTGCAGTGTGTGCAGCCTCCCTTGCTGCAATTTTTTCTCTCAAGACTCTTGAATAATGTGGATTAGAGTCGCCTAGTGTCTCATCCAGAGTTAAATTCATGCCATCTTTTTCCTGAAACAAGTAGATAAAACTTTCTTAAAAAATTGCATAAATTCATGTAATCTATCAAGACAAAGAATAATAAAAATAGAATATGCGATAGACATAAGCACAACCTGCAGCATTTTGATTTTCCTCTTTAAATAGGAGTCCACCTTTTTGCGTGGGAACCAGTTGATAGGAGAACTCTTACGATGAGGGGGCTTCTTAATTTGTGATGTAAATTTATTTAGGGCATTCAATGTTGACTGTCCAGTCCCTCTTGGCGATTTATTCTGCACTATTCAAAAGTAGAAAATATCAAAATCTGAGATTGGAAAAGGGAATTAGAATTAGGGAAAGAAACTGAGGATAGGACATGGTAAATGAAATTTTGGGTTGTCGCATTCATTCAATTATAAAGCAGCATGTAAAACAGAAGACATAAGCAAATACAGGAACAATGAAATTCATCAAGCACACCAAACTATTAGGGGAAATAAACCTACATACACGTAATAATAAAGTAGCTGCACGAATGTGCAGAGGGTTCCAAGAGAGATCTTGACAAACTATATAAGATGTGAATTGACATAAAAAAACATTTTTATGAATAATGCAGGTGAAGTTAAGGCAGCATATCATTTTGTGATATGGTGAACATTGTTCTGTATGCTGGAATCTTAGCTTATGATATCGCATTGGAGAAAACAAGGCTCTTATGTTCCATTCAAAAGTAAACTATTACCACTGTTTACGGCAGGTTGGAGCATAAAAGCCTTTCCTTTATCAATCCACCAAATCCCTCCTCTATGCAGGAAAATATCAGATAATAACACAACAGCGTACCTGTGGATTGAAGACAAGTATTAGCCAAATCTCAGTTCAAGATTTGACCAATGACCTGTGCAGACTGAATGAAGCGAATCCAAAAATAAATTTAAAGAAGCATTGAATTCATATTAAATGATTGTGGGTTGCTTCTCCAATCATATATATAAAATTACCTCCTCTATGCAGGAAAAATATCAATAATAACACAACAGCGTAAACCCTGTGTGATTGAAAGACAAGTATTAGCCAAAAATCTTCAGTTCAAGATTTGACCAAAATGACCTGTGCAGACTTGGAATGAAGCGAAATCCAAAAATAAAATTTAAGAAAAAGCATTGAAATTCATATTAAATTGAAATTGGTGGTTGCCTTCTCCATCATATATATATATATATATTATATATATAATATATATATATAAATGGATTAAATTCATAATCATCATATAATATGGAAATTAAATTCATAATCATCACTTAATTGCATAGAATTTTAACCTTAGCTTTAAGAAACGTGATTGAATAAAAGCAAAATTGAAAAAGATTTAGAGCTGGTAAACTTGAATAAATCGAATTTTGGATATCCAATCCCACATTAACTAAATTTACAGATTTCTTTCAATTTATGGAATTAATGATTGAACATTGCATATCTTGCTTATTGTATACCTAATTTTCTCAATGTGGATTTTATTTGCAAGTGATGTAGTGCCTTCTGAATATAATTCTTGTTCGGGATTTTGAAATTCAAGCAAACCGATCAGCCAACATATCCAATTGGTCTTTCCTCTAAGTTCTAAACATCCATAAAACACAAACAAAACTAATAAACAACAGAGGAATTACATTTGATTTTATCCAAATAAAGAAATGAAACAGAATTCTTTAGGGTTTTAATAATTCTAAAGAATACAAAGAAAAACCATCACTCAAATAAAAACAAAATAAACAAGAAAAAGAAAGAAATTCAAACAATTGAAACAGGATATGTAATTCAAACTCAAGAAATTGAAGTTAAGTGAACAAAGGAATACCTTTGCAGACTTGGTAGCTGAAGTCGAATTTTCTCGGGAATCGCAATTTCCAGTATCAGTACTGTGCTTATCTGAAACAGAGATGCAACCCAAGTCGAGGCACCCAAGATCCATTGCCTAATTAACCTACTTAAATCGCTTTCAACAATTGCAGATACAACAAATTCGTAAATGATTAAAGAAAGAGAGAAAAGTAGGATTGTAGAGTGATTTGAAGCAGAATGTGAGCGTTAGGAAATAAATTTTAGAAAATTATGAATGGAGGATTTGGTGGTTTTTTGCTTTTTTTGAAAATGCGAAATAGCCGTTACAGGTGTGAGGGTTTTAAGTCGTAACGGTCTAGTTTCGGCTGGATGAAGAGATTATCTGGTACACTCGAGAGTACTGGTGGGAAGAGTTAGTAGCGACACGTGCGGATTCCCAGATTTCCTTGCGGACACACAAAAATCTTGATTAGCCAAATCGAAACCTCTTTTTTTTTATTATTTATTTATTTTTTTTGGAAGAAAGCTAAGTCGAAACTTGGATAGCTAGCACGAGTGTTTGGATTCTAGTGGCAAGGTAAGGGGGGAAAACATGGTTAAATAAATTTAATATTATTAATAATTATGATGATATTAATTAATTTGATATATTGATGGATTATTTATCATTTGACTTGTGCAATCATTAATTTATCATGATGTGTATATATTAAATTTTATCTTCGACAGGAAAAAAAAAAATTACAATTACGTCAAGAATACCAAGAAAGGATTGAACGGGACAATTCAAATGATTAGTTGCAATTTGAAAAACAATTTACAATTACTGATTTTAACCGCTGATTCAGGCGGCCCCAATTAGTGAATCATTGAAGTACGAAAAGGGATTGAATCTCAGGCATTGAATCCCATAGACTTGCTTAAGGGAGTAGCAAATCTTAATCTTAAGAAGCTTATGATTCTCAATAATAATTAAACAAATACAAGAGCTGGAGAGAATTCTCTCTTCTTTTCAGGTGCAGTTCTCTTTCATTGGCATTTCATTTCAAGTATATATACATTCTGAGTCAAATGTTCAAATAAATCGGTTCCAAAAAGCCATAGTACAATAATTATGAATCAGTAAAATCTCAGGTCTAAAGTATAACCATGCTTAGTCCATCTGTACTTGGTCTCTAATCCACTTGGTTGCTACCCATTTCTCACCTTTGATAACTGGACAGCTTCCGTGAAGAGATGTCTGCCAAAAATTCTCAATATCAATATAAATAGTGATAATAAGTATTATTTCTAGTGGAACATCATTCACAGTCCCTGGAGAGATAGTCCACTGATAGACCGAGGGACAAGTAATTTGACTCATTCACGTCCAAATCATGAATGTTTGGAATCCTTATTATGCAAGGAGACATTGCTTTTGCTACTTCAAATTGAAGGGTGATATAAAATCGGTCTATTTCCAGCATCATACCCATAGTTAGGGCATTCATCCTAATAATAGAGAACTTTTTCACAAAATGTTCATTATAGGCCACTGAGATGCGTTGCTGAATTATAATTATAACAACATTATTTAACCTAAAAAAGCCTACAGCAAAACAAAAATAAAAATATATGGATGAACATTCAGGACAGCATGTACCAGAATCAGCAATAATATGCTTTCAACAGATTTGTCAGAGCTGTTGTGCATCAGAACCTTTAACATGTTTAGAGGTGTTCATGGACATGGGACTGAACCTGTTAAAATTCTTGGCTTGACCAGGAGGCTTTGTCACCAGGCCCGGTTCGACACCCATCTCCTAGGTGAGTGGGGCTTGTTATTGTTGTTACATAGGACCCAGTTCGTCCAATTAATATATATATTAATGTTTAAATATCTTACTATGTTGAGCCAGGCATGGACAAAAAAACTATATGCGCGACTTGGGCCCAATCCAAATTTTGAGCACACATAAATAAGATGAACACATTATCGTGCTTACTCTTCTGATCTGTTATATTCTAAATGATTGAAGGGTTTCAATAGTTATATTTCTATAGTTCAGACGACATGCTCAATACATGCATCACTTCTATCTCATACCACCTTTAATGTATGTTCTGATGATCTAACAAAAATTCAAAATGCTTGGAAGACTCTTTACTTGCATACTTTCAGCAGTCAACAAAACAAGAAAAGGAGATACAGATTAATAAGAGAGAGAATTTACCTCGTCAATTGTTCCATTTGGAAACAACGAGTAAAACAGAATCCCATCGCCTTGCCGAGGCTTCACTTTTAAGCCAATGCATTTCTTATAATCATAACTTATTTGAGAGTCATTCTACAATCAGAACATAGTAACTATTAGTAAGCAAATACAATCATAATGCAAAAGAGGGAAAATCTACAATTTCCTAGGATACCTCATAAGGAAACATGGTTTCTCCACCTTCTTCTACATCAGATAAATACAACAGGAAAGAAGCCATCTGCATCATAGATAATCAAAAAGTTATAATTTCTAAGCAACAATATCTTCATGTCGAACTACAGGAACTCATGGAATTCTTTTTTCTTGAAAAAGAAAAGAACATAGTCTATATGCAAACTTATTTCCTTCAAGTAGAATTATGGTTTCCATATATAAAATCTAGCTAAAAAGCAACAACTAATGTGAGAAGTAAGCCCTTGCGAATAATCCAAAATGATAGAAAAGACTTTAAATGTGACTTTGGGTATTCTGTCATGCACTCATGCTACAACTGAGATGGTAACTAGAATGACAATAAAGAAAACCCCTTAAGTCACAGAGTGACCAATACAGTATAATATTGCCAGATGTTGATATACAATGTAAATATCTAAAAGACATGGATTAAATTTGGATATAAACCCAAGTCAATCCATTTTCATTATTACTCCTTTTAGCATGAGCATTGCACGTCTGTATATTTTCATATTAATACATTTTAATAAATTAAATATTAAATATAATTGTGCACATATTAAAATTGTTAAAGTTATAATTTTTTATTTATTTTGTCAATGAAATAAAAGCATAATAACTGTAAAAAATGGCTAAATTTTATCCAATTTAAATTTATACACCAGTGCTCAGTAACATGCCTAAATTTCAATTTGTAACATAAAGTACATTGAAAATCAATTTGTATAACAATAAAAGCCCTGCTATCAAATAAATTTCAATGACATAAAAATGATACGAATAATACATGAGAAAAAACTTATTTTAAGAAAGCATATGACCATGTTATAGTTTTTTTTTTTTCTCTCTCTTAACTCCCTCACTTGTCACTTTAATCACTTTCTCTCTCCTAAATTTTTATTTCTTTGTATAAATTTTCTCTTTAGCCAAATAAGTATCTTTCCAGCTAGGGAGTATTAAGAAGGGTAAGAGCCAAAATTTTAACCCTGGGTGTCATACTTATCATCTAAGGTTTTCAGACCCAGCCTGCTCATTGATCTGATAAAGGCAAAGGGTCTAGAATTATAGATTGAACTAGGATACATATAGTTTACATATTATATAAAACTTTAAAAAAATAGTTAGTTTTACTCAAAATCATATATGTGAATTAAAATAGATTGAAATTATTAAAATTTATTAAAAGAACTTATCGATAAGTTATAATTATAATTTGTATTGACATAAACTAATTTCAGTTGACCTGCCAGGTTTTTTGGCCAAACCCAACCTGGTTAACAGTTGAACTGGTCAGGCATATTGATTCTCCAACAGGATTAGATTTAAAAGGCTTTAAGGGTGAAACAACTGGCCCTGGTTGAACTGACCAGTTCATTGCTATCATCTTTCTATCATCAAAATCTGTAAAATAGTTTTGCAAAATCTGATAACAGGGTTTTTATTGTTATATAAATTGATGTTCAATGTGTTTTATAGTACAAATTGAAACATAGGGAATATTAATGTTCAATAGTGATAAGTTCATGGATAATAGGCGAAATTACACCCTACAAAAATGGATCACTATTAAAGGAAACACATTCAACAATACTATAAAAATTTTATTTTAGTATGAGCAATCAATTAAAAAGCCTCGGCAGTATAATTTTACTAAAGCTCTGAGTGCGTATAAAGCTAAATCATATCAAGTACAGAATATAAATTAGCTTACTTTAAAGACACCTATAATATTTTCTGCAAAGAAATGAAATTTACATATTTAACGATGATAATTGAAAAAAAATCATATATTAAATCAATAAGCCAAGAGAAAAAAAGAAAAGTTATGTGCTTATCTAGATCGTTTCTTTGAATATACTTGCTTATATGCCTGTCTAACATTAAAAATATGTATGTCCCTATATTTATAGGGAAAATTTTAAAAAAATAGTAATTTGGAATTAATTAGGAAGTAAGTTTATTTTGAACAGGCTAAAATTAGGAAGCAAGTATATTTATGGTAATGTAAATAAATTTAATTATTAAAAATGTTCATTACTTGTTTTTTTGGTAAATATAAATTATATTAATGTCTTTTATGGTCAATGCATATGTTTTTCCATATTACAAATAACAAGAAACATAACAAGGAAAGCTAAAAAAGGCATTTCTTACATTCCATGACCATCAGCCAGAGCATCTCTACCTAATAGTTTTCTTGTTCAGACTAGACAATCGCAAAATATACAGTGTTTCATTCCAAATACATTTATTTACTACATGATACTAGAATAAAGGAAAACCCTACCATAGTTATCCCTTAGAATATCTTTTTTTTAATATTAACAAAACAAAAAAAAAAAAAAAAAAAACATCAGCCAGAGCATCTCTACCTAATAGTTTTTCTTGTTCAGGAACTAGCAATCAGCAAAATATACAGTGTTTCATTCCAAAAATACATTAATTTACTACATGATAATAGAATTAAAGCGGAAAACCCCTAACCATAAGTTATCCCTTAGAATATCTTTTTTTAATATTAACAAAAAACAAAAAAAAAAAAAAAAAAAGCTTAATGGAGCATAAAAAAAAAAAAAAAAAAAAAAAGCTTAATGAGCATGACATGGCATTTTATCTCTTTATATAAAATACCACATTGATTAAACAGTTATAAGTCTTTAACTAACACCAGTAACTGATTGGCAGAAGTAAAAAGTATTATATTTATAAGAGGTAAACATAAAATTTTTCCTAGCCGAAGAAAAAAAAAAGAGTACTAATATATCATCTCGGAGGAAGAGAAAGGAAAACGTGCAAGCAGAAGCACAGAGTGGTAACTAACTAAACGTTAAAAAATTGAGGAGATCCTTATTACTTACCCTTTGGCTGGTCTGCGGGCCATATTCAGTTGGGTTAAATGCATCATAATGTGAATCATACTTCTGTCCGATTTCATAGCGCAAGATATTGAATGCCTGCAATAGAGCAATATACACTCAGTCTCAACTAAATGAAGGATTCAATATTTCAATGCAAGAGAACCATACAATGTACTTAAGAGTTCAGCGACTAATAAGCAAAATATAAAGTGGAATGATATTTTGGAAATATATTATACTTCCTGACTGCAGTCGTACAAAGATAATCAAGATACAGAGTGCAGATTATAAAGGAAGAAATATGATATGAAATGCTATCAGATTGTGTAATATCAGGCATTAACAAGTATTATGGAAACATTTAACTTTCCCTTCTCTACCACACCCCCCCCCCCCCCCCCCCAACCCATTAAAAAAAAGCGACGAAAATCAGAAAACAAGATTCTGTAATCTATAGTATTATGTGGACAGACACCAGTTGTTTGCGCAATCCCCCCCCCCCCCCCAACCCATAAAAAAAGCACGAAAATCAGAACAAGATTCTGTACTCTATAGTATATGTGGACAGACACAGTTGTTGCGCAATCAGGGTCAATAATGATCTTAACAAAAAGAATCCACTGTTCAGTTTTGTGTATCATTCTGAAATGATATAACAAGCAGGTAGTCTGCAAAAAGGCTCAGACTGGTCAATAAAGGCATCTGATAAGAATCGAGATATGACAAGACAAACTGGCTAGCCACCTAATGGTACGATCAGATTATCATTCAGAAGTATTTTCTCAGGTATAAGGATTTCAGTTTCACTAGTGTCTTGTCAGTTAATTATCGACAATTCAATCTGTAGTACTCATGGACAATCGAATACCGTATTTATTATAACGTATCTGCTTGCCTGCAGGAAAATACAATTGGAACATAAATGTGATTTCCAGAAATGACTAAGAAATAATTATTGTCCGATAAACTGCCATTTACTGGTTAGGGGAGCAGATATATAAGAAGATTTAGACCAGGAAAATGGTGGAAGATGAAAGGTATCTTCCACTTCAATCACAGAAGAGGTAGCTATCATTGTCGTAATACCATGATTTCATAGAAAGCTTCAATGCCAATTGTCGTATATTAATCATCAAGAATTACAAGAAACTCTAAGAAATTTAATTCATCAAAAGAAAAAAGAAACAAATAGACTTGTGCAAGTTCAAATGGCATAACCTAGAGCACATTCCTTTTGATTTTGATTCCAATAATACTTGACAGGCTGAATAATAATAATAATAATAATAATAGGCAAAGATACCTCCCCATGAGACCTTGGGATCATTGTAGCTCTTGCAATTTTCTGCTCAACAAAGTCCAAGATTCCAGATGCATCTTCTGAAGCACTAATAAAAGTACCTGAACTGTTTCCACAAGTTACAATAACGAGTAGATAAGAGACTCCCTCATCCGAAGAGTTGCAAGGCCTAGTGATTTGCAGAAAACTAGAAGTGAAAATAGACAGAGATACCTAGTTCTGGTCCCCTTAGTGCTCTCCTTAGTTTCTCCCTTTCGCAGAGCCAGGGCAGATGGTTTTAAGTGGGACTTAGCCATTTCAATTATACTCTTGCACTGTTCTGGGGTTGCAAAATTTGGAAAATAAACAGCTCTTGGTTTCCAGCTTAAAACCTGAAACTCAAAATGAAAAACTAGAATAAATGACATTAAACCTTACTAGGTTCGGTTGTCATAAAAAACATCCAAATATTACAGGACTGAGAATCTCATTAGCATTTTGACAAATCAATTTCTTTAGCATTTTGACAAATCAATTTCTGTTTATCACTATTTTCATTGAATTAAGCATTAAATCTCCAATTCAACTTCCTTTTCCAACCATCAATTTTCTCGTTTTCCCCTGAAGATTAAAAGTTAAAACAACAATAAATACTTTCACCTTTCACTAACAGCATTATCTTGTACCTGAGTGCAGCCATATATACCTATTAACTATGATACTAAAAATCGAAAAAAAAAAAAAAAATCTTAGCTTCAATAATTTTTAGCATTGCTATAGAACTAAATAATTTCTTTAAAAAACCATTCGAAAAACCAAAGTCTCACCCATCAATCCTCCAAAAAATTCCCTAATTTAGTACTAATTTAACCACAACCAATCTCAATCGAAAATCACGCCATCATAAAACCTAATACAACAATCAAACACAATTATATACAAATCCATAGATCACCTGAAAAGGAATAGATTCCACGGAAGATTCTCCGGTAGCGCCATGTGGCATTCCATCAATCTCCTGCTCCTCAGCAACTTCAAGCATTCTTAACCTAGGTCTAATAATAGGCACATCCTACAAAAATCAATAATCAAAATCAAAATCGAAACTAAAATTAGCCAAATCTAATCATCCACAACACTATTATTAATATACCTGAGAGAAAAGCGTTGAAGCGTAGAATCCGGCCAAGAAGAAGAGAAAGCATAGGAGTAAGACAGCTGGTAACCCTAGCTTTCTCTTTGAACGCTTCGTTTTGGATTTCATTTACTGTGATTCTTTATGTTTGGTTTTCTTTTCAGAAAGGAACAAAATTGGTAGCTTTGATTGAGGTTTAATGGAGATTTTGGGAGTTTTTTGATCAATTATCAATAGTTAATTAATATTTTTGTTTTTTAATGGTTTTTGTTTATTGTCTGAGTTCTTTGGATATAATGCAGAAAATGGCAGACCGCGTCAATGGCGGGAGATGGCTTTTTCTTATTTTCTTTGCGTTTTATTTTGTTTTTCTTTGCTTTTACGTCAGAAGTTTCGTGAATAGCTGACAAGGATGGCCATACCGTAGTGTTTTTTTAAGTGCGTGGTAGAAATATTAATTAAATTTTGAATTCACCTATTTGTTTCGATAATTTTAAAATTTTAATTTTTATTTGAAAATTACAAAAATATAATTTCAAATAATTATATTTTATCTAGTGATAACGCTCAATTTACCCTTTAAACTTGGAAATAATATATATAGATTTCCTCATGATTTTACACCAAAAAGTCAAAAAATTTAGTAAAGAAAAATTATTCAAATTATTACAATAATCATAAAAATCCAATATCTTGACTTTGATTTAAAAAATAATTAAAAAAATATTTTATTGAGAAAATTATAAAATTAGAAATATATTGAATATTTAGTTATTATTTTTTGTTTAATTATTTTCTAATTATTATTTGGTTTTAGTTCAGAAATTTAATTAGTTTTTAATTATTAAAACAAATATTTATTTTTTGGAGTAAAAATTGGACATTTTATTCTTATAGTGTAAGTTCAATGGATAAATTGCACAAAAAATTAATTTTTAGATAAATTGTATATTGTTTTTAAATTTAAAAGGCAAATTGAATCTCATTCTTTTTATTTAATACAATTATATTATTGTAAGGTTTAAAAAATTGATAAAAAGATTAGGGTAAATTAATTTCCTACTTAAACCTTGAACAAGAATGGCAAAACCTTCAAACCCGCGTTTAGGTGAAATGAGAACACCTGCAACATCAACCTTGCCGCGTACATCTTTTTCCACAGCCTCTTGTTTCTCCAACAGTAGAGCCCCAACAACATCCTTCTACCACATTCACCACAAGCCCATCTTTGTACCTAGAGGGGTGATAAAAAGTTTTATTTTGGTTTAAACTATAATATTAAAGCTCAAGCAGTTTGGCACCAATGAGTGTTTGGATAAGTGGTTAAACACTCTTCCTCCTAGAGTGAAGTGATCATTTTTATGCCCAAACTACTAATATAATTCAGAATAATTGTACCAAACTAGAATGGAACTAGTTCAACTCGGTTTTGTTTGGCCTTTGCCATAGTCAGTTTCAAATTTAAATACGATAAAAAAGACATTTGATTATACCTAAACTGATTTGATTCAATTCGGTTGACGAAAGGCCCACTCCTAATGCAAACAACCTAAATTCAAGCTCAGCATTTTTTTTTTTTCAGAAGAAATCAAACTGAAAGTCTAAAAAATAAGCTACTTATACAAATTATTAATAAACATAATATTAATTTGAAGTATCTCATTAAGTTGCAAAAATATAATACATGTGTCATAAACGATCGCTCTCTTCACTTGGTGGATATTTATGGTCATTGTTTGATTCCATAATCTTTTTACAAATTTGGTTTGATTACTTCAAATGTATTTTTTCTATTAGAGAGAGAGAGAGAGAGAGAAGATTTACACTTTTTTCTACATAACTACCTAAATAACAACATAATATAAACAAATCACCACAATGGTAACAACAAAATCCAAAAATTGTCAAAACAACTATTGTATTATCTTTAGGTTAGGGAAAAAAAATGATGCGTAGTTTTCTACTTCAATTTTACTACTTACTACTGATAGCCTAATTTTGTACTGAGTAGAGTATTTTTCCGACGAGAATTATATATCAAGTACAAAAAAATTAGGGTAAAATGGTTATAAAAATTAAATTGGAATGACATTACAATAAATAAAAGGCAAAATTCAGGATATTTTAAATAGTTATAACATAACGAGGAGATTAAATAATAATTCAATCTCCATTCTACAACTTAATCCAAGCCACACATAAGCCATTTAAAAGACTAATACAACATGATCTTAACAATTACTGAATTAATTACTGAATTAATTTGTTTTCACCATATTTAATACTATAAACGAAATAAATTGAAAAGAGAAGAAAATAAATTGGCAAAACTAGCTAGTAGATGTGATTTTGTATTTGGTTTAAACTGAAAATGTGGTATGCAATTTGATTATCACCCTAGCCATTGGGTTTATATTCATGGAACATTGGAAAAGCTAGCCATATATCCCTTGGAAGATTTTCAAGTTGAGGACCAGAAGCATAAAGAGAGTTGTATTATCAGATAACAATATTCTAACCAAGTCCCAGCTTTTACTGGTGAATTCTCTTTTTCACAGAAATATTATCTGTTTAATTTCTATATATAAAAATTCTTTTTTCTGTTTGTCCATACAATCCGATTGGGTTAAGTCTAATCATACTCGTGCCGCATCAAAGCGAGAACCTTTTAATCATTATTTTTTGAGTTTACTATTTATATATCTACATCAGGACGCTGAGAGAAAAATAATTTGATTTAACTTTAGAAGCTACGGCTTCATATATGGATTTAGAGGAAAGAATTATTTTTTTCTTTGAAGAGAGGGGAAAGGGTTTCAAGTTGCATGTTATAATTTCATATGATAAAGTAAAAATAACTTGTTTAGTAGTTAACTGGTTACTACTCTAAAGTTTGATCCGATAGCTTCTTATTGAACAACTTGTTTAGTAGTCTTTATTGCAGTTTCAACCAAATTTAAATCTCAATCAATGATTAGTTTTCTTTTTTAAAATATTATCACACTTTTTTTAGATATAAAAATTAATTTCATTTTGAAGTCTAACATTATAGAGGTTGTCCATTAAAAATAAAGTGTCCTACTTTTTATGAATTAATAATGCTTATTTAAACTTACAGGTTATGGCTCAGTTGCAATACAGGCTCAATATGTGAAAAGAGTTTTTGAATTCGATTTCCATTAGACACACAAGGGATAAGGAGTCCTAATTGTGATTAAGCTCAGTTACAACATTTTAGAAGAATAAGAAATATCACTTTGAATTTGATTATTTTCTACTAATGATAGAATTTAAATCAAATATTTTATTTTAACACTATCATTCAAATCCATTATATTTACGTACAATTTTATTAATTTCACAATTCATGAATTCTATATTTCATAAATTTCATATTCCATCAATCCAAACCACCATTAAATTCTTTATAAGTTATGAACATTATTTTCAAATTCACTTCTTAATCGTAATTTTACAAATTTGTGTTGAGTTACATATCAAAGCATTAGTGGGTTCCGTTTATTGTCTAATATCCATATTATAAGCTTAGCCCTTTAGTTTACTAGCTAGACCCAAGCCAAACTCCAATGTGGTCATGGCTAGGCTAGGCTAACCCTATTCATAACAACTTTTGATTGGCAAAATGAGTTTGGACACGTGTGGTACTTGAGATTTGAAAATAAACAAGGAGGATCGCAACTAATCACCACTCTTTTATAAAGAAATTCATATATTCTAAGGTGCTTAAAGAAGATGTGAAAATAAACAAGGCATCAAAACAATACCCATGACCGCCAATTTTCTTTTTCTACTTATATAAGGTATCAAGTAATGATGCTCGAAAAGAACTTAGAGTTTATAACCACAGATTTAAGATACTGATAAAATCTTTTTTTTTATTATTTTTTTATTTGCACTACCTAGTGTATTCATATGTTTATATATAAATAGTACAACTTCAGGTAAAACTTTTTCGATAATGAAGATTTCAAATTTTAAAATCCCATCTTATAAATAAATTTTAACTTAGAATATAATTATTAACACTTACATTACAGCTAATTTTGGTGATAGATAAAAAAAAAATTGGTGCACATACTCAGTATATAAAGGGGTCATATCATATGTCCAGAGTAGAAACTTGCAAACCATAATCTTTTGATCTTGCAAGCCTCTAACTGAGGTCCTCTCCCTTCTTTTGCTACAGCTTAATTATATGTCACTTGCTTCCTTTTTTAGCTTTGCCACTTCAAACATGGCTAAGGGTGGGATTGCAAGAGCAAAGATGATGATCCTTAGGTAATAATGATTTATTATCTCTAATTAACTTATGTTTTTACGATTTTATTTTTATTTTAATTAAGCTATAATCTGTTAATTTTGGCATAATAGGGAAGCTAATCGAGTTCATCATCGACTTAATAGTCTTCCAGCAACATCGCAACATGATTATGATTATAGTAATAATCATAATAATCAACTGAAAAAATCATCAAGGAATTCAATCGATGAAGGAAAAACTGACAACTCATCATGCTGGATACCGGACCCTCGTACCGGAATATATGTTCCGAAAGGGCAAGAATGGATGATGGATAATGTAGCAGAAGGTGCAGCTTCTTTAAATCAGACTTGTTGGCTGAGGAATGTTGATGGTGTTGATAAGCCAGACCCTGATGTTTTTTCTGAACCTTAATAACTAATTTGCGTTCAAAGACCATATATTTTGTTGTTTACTTATCTATTTGTATGAAAGCTATATATATATATAAATATTGAATATATTTGCTTATTTTCAAATTTGCTTGTCTGACATGATTTCTTTAATTTGAGATTACCATTAAAATATTATCTAAACTTGTCAACTATAAGATAGACATTTCACAATTAAACTCCTAATATTCAAATCATTTTCATGTTTTTGCCAAGTCAATTTTTTTAAAATTGTATATATGGAAAAGCCAAATGCATAGATTATGAATATACTTTTTCACGAAAATTCTTGTGATACACTTAGCTTGTATTTTGATATTGAACACTTCAATTTATAAAATTCATCTATTGAACATTTTAACTTATAAAATTATTTCATAAATTGTCCTAATTTGTAAAATTAGATTGATTAAATACTCATTAGATATTGGATAGCAAAAAAATAAAAATAAAAATCATTAGAATACATAAATTTATTCATGTGCTTTTACCCAGTAAAAATCTTGTGACATCCTAAACTATAAAAGACCCATTATGCTCTTAAAGTTACAAATTCGGTATATTTTACATCTCTCCACGCTTGCAACGATAAGTTTTGGTGTTTTTGACTTTTATATTTAAAATATTAATTTGGGGTGTAGTTAACACAACTTTTAGAATAATAACTTTCAAAAATTTCAAATTTGCAATAAGTGTTTAATTAATTTAATTTTACAAGTTGGAGTTAAACAAAATAATTTACAAGTTGAAGTGTTTAATAGATGTAATTTTATAAGTTAAATTGCTTAATTAGTGAAAGTAAACTTTTTGAAAGTAAATATTAAAAAATTAAAGATGCCATAAGATTTTTTATAAGGATGAATTTATACATTTTAGTCGAAGATTATTGTTTTATAAGTTGTGTTTATGAGTATAAAATTAGCATTAATGGATAATGATCGTTTACCAATCATCGAAAACTTAATAAATGTATATTTACGTGGTTTTAATAAATTTATCAATATTTGAAAAATATTTTTTTTTTTAAAAATAGAAATTATTTTCTTTTAAAATGATTAGTTTTCTCTTTAATTAAAAAAAATATTTTATTGATTGATTTTTTTAAACACCTCAAACATCAAAAGGTTCGAATAAAACATTTTACCGCTAAATTATTTTCTAAAAATAACAAAGCAAAAATTTTCTTACACTTATGATTCCATCAATTTATGCACATTGAGATTAGTAGACATTAGTAATTATTTTGTATAAATGTGAATTCAAAATGTGAAATTCATGTATAAAAGTATTTTAAATATAATTCATTAATTTGCAAATGAAATTTTTATATTTAATATATTTAATTTAAAAAATTAGTTGAATTGAATTTCACGGAATCATGTTTGGAAATAAATTTATAACTATAAATTCATGTACTTTTATTTTCTAAAATATCTTTACATAAATAATTTAAATTAACTACAAATACCGTTTCTATTTATTTTATGCAACTTAATAGTTGTATTTCTGTTTTTTTATTAAAATAAATATATAATGCCAAATAATATTAATAAAATTATGAATACTAATCATTGTTTAATACTAAAAAAAATATTAATAAAATTATTGTATTAAATTTAGTGATGAATATATACTCCCTTTATCTCAAAAAAATAATCCGCTTTTTATTTTCACACAGATTAAGAAATAACAATTATTATAATTAAAGGACAATTTTATTCATATAACTTTTCTATTATGCCCATTTTAAATAACAAATGAGCAATTATTATATTGGAATAATGAATAAGAATTAATGAGGGTTATTGAAAATAAGATAAAATTTAATAAGGATATAGTTGACAATTTAAAGAGTAACTATAATATAAAAAAAGGAAAATAAACTACATTTTGGAACAAACCAAAAAAGAAAGATGGACTATGACCCTATTCAGTAAATGATAAGTGTTATTTTTATAGTATTTTTAATATAGTTTTTATTAGGATTTTTAGTAGTTTTAATTACTTTGATTGACTTTTATTTAATTTTATTTATGTTTTTATTCAAAACTTCCTTGAAACATAATTTGCTTGATATTAAGGAAATTTGTAGGATTTTGACACAGAAAAGAGCAAAATAAAGCAAAACTCTCAGGCTCTAGCACGCTCTGGCATAGTTAATTTATTTCACAGATCGGTGGTACTATTCGTAGACCGGTAAATCACTATCCATTCATAGTTAATTATACTCAATATCTTCCTCGAGTCTAAATAAAATATTATCCCCCTCTTTACAACACCATTCATTATCTGATAAAATAATACTATTTTAAGATTCGAAAATTTTGGGGCGTTACAATCTCCGTATTGAATGGTCTATGGTAAGGCTTGCACCTCCCTGTTGAGTTAGAACACAAGGAATATTGGGCAATCCAGTTTCCTAACTTTAATGCTAAAGAGGTGGGTCAAAAGAGGTTGCTTTAATTGAATATGATGGATAAAATGAGACTCCATACTTATGAGAATGCCAAAATCTATAAAGACAGCACCAAACAGTGGCATGATAAGCATATTATTCTGAGGGATCTAAAGATAGGCTAACATGTATTACTCTATAACTCAAGACTCCATTTTCCAGGTAAATTGCGCTCTAGGTGGTCTGGACCATTCACAATCATGGAAATTTTTCCACAAGGAGCAGTTGAAATATGGATGGAAATTAGAGTTTCAAGGTTAATGCTCAACGGTTAAAAATTTACCAAAATGGAGAATTCAATCCAGTCAAAACCGTTATAAGCCTTGCTTAATTTTGCCTAAATTGGGTCTAGTGCGTCAAGCTTAACGACGTTAAACAAAAGTGCTTGTGGGAGACAACTCATATTCTTTTCCTTAACTTTCTTATTTTAGTTTATTTTTGTTATTTCTTTTTATCATTTTTCCCAAAACTTTTAAATCATGCCTATTCTTCTGTTTTTAGTCAAGCTATTTCAGGTACAAGTTGAGGCAACAAGGTCTAGCACACCGGACTGTGCTAGTCAGCACACCCGTGCTTCAAAAGGTGTAGATCGGCCTTGCAGGTCAGACTCTAGCACGCCCATGTCGTGCCATGTAGCACGCACGTGCTTCCTGGAGATGTCGCTCTCAGCCCATGCTCATTATAGCATGCCCGTATCAGCCAGCACTTCAAAGACTCAGAGCTAGCACGCCCGTGCCACGTTCCAGATCTGCATCTTTAAAGAGCGCCTTTTCGGTTACCGCGCACCTTCTCTATTTAAAACGCACGCCCTAGCCGCTTCCTTTACTTCTTTACTTTCTCTTTAAAGCACGCCTAACCTCTCCTCCTCTTCTTCTTCATCTTTCTCTTTTTCTCTCAACCAAAAAGCTTCGCAAAACCCATTTTCTTCTCTTTTCTCCTTCTTTCACCATGCCTTCCAAATATAAAAGAAGCAGATCTGCCGCTTCAGTGGCCGCAAGAATTGGACCAACCGCTACTCCTCCTACGGCTCCCGCTCCTCCTCCTATGGCAACTGCTCCTCCTCCGTTTGAGTTCGGCTCACCAGAACAACATGAAAGGTACAATAAACTCTCTCTTCGCCCTATTTTACCCAATCGTTTTATTGATGAATCTGCTTTAGCGCAAGCATGACTTATGCAGTGTTAGAACCTCTTAAACGCATTGGGTGGGAACAGTTTATTGCCATGAAAGACCTTGTTTATGCTTCTATAACCTTAGAATTTGAGTTCATATTTTGCTTTTTGGGAGAAATTATGAACTTTTAGTAAATGAAGTTAGTCATATCTTTGCGTTCCCTACAGAAAATGCCCTTAACCAAATACCTAAGGATTTAAGAGATCGAACCACATGGACAAAACTGACCGGGGAGAATAACTATAATCCTAGACTGTCAAAAGCTTCTAAATTGAGAAACCCAGCCTATCGTTACATTCACAAATTTTTTGGCCAACACAATTTTTGGGCGTAGTGAGAGTGATGGAGTGTTGAGCCTAAATGAATTATACTTTATATGGGCGATAGATCAGGGGATATTTCTGAATGTTGGCTATTGGTTATGCCAACGATGGGCTAGGATTGCAAGGGCAGACAAGGGAGCTATCGTAGTGAGAGTGATGGAAGTGTTGAGCCTAAATGAATTAATACTTTATATGGGCGATAGATCAGGGATATTTCGAATGTCGGCTATGGTTATAGCCAAAACGATGGGCTAGGATTTTTTATATGGGCGATAGATCAGGGGATATTTCTGAATGTTGGCTATTGGTTATGCCAACGATGGGCTAGGATTGCAAGGGCAGACAAGGGAGCTATCATGATGAGGTATTTTGTGACCCGAATTGCATTTTATTTGAGAGTTTGGAAGCCTGCTCGACTAGTTTATGATAGTGTGGGAAGAGGCAAGGGCACTAGACCTGACTTAGATGTCATGGTGCATATGAAGTTGGTAGAAAAGATAAGGGATTTGTTTCGTATTGTGGGATCTTGAGAAGAGAGTTCTGATGATGAGGAGGCTGAAGATGCTGGTGACACTAATTTGGAGGAGAGTAATCCAAATTCTTTCACTGGTTTTGGTACTTCTTCTAGTGCAGGTACCTTTGGAGCTGGTCCTTCTTTTCAGGGAGCATCTAAATTGTCCAACGATGAAGTTCTTGCATGTATGATGTCCAAAATGGACATGTTTGATGTCCGCCTTAATGGAATGGAGTCCATGATTGCTGACTGTTTCCAATCAATAGAGATTATGCATGAGAGCCTCGACTCTCGTATAGACACCATGCAAGGACAATATCAGGGAATTGCTAACCAACTCCAAACAGTGATTCGATTGCTGTAGCCATATCCACCTCCACCACCTGAAAATTGATTATTTTTTATTCTTTTTCGTTTGCTTTCTTTTTTTTGTTTTTGTCCCTTTTATTTATTTGTACTAAGTATTTTGGATAATATGTTTTCTTGATTTTAGTGTTTTCTTTTTCATAGCTTTGATAATTTCCAGCACTCGGCTCTTATCGTATTTTTCCTTCAATCTTATTGTATTTTTTAATACAACGATGATAATGGTTTCTACACTCTTATATTCTTTTATTACATAATTGATAATATGATAAGTTTGGGAAATTAATTTTTAAGCTCATTGGGGACAATGTGCTAGATTAAGTTGGGAGAAGAGAAATTTTAGTTAAAATTTTAGTTTTCTTTTGTTTCATTAGTTTAATATGGCTGAAATAATTGTGAGCAAGCTCGAAAATTGTCATAATTCATTTAAACTGCGATGAATTTAGTTGTTCTTCGAAGCTAGTTGCTATTTACCTTAAATTTTAATTTTTGACATAACATAATCTTTGATTTAACCATTTATTTTTACGATTATGAACAATAATTTTTATGAATTTTATGATATATAGATATGTTTCGATAAAAATTTAACTAACCTTGGCATTCTTAGAACAAATTAGAATTTTCTTTGAGATAAAATTTTAAATGTTTACATTTAGAAAGAGATGATTTAGGCATTCCTTGTTGAATTTCATATTTAGCTTAGGCCACATAAGTTAAAATATAACTTTTGCATCCAATTTGAAACCTATATCCAAATTTTATTAATCACCTTTATTAAACCTAGCTATTAAACCAACTTAATTTCATACCCTAAGTGCAATAATATATAATTGAAGGATTTAAATAAATGAGTTAGACCAGTCAACTCGTAACACGACCCGTTTAAACTCGTGTACGGATCATATGTTTATGAAACGAATCCATTTAGACTCAACTCTAATCCATTTAGTTTCCATATTAGGCAAATCGTATTCCCGTGTCATGATCCATTTTAACGGCCCAAGGTTTAAGCCCTATATATTAATTATTATAAGCATGGGCTGGAATAAAAATTTAATCAAACCCAAGCCCAGTCCGAATATCAAGAAAATTTGATTGGCCAAAAACGAGTTGACGCGTGTAGGGAGGATCACAACTAATCACCGCTCTTTTACAAAGAAAATTCATATATTCTAAGGTGCTTAAATAAGACATGCAAATAAACAGGGCATCGAAACCATACCTTAATTATTAATTTTCTTCTGTTCAAGTAATGGTGTTTGAAAATAACTAAGAATTTAGAGCCACAGATTTAAGATATTAATAGAATCTTCTCTTCTTCTTATTTCTTTTTCTTTTTACACAATTTGATGTCTCCACCCATTTACGTAAATAGGACTAGGGTGGTCATATTTCGATTTTTGGAACTACAATCGAAATCGTGCAAAAACTGAAACTGGTTAGAATTTAAACCTTAATCCGGAGGTTGCGGTTCGGTTCTAGTTTTAAGTTTTTTAAAATCGTAAACTGGCAATTCTAAGAATCGGCTGAAATCGAAGGTTTTGAGAACCGGTGGTAATACATTTCTTTTATTTTTTTAAAATTTTTTATTAAAATCTCCAAATTAACCCTCTATTAAATATAAATGGCTATATAACATCTAATTATCTCAGAGCATTTGTGTAAATTAGATTTTTTGGTTTTTAAATTATGCAAACTATTCAGAGAACCATCGATTTTGAAACCGTTAAGGAATTAAAACCAAAACCGTAATCGGCTGATTCCAAATTGGAATTAAAACTATCAATTTTCGATTCAATTTCAATTCCACATTATTTAGACCAGGAATCGTTAGTTTGGAAGCCGAAACGGGCGGTTTGGCCAATATTGTATGGAAATATAACCGTGGACATTTTAAATTTGCAAAGAGCTTAGAATTTAGAATCATATATTTACCTATATCTATCATAAGCACTAAATTAATGCTGTGGTTCAAAAAATTATTACTATTTAATTTTTTTTAAAAAAAACACATCGATAACTTTATCTATATTTATTTTTATCTCTATTAAATATCTATGTTTTGATTAATCTTCTTATTTATATGAAAAATGAAAGATCTCATATTTAAAACCTTTCTAATATATAAATTTTTATCAATTTAACGAATAATAAAAAAAAAAAAACTATCCTTTAGGCAAGAATTTCGGAACGCATCCTTCAAATTTCTTTGTATTCAAAAGTTTTTTTTCTTTTACTTTCACTTTATGAATTACGAGTGCGTACCGTGTACTTTTTTGCCCATAACCTCCACTAGATGTACTATAGAATTGATTCCTCATTTGATGTGGACATAAAATACAAAACGAATAAATGATACATTATAATTTTTAATTTCAATCATTATTATTGAATCTCTCACCTATTCCTTATTTATAAGCACTTTGATTTTAAATAAACAAAATCAATTAATTTTAAATCTGCTTTTAATTTTATGAATAAGCACTTAAATTTACTTTGCACAAAAGATTACATTTCTACCAGTGTTAACCTACATCTTATTACACCAAAATTGAAATTAATTAATTTTTCTAATTATTAAATTAAAAATTAATGATTATATCTAAATCTAACCTAATTAAGTTATAAGCACACCATCTCTCTCTATATATAGGGATCATACATCATATGTGTGTTTAGGAAGCACTTGTTAAGCTTGCAAACCTATAAGGCCTTTCCCTTCTCTTTTATCACTTTAATTCCTTTGTAGCTTTTGCCACTACAAACATGGCTATGGGTGGGATTGCAAGAACAAAGATGATCATTCTTAGGTAATTTTTCTTGCTGTATTAGTGGGCAATTCTATAGTTTGATTTATAATATACAAATACCCATATATAAATAATGGGTCTTTGTTTTTCGAGCGTTTTCTTTTTTTATTTCTCCTTTATCCAAGATAAGGTGATATAACAGACCATTTTCGTCATTTATTGTATTTTTGCTATTAAATTGTTGTTTATCGATCTCTTTCTCCTTTTTTTCCTTAACCACTTCCACATACTCACATACACGTATATATTAAAAAACCGGTGGTATGATAAATCATTTTTGCGGTTTATTATATTGGGTATTTAGCATTTTAATGAAGGAAATTTAAAGTCAATTACATGTTCACATTGTTAGTGTAAATTGTTGGTAAGTATATGCTTGAAATTATTGATGTTTGAAAGCTTTTCAAGTGGAAAAAGAACTTTAGTTATGGTAATATGAGTTTTTTCTATTTGATATTAGTTTTTTTTTTTAATTATGCTAATATAACACAGGGAAGCTAATCGAATTCATTGCCATCTTAGTAGCCTTCCAGTTGCAGTACCACAGTATGATTATGATTATGATTGTAAGAATCATGATCATCAACTAGAAAAATCATCAAGAAATTCGATCAAAGAAGGAAAAAGGGACAGTGCACCGTACTGGATACCGCACCCTCGCACCGGAATATATGTTCCGAAAGGGCAAGAATGGATGATGGATGATGTACCAGAAGGTGCAGCTTCTTTTAATCAGACTTACTGGCTGAGGAATGTTGATGTTGTTGATAGGCCAGACCCTGATATTTTTTCTAATCATTAATTAATTACTAATTAATCTGTATTAAGTTAATTATGTTTTACTCATATATATTTATATGTATGCATTGTGAGAGACCGTATACTTACATATCTATATGAATAAAAATTTATGTGTATATCTAAATATTTGCTTATTATAAAATTTGAATGTGGCGTGCATTTCAAGATATTGATTTTGTTAAGTCAAGTATAATGCATATGCAAATAAAAAAAAAAATATTCGAATAGAGTAGAGATGGCCATATTACGGAACCGGAACCGTCGGTTCGAACCGGTCCGGAACCGTAACCGGAACCGGACCGAACCGGAACCGGAACTGGAGAATTCCGGTTCGGTTCCGATTCCAAATTTTCTGGAACCGGAACCGGGAAATTCCGGTTCGGTTCCGATTCCAAATATTTCTGGAACCGTGAACCCGGCGGTCCAGAGAGAACCGGTGCGAAACCGGAGCTGGAACCGCCGGTGCCCTAGCCGTTAGAACCGCCGGTGCGAATCCGGCGGTTCTAACCAAACTATCAGCTTGGGTTTTTTTTTTAATTTTGTTATGAAATCTCTAATTATGTTCAATCTTTAAAAAAATTAAATTTAATTGAAGTATTTCTTTAATTAAGTATTTTTTAATTTTTTAGGTGTATCTTTTAATTTTTTATGTTCAAATATATATTTTTTTTAACCGGTCTTCAAAATTTAAAATTATGTTCAAAAATTTAATGTCAAAAATTAAATAAAACTTTCATGCCACAATAACCTGCAACAACGGTGGAGTAATCTACTACTCGTGTAGAAAATTGTTGATTTTTATGCTAAAATAAGAGATAAATATAATGAAATAAAAATAATTCATATTATATGAATTTAATAATTATGATTCGTATAATTAATTATATACACATATAAATAGATTTAGATTGTGTTCAGCGACATCTTTTTAAGTTGTCAGTCAAAACATTAAACGCTATTTTTTACAGTATTATTAATTAATTGCTAAAGACAAATTTTCAGACTCATAATTCACAAATACAATTCCATGGAATTCATTATTCATGTAAATTAACAAGTCAAATTCTTGGTTACATAATGTTGGACTTTAGTGGTTTATGACTGATAGAGGCCAATAGTTGTAAATTGATTTGGACTTTTATCTTGTCCTTTGCTAAAATGATATTCTAATTACTCGAAGGGGCAAAAAAGAAATTAATCCACTCAATGTCTCCATCAAGTTATTTTCAAGCTTTCAATTGAAAACTTTGAAGATTTTTACACATAGCCAACCATCACTTCACTCCTTAATTGTCGAGGGCAACATGTCTCATTTTCCGTCTTATTGCACATTTCTTGCCCCACTAAAACCAAATCATGTACCTAAATCTTAATGGTTAGCAATAAAACACTAACATCGGTAGGGCAAAAAAAAAAAAAAAAACTAAAAAAAAAAAACCCGTTAGAGAGAATCTAGAATATGCTTACAGTGTCATCATGAATAGGGAAAAAAAAAAAAAAAAAAAACCGTTAGAGAGAATCTAGAATATGTTACACCAGTGGCATCATGAACAATCTAAGCATGAAGCTTTGAAGGATGATCTGCAAGCATATGAACCCCTAAATTGAGAGAAAAAACCGAATTTACTAGCCAATATGTACAATTGTTAGCCTCTCTACAGAGATGAGATAGCATCACATTCTGACATTCATGCATGACTTGCTTAATAGAAGTAATCAAATGCTGAAACCTAACGAAATAACCACCACACTTTTGATCATCTTCACAACTAATTCGTTGTCACATTCGACATGCATAGCAATAATGCCACAATTCTTTGCCAACCTTAAATATTTGAAGATACCCCATATTTATGAAGAAAGGTAAAACTCTTTTTTTGGGTGTTTAAAATGACTTAATGCCTAATATTTAAATTTAAATCTTTTTGGTTAAAAGAGTAAAGGATTAGTTTCATTTTCTCTCTCATAAAAATTGATTGCTCTATCATTAATACTTGTTGTAACGCTATTCTTTTTTTTTTATTATTCATATAAAGCTATTCATTTTTAATATGTCAATAAAATTAATTTGTGATATATTAAAAAAACAAGAAAATAATAAATTTATCTAGTCCACGAAAAACCAAAACAGAAAAAAGAGGGTATCATTAACCATTTATCTCTATGCCTGTCTTGTCATCTTCAACAAAGCTTCAACTTTTAGTAGTAGAACGACATCGTTTTTAGGTCAATTTCATTCTGTCAAACCTTTGCAACCGTTTGTGACGAAACAATTTTCTTTTGAATAGATTTTTATTTCCTTCCTTCTTTTTCTTTCTCCAAATCCAATAAGTTTCATTTCCTCGTAAATTCCAATTTCCAAGCAAATATTTTCTCTATCTATGGCTTTCTTAGAAGCCGTTTCTTATTTACCTAAAAATCTCTCCCGCGTTTCTTCGAAATTCTTTTCTTGATTTCCGATTTCTGGCTTCTTCCTCGAGAATTCCTTTATTTTTCCCTCAAAATTCGCTCTATATAAACCGAATCTCGGATTGTATCATATCGTATCCGATAGGATCGTGTGTTGTTTTTGTAGTGTAGTGTATGACGAGCGCATCGGAGCTGTTTTATCCGAGGAGGTCGCGGGTCGGCCGAACCACCAACGCTGAGCACGAGCATTCTAGTTCTGATCGCAATTTTCACCTTAATTACGCTCGCCGCCATCATCATCATAATCACAATCATAGTCGGCATGATTTGGACGGCTGGGATCCTCTCCGGAGGTCCCCGCACGTGCGTCACCCGTGCCATCGATTATCTTCTCACAATGTAAGGACATATGATTAATTTTTTTTATGAATTTTGTTTGGTTGTTCTGAAATCTGTGATTGAGAGAATGGAAATGTGGGATTTTTCAGTGTTACGCTTATTTTAGTTTTCTATAACTTTGTGAATCATCTTAATGGGGGAACCCAAATATTATTTAAAAAAGTGATTAAATCCCAATAATTAAATTTTTTAGGCGGGTACTTTAAATTTTGTTGGGGTATGTAGAAGAAAGTCAAAATTTTACAAATTGTCTTATAGTAATACTGAATATGAAGTACTTTGATCCGAGAGGGGAATTAAAAATATATCATTGGTGTTTGAATTTTGGATTTTATGTACTACAGATAACTAGGATAATTTTTAACTTTATGAATTATATTTAGCAAGTATTCTGCGTGCATTCTGTATATCCAATTATACAATTGTTCTGTGTTTGTAATATATACAATGATGCACATTTCTCAATTTAGTAATGCTTTTGATATGTTGGTTTGCTCATTCTTAACTTCCTCAGGAACGTGCCTTAGTTCGGGTTGATGAGGGTACTAGTCAGTTACCTAGCAATGGTGCTGGCACAGAAACTTTGAGCAGCGCAAGCAGACCAACATTGACTGGAAATGACAGGCTTCCTGGAACTGTGCTGCTTGCAAGGGCAAGACTTCTTGAGAGATTGAGAGGGGTTTCACTCTCTGGAAACAGGTGATTTAGCTACCTTGTTGCTGTTGTAATATTGCCTTATCTTTAGCTGCAGAATTTTTAGTGGGCACAGCTAAAGCGCTTCCTTAGTGATAATTGCTAATAATGTCAAACTTTGATGCTATCTTAGGTGTGATTCTAGCTTTAGTTTCCTATACACTACAAGAAAACGAGTTATAATGACAGGAAAAATGTCGTTAAATGCACAAAAGTCATTACTAAATATTTTTAATTACAGGAAAAAACCTCTTGAGACCCATGGTATTAACAACAAAAACTAATATCCCCTCGTTATTAATATAATACTGAAGGATCATTAAATATCTCACTTCAACAAGAAAATTTCCCGTCATTATGTTAATATTTACTCATGAAAAATCTATATAGTGAGAGATCTCCCATCATTATCTGATTATAATATTATCCTTAAAAGGTTGCAATTAACAAGAGATTTCCATCACTGCTCATATTCTCTTGTCATTTTGTAGATATGCAAGAAAGATATAACTGCATTTCCACTAAATTACACCATTCAATTTTGATTCATAAATTATCAATGTCTTACAAAAATCATAATATTTCTTAATTAAAATACACCTAACTACAAGAGTTTTATATTTCCGAGTATTTGGAAATATTGTAAAAGTTGCGTATACATTATTGTTTGATATTCACCCAAGAAAAAACTAATTTGATCAACATAATGTGTCACTTTGCTGTCTTGAGCCACCTACAAAAAGATGACAAAGAAAAATATACATCTGAGTTAATTTCAATAAAAATAATAGCCATTTAATTTTGAGTATCAATATTCAAGATAACCAGTTATTTTATATATTGCATTACAAACTACAACTAATGAAATGAAAATAGGACCATATGAATAGTAAGAATAATTTAGAAAAGAAAATTTCAAAAATAAAAAAGGGAAAATCCACTGTTTTTGCAGAATTCCAATTTTAAATCTGTTAAGACTCAACTGTCATTCCCTTATAAAGCAAATAACAATTCTGCACAAAAAAAAAAAAAATGCATTTCTGCTAGTAGCGGAATCTGAATTCCAATTATCTACTGTAAATTTGAAATTAGTGTAAAACATAAGCTAATGATCAAGCAAATTCTCTTGTAAATGATTGTAGTTTTATTAACTTTTGCCTCACTTCTGCAGCATTGCATTTTCGCTACTGAAGAAATGCGTTTGTGCATGTGCTGTATTGCAACACAGCATGTGCAGAATTGTATTTATATCTTATCCTTCTTATTATTAGTCAGGAACAACTTTAAGAAACTTTCTTCTACTTAGCTTTCTTTCTTCAATTCTTTGGAAAATTGCAATTCCTCCCTATATCATTTCTCTTCAAACTTAACTGCTCAAATTTCTAAACAACAACAGAGTAAATAAATAACAAAATCCAAATATTTTACAAGAGTAATTTTATCATACAGTGCAAGTGCAATGTCCATTGTCCTAGTAATAATTGAATATAATACTGGCATCTGAGAAAGAAAATATCATGAAAAAAAGTAAGAATATTAAACCTGCAATTGCTGTTGCCATTTCAGGATGGTTGCTACTGGTTCTCACCAGAAAAAAAAAATGACGAGAGTTTGGAATCTCAACTCGGTTTAGTGTTGTAAAGTTGTCTGGATTAATAGATACTTCCAGTCAACTTGAGCAAGCTATTGTTGGAGGCAAGTTTGACTATGGCTAATGCATCTACTATATATACACTTTGAGCAAGCTATTGTTGGAGGCAAGTTTTGACTATGGCTAAATGCATCTAACTAATATATATATATATATATTATTTTTTTTTTTTTTTTTTGAGGTTTTTTTTTTTTTTTTGAGGATGAAATTAGGATTAGGGTTTAGTTTGTAAAGATATAATGGAGTTATTGTCTAATTGCTTTTACTTAGTGAGTGGATGGAGGTAATTCGTGTTTCAGTCTGCCTCAACTTTAGCACTGGGTCTTAAATTTGTGAAATTATCACTTACATTGAGAAAGGAAGAGGGACGGAGGAGGGAGGGAAAAAAATATAAAAAAAATTAGTTAGCCATGCTATGTTACAGGCATATATTTAAAATTGATTATGCTATATTTTATCTCAAATCTGGTGACTGGCTTCCTTCTCTTTTAAATGATTTTCTATCTTGCAATTTTGATCATCAATCTTGCTGCTATCATTCTCTTACTGCTATAACCTCATGTCTACAACCAATGTTCCTGCTGCTCTTACTCTGTCTCTATCTACTGTTACCATTAATATTTGTTTTACACCTGCTATGCTGAGCATCCCAGATTGCTTGTGTTATGTTCATTTCGGTTTTCTAATGAATTGCATACACATGCTTTTAAAGTAATTCCGAATCCTTGAGCCTGGGCAGATTACCTAGGGTGCTAACTCTTTAATTTTGGCTTTGCTTAGGCGAAGTGCCAGGGTGTCATTTGGCATTTACAACAGGGAGTATACATTCGGTGATGACTTAAGGGTTGCGGATGCGGAGGACTGGGGAACTGACATTGCTCCAGGATTGCCTGCCAGAGGAACTTCTTTTACAAACTCAACTTATCAAGCAGAAAGACTGCAATTAGTGCAGGAATCATACAAGAAGAAACCACCAGGTCTAACTTCAGAGGATCTTGACTGTTTGCAGGTGGAGTTATTTAGCAGCTTCGAAAGGGGTGTTGAAACGGAAATTTCTCGAGTGTGGTGGGATTGTAGTATATGTCTTGAAAGTTTCAAGGAAGGAGACAAGCTTGTTCGCCTACCATGTGAGCATAGGTTCCACGCTGCCTGCTTGGATCCCTGGGTTCGAACATGTGGTGATTGCCCATATTGTCGAAGAGATATAGTTGTAGGTAGTCACAAATCGTAGTAGAGTAAATAGATGTCCTCTCTAAAAGATATTTACCTTCTCCTTTTCAGTGGCTTGTGTCATGTTTTAGTGAAACTTTTTGACTTTGAATTTACTACGCGTACTGTAATTATGTTTGATCTGCAAAACACAATTAAATTGATCTAGTTTTGAGTCCATTGATGACTTATCAATGGTTTCATTCCATCAGGCCCCGATGCTAGTTTTGCTATTTTATTTATTAAATTGAGTACAATTTGAGTTAGGATGCTATTATAATTAAAATTGAAATTCAGGGTATTAGGAGAAAGAAAATTAAATTTATGGTATAATTAAAGCTACCCGTAAAGCTTAGGAGTTTTGCTTTACGGAGTTTTTTTAATGATTTAGCTGCCAATGATATATGATTTCTTTGATTTTGTCCTATTTTTAATATTTACTATTATTTTTTTGATAAACTTAATAGGAAATATATTATTTTTTTAATAAACTTAATAGGAAATACATATGCCTACATTTTTATAAATATACTCTTTTTAAGCTTTTTTTTTTTATATGTATCTCCATATTTTTTAAACTCATAACAAAATTCCTGTATTTTTATATTGTCAAAATTAACTATTATTTTTTTAGTAATTGTTGATAATTGCTTTAGTAGCATTTTAATTGTTTTATTAGTAGCGTTTAGCTAGTACTTCATTTTTTTAGTAATTGTTGATAATTGCTTTAGTAGCATTTTAATTGTTTTATTAGTAGCGTTTAGCTAGTACTTCATTTTTTTAGTAATTGTTGATAATTGCTTTAGTAGCATTTTAATTGTTTTATTAGTAGCGTTTAGCTAGTACTTCATTTTTTTAGTAATTGTTGATAATTGCTTTAGTAGCATTTTAATTGTTTTATTAGTAGCGTTTAGCTAGTACTTCATTTTTTTAGTAATTGTTGATAATTGCTTTAGTAGCATTTTAATTGTTTTATTAGTAGCGTTTAGCTGATAGAACGCGTTAAAAAAATTATTGCCAAACATAACCAAAGAATAGAGATTGCAGGCTTCCTATCAAATGGCTTTTCATGTCCTCATTTTTACAAAATAATTAAATGATCCAGTTGACTTTATGCGTGATTAAGAACACAGGGCAAATATAACTTCAGTTCTTTGTTTTTCAGAATCAAAGGTCATATATCACTCAGATGCAACTTAGTAATTCTTCATTCAAATATTCATCCATTAACGAAATACAAACAAATTATCATATAGCTCTCCAGAAATAGCTGATTTCGTAATGGATTCACGCTTTGGAACTGACCTAACCAACTCCTCTGGCATAGGAGTTGGCACTTCCCTCCAGCAATGCAGTAACAAAGTAATTGGAAGACCCACTAATCATAGAAACACCTGTCTGCTTCCTTGCCACTTCACTCCAACCACACTCCCCTTTCAAATCCGAAAGCACTATTTCTGGCAATTTTACATACCCTCTCCTAAAACTTCCCCATATACCCCAAAAACATACTGATGACTGAACCAATCGCATATCACCAAGAATGAAGATTTTTTCTACCATTTCTTCTGGGGTTATGTTTTCTACCACTGCAAATCATAATATTTGATCAAACACCTTTTCCACATTCGATTTTCCATTACATTCTAGTTTCCTCAAGAATTCAATTCTTGATTCAAGGTCATTTCCTTCAATCTCACAAAGCTTTGGGTTATCACCACAAGTAACAATCTTCCCCTTCCAACAACCATTTCCAAATTGCGAAATTAGTAATCCCATTGATACACAAATGTTCTTCTCTGTATCAGTCATTCCTTCTGATATCCCACAAATTGCCAAACATTTTCTTAGTTTAGTTCTTTTTCTCAAGTTCTCTAAAAGTGTATTCCATTGACACTCAGCAACTTCTTTACTACTACTGTTATCTTTCAAAGAAGCTGCTTCTCTAATATGGTGAGGAAGCAATTGCTTTCTTTCCCTGCATTTCTTGGTTGCAATTTCAAGGAACGCTTTATACCTTTCTTTCTCATTCTCACTAAAAAGCTTAGCATACATTTTCTTTAATGCAACTGATACACCATTGGACTTGCATGCTATTGAGTCATACCTCTTAATGCTCATTGAGGCTTTTCTGAGAGGAACAAGAATTTCTTTCATAAATTGATTTCTAATTCTATAAACATAATGAGCATAATCAATACTAGAATACTCAGGATCTTTGCAATCTTACTAATATTTTCAATCTTACCGGAGATTAAAAATTCAATATCAGACTTTGGCAACTTTGCAAATAAATCAGCAAGACAATTATGTAGAAATTGATAGTTAGGAAATTAGAGTAAATTTTAATTGCCCTTTTAGCTCCTACCATATCCTTCATCTTCCCTAAAACCCTAATTTTCTCTCCCTTGTCTACTATTTCTGTCTAATTTTTTATCTTTGCACTGTTTAGCCTAATGGGTGTTCTCCAAGTGCGCAGCCAAATGGATTTCTTGAGCGATATTTCAAATTTCAAGATTCGATACAGAATTTCAGGTAACCAAAATTAGCAAAATTTTCAAGATTGGTTGCGAGGACAACAGGATGCCTTTCATGAAGCCAAAGAACCGAGTTAAAGAACCGTTCTTTGTTAGGTTTTCAATCAACTCCAACAAAACCCAGATGACAAATGAGCTTTAGAGCTGTTAGTGGGTGCTGATTCCAAGCTTCGTTTAGCCAATTGGTTAGGGTTGAAGGAGGGGTATCAAGACATACATTGAAGAACAAATTTAGGCAAGGAGTTAGTGCAGGAGCTGTTGTTGGCCTGTTTGTGGAGAATAGAATCTGTTTGTAGGTTGCATCGGGATTACTGGGTAAAATGGTGGTGTTAGGGGTGGCAGGGCCGTGAATCTGTGGTGGCCCAAGGAGGAAGGATGAGGAAGAAGACATATGAAAATGGAGGAGTTAAAGGCAAAAAGGATTTGCCAACCCTAGCAATTGAAGGGTTTTGTTTGGATTTATATAGTTTTGTTTTACTTGGAAACCAAGGATTTAGAATTGCTGTAAATACCAAGTTTGGACTTAGTATTGTTAACAGATTAACAGGAGATTTTGTTTGAGAAAATTAAAAAAGGAAACAGGATTTTATCCTGAAAAGTAGGTTTCAAGGTTTGTAAATCAGGGATTTTATTGTTTTAATTTTTTTTTTTTTTGAAGGATGATTGTTTCAATTTATTAAGAAATAAATAGTTAAATATGTTATTTTATCCTTGTTTTCCTTAACTCATGCCTAGTCTAGCAAAAGTGATACTGCTATTTGTAGCTGATACACTGCAACAATGAGACCTTTAATTTTTTTTTTTTTCACACTAAAATAAGTATTCGATAGTATGATGAATATTTGATAGTGATCATTTTTTGCATAATAATTATACAAGAGGTTCAAGAGAACGAAAAAAAGAACTGAATGTAAATCTTTAGCGGTCTCTCTCTGTCCCATAAAGAATTTAGCGCTTTTTTTTTCATGTGCGGCCACCGCGATATTATTATGCGTTTTTTTGAATAATATTTAATTTTGTGGCTTTTGATATAGATCTAACCAATCGTTGCCCATAAATTGAAATTATTATAGCCTATATTTTGAGATATTATTCTCAGATTTAGTCGGCAGTTTTTGAGTTTTGTTATCACCGCTACGGCAATTTTTTTTTTTTTTGATATTTTGTCAATTGAGTAGTCAACAATTGAAGCAATAATTATTTCAATTGGATACTTCAAATCAAAATTATAAATGGTGTATATAAAAATATAAAAATATGTTTTGATAATGAAAATTTCAATTTGATTTCTTCTAAAAAAAACTGAATGTACCTAAATATGTAAACTGGATGCTGACAAAATGAAATATTTTATTTTTGTTTTACATTACGTATGGAATTTTTAAATAATTCTAGATGGATTAGAAAAAAATATAGCGGAATACATGTATACACTTCAAAACTTTGTAATTTTAGTTATATAGCACTTTAAATTTTGTAAATGACTTATTATATATTTGTATTTATAAATTTAAGTATTATTATACACATTTTTATACTAACAATAACGATAATAATTTTTAGAGTATTTAACTTTTATACATAAAACATTAATTTAATGAATAGTTAACATAATTTTTAGAATAATAATTTTTAAAATTTTTAATTATTTAACAGGTTTTTTTTAATCAGCGGGAGGGATTGAGACCCAGAAACACTAATCAGTCTTAGGCCAACATACACCTACAAAGTCTGCATCCAGCAAATGAAATAATGAATGACCCCATCCAAAGGACACGGATGTAAGCCTCTAGGAGCTGCAACTGCTACGTTAGCAAGACCATTAAAAATTTTAACCAACTTAACTTCCCAAGCACGTGCTGCTATCAATTATTTAATTAGATATTTAATTAATTTAATTTTACAAATAGAAATATTTAATAAAATAATTTTATAAATTTAAATGTTTAATAGGCGTAATTTTATAAATTTAAGTGTTTGATGGATAAAAATAAAAATTAAAAGAGACTAAGATTAAAATAACAAAAATTCAAATTAAAATCACGTGTTTTGTCAATTAAATATGAAAAAAATTTTCAATTATATGTAACGTATCAAATGGTTGTAATCTCTTCTAATTCTTTTTTGCCACAGGTTGAGGACACTAATAATAAAGACTATCTTCAAAACTTTCTTGTTCTCACCTGGTCTCTGTTGGAAGGCTCCCAATCATTATATATGGACAATTTGGATCACGACGCAACTCGGATTTGGTATTCCAGTGTGCGGATAATTCAAGATTGGTGTAGTGCGGAATCTGTGACTTCTCAACGTCGGTGGGCTTCACGTCCGATCCAGCGCCACGCATCTGTCCAACGTGGGGAGCAGTTCATGCTTCGGACTAGCAGTGTTTTACTAGTGGTGCTTTTTTACCGAGTTGAGGTTAGCAGGTTTTTGTGTGGTTTTTGAGCAAGCTGATGGGTCGTTTATACGTGCCATTTCTGGCTTTTTTAATACGTATACTGATACTATTTTGAAGTTTGGTCTTTTGGTCTTATTTACATTGACTTTCGGAAAATATGCTCAATCCGGACCGTTAGACTTTTCTTTACGCTTTGGAATCTTCTTTTATTGATATTTCTAAATTTGAGCTAGTTATTAACGATTAGAAAATCTTTTAGCTTCAATTTGACTATTAAATGGATTAGGAGACAAACTAATGTAAGAGTTTACTATCTAATTAGAACTTCACATTCTCGTGCTCGTTTCCAGGCGTGGAGTCAATTCCACATTTTTTGTTACCTTACTATGATTTATAATGCAAGTTTATTGATTTGCTTTCAGAAAAAAATAAAAAAGACCACGTAACCATATTCAAGCTCATATGCTTTCTTATTTTTTACTTGGGGCCTTCGCAATCAAAACTCAATGACCCTAACCTGTAATATTAGGGTTTTGGGTAGTGCTCTTGGATGCTTGAAAGATTTATTAGAAATTGTAGTTAGCATTTTGGAGGATTCTACAAATAATGGAAAAGAAAAGAATTAGGGAGTGAATATAGGTTATCCATCACACAGGGGCGGAACTACCCATTACACTGTGGTTCATCCCCAAAGTTAAAAAGAAAAAGTTTGAGGAGCTATGAGTTTGTTCCTGGTAAGTGGAACTGACCTCTAGGTAGATAAGAAAAAAGAGATAAGACTCTACAAAGCGTTAAATGGACGCCTATAAAAAAGATATATATGGAACATTCTATGCAAAGAAAGGTACTTAATGCTTCAAGATTGCTGGGAAAATAGAAATTGGGAATGGATTGTTACTTCCTCAACAAGTAATAGCCTTATATATTAAACCAGAAACAACTCAATGATAAAGAACTTGCCAAGCTCCAATGGCAAAAGTTAGTGGATCTTTTCTACAACAAAGAGAAATTGAGGACGTCAGTCTATAGAAGGAATTCCAGTTGCAATGGAACAACTCATTTGAGAATTAATTTAGTACAAATCCATGGAAAGGAAGAAGTATTTATATCTAGTGAAGCTGCGAAAGATTCCATGACAAAAGTTACTGAGTTTTGCACAGAAATGGATTATGGTAAGCAAGTAGATGGCTTACTTTACTTACAATCGTGAAAACAATTCCGATATCATGGCATGTTACTTTCAGCCCATAACAATTTTGCTCTCAACGACATGGCTTCAACGGAAGATGCATCATCCCCATGCATATGAAATCGACCCGTCAAAGGTAAGTTGTGAATTAATTTGTTTTACTTTGGTCATTGATTTTCTCTAAGAATAGCAAAATTGTCCTTTTTCTTTTTTTTTGGTCATTGATGATAATTTTTCATTTTCGCTGTTTGTCTTTTACGAGAAAAGTGCTTATAAAATAAAAGTTTTAAAGCACTTTTACAATACCGTGTGCTTGGCCTCAACCAATGACTACATCACCACATTGTGTGATTCAAATCAATCCAAAGGTCAAAAGTTATATTTTGAGTGATCTGATAAACATCTTATAATTAGTAGGATAATAACTATTTATATGCAATTTCAGGAAAATATTTACTTTTATACATACGTACATATATATATATATATATATTTGATTATCTCGGTTCTGAGTTGTTAGCAACTGATTTAGTTGGTGCTCTTTGGTCTCGAGGTGGCTGAGTTCTTTATGAGTTTAAAATTCCTCCTTCATATTAAAAAAAAAAAAATTTTTACTTTTTGTTATTGTTTTATATTTATTTTTTTTCAAGCTCACATTTTTTTTTTTTTTATGTTAAGTGGGGATTAAATTTGTTCAATGGATACATACAATATAAATATCTTTTTGCCATGCAAGCCATGTGTATTTGCTCAGATACTTCATCTCCATCGGTTGTTGCTATTTAAAAATTTTAAATTTGGACAACTTTCGGTAAAGAAAAAGAAATAATAATTTTTAATCGAGGGAGAAATTAAATCAAATTATACGGAAAGGGAAATTTTAATTTTGTATTTGAACTAACGAATCTTTGCAATTTTGACTTTGTCCTTTTTTGGTAAGCTTTTTCTTAAAATTAATTTTCTTCATTCATCAACTTTGTTTGACTCTTATTTCTTTATCAACTATAAAGACAACAACATAGTACAAATGCGATTCAAAGCATCAACTTTCTTTGTACTACAAATGCAATTTCATATGGATATGTAAAAATAAATACAACGTGGCAATAGTCGAATTGCTTTAATAGGTTGGACTCTTTGTTGTATTTTTTTTATTTAAGATAGATTTTGAACATGTTAACATAGAACGTAATCATTTTGCGAATTATTTAGTTAATAATCGAATTGATAATTAGAGATTTTTATAGTTTTAGCTTAGATGTTGTTCCTTCTTGATTTCTTTTCTTAACTCAAAGAAGAAAAATTGAAATTTTTTTTAGATGCTCTTTGTTAATGTAGTATCAGTTTTTTTTATTTAATATTTCCAAATTTAGTTTTAGGTGTATTGAGGAGCCTGTTGATTCGAGTTAGTTTATTTATATAAAATAAGTTTTTTTCTAATTATATAAATAAAATGAATTAATTTTACTGATAAAAAAATAGGTCTTTATCCATTTATCGTCCAAAACTTGTTGACATGGTCATTAAACTTAATAAGTGAATATAAACGGGTCAAATATTTAAAATCTAACATATGAGGTAGTAGTTTGGTAACAATCTCTTATGTTTAATCACATATTTGATTTTTCAATTCGCACTCCACCACTTAAACTAGGTTCATAGAATTATTGAAAAAGGAGAAAATTAAAAGTATATATATATTCATCATTAAGTTATGTTTTTGTGAGAAATTATACGCTTTCAATTTAGCCAATTTCACAGATTCTTGATTTGAACATAAATCTGCACGATTATATTCCACAGGTGAAATGAAAAACTTTTAAGGAATTCACATATCTAAGATATGTGATTTCACTAAAACGAGTACACTTAATTTTGGAGTTTTTTTAATTCTCCAAGTAATTCCACCAAAATATGTCTCTAGTAATTAGTTTCTTCGTTTTTAATATATGGTTCAATTTATTCTTGTGTTCCGCATTTCACTACTCCACCCTCGGACTATTTTGATAGGTCAAGTTATCATAAGGAGGTTTTATATTCAGTCTTCTCAATCACAAGATTTTTTCATTAATTGTATAAATTAAGAGAAGTACTGTCTTTATTGTATAGTTCACGGTATTATTTTTAAAGCTTTGAATAAATAAATAAAAAGTTAAGCTTTTGTGTGATGTCATATTAAAAGTAATTATTCATAGAAGGAAATACTTTTTTTTTTTTTTTTGTCTAACATTGAAAAAAAATTATATTGATAAATAAAGGAAAGTCATATGTCCAATTATGAAAAGGTCCCTCACTAAAGCAAGAAAAAAAAAATGATTATCGCAAAAATATCTTTGAGGATTTAAAGCATTGAAAGGAAACGGAACAAGGGAAATTTAAATGTAAGCAATCAAAATACAGCTTTGAAAACTCGTTTTTTACACTGATATTGAAGATAAAACCTACGCGTCAATACACACTCAGCACCAAATCCATTGGCTATAACTCTATCTTTTCCCTTTTCTATTCATTTCCTTTTCTTTTCAAATTCTTAAATGTTGGTTGTCTTGTAATTTAATAATCAATTGAAATATTTTATTTTTAGTTAATTTAATTTTTTATAAGGATTTGAATTCCATACTTTTCAATTTTGGATATAAATCTTATATTATTAAGTTAATCCTAATATAGTAAATTACAGGATATTTGGTTGAGTCGACTTATGTAATTAGTAATATAATATAATATGATATAATATATATTATATTATGTATTTTAAACATTTTATATAGATTAAAGATTAATTAAAATAGAAAATAATATATTAATCTTAATGATATATGAAAATATATAAAAATAATTATATATCTTACAGTTATTTATATTTTAATTGCAATTGCTGCTAACAGTTAACAACTATCAAGCCACCAGTTACTATCTAATATCAATATTAACAGTTAAATTAAACGGTATCCAAAATTCACAAATTAAACTTTCAAATATATTATTAATGATAAACTATTAGATTTAAAATTATATTTATATTAGTATAAATATATAAATAATAATTGCATATATCTCAATATAATTTTAAATTTAATAACTCACAAAATTATTCTTATATAAAATGGACCTTACAATAAATAATTAAAAAATATTTGTTAATAAAATTTGTTCATTTGACAAAAATAAAAACTCTTTGAATATTGTTGGAGAACATCTTGAAAATAATATTAATTTCTAAGCTAAATAAAAAATAAACCTAATCATAAATTTTAAAAAATCTATTAATGCCCCAAAATTGCGAATTTTGTAAAGGGATGTTATGGAAAATAAATACAATAATTAGCTAAAAAAACTAAAACAAAAATAAAAATAATAAATCTTAAATAAATAGAGGAAAAGTAACGGAATTTACTTTAAACGCGTAGAGTAGACAGTAATAAAAGCAACAGGGAGAGAAAGAGTCGTCGTCTCCATCACGCGGCATCTCTTTCTTTCTCTCCTTTCCTTTCTTTTCCCACGCACTTTTTCCTCTCTCTATACACACCATCGTAGCTAAGAACCTAAACCAGAAACTACTCTCCAATCAATAAATACGATTCTTAAACCATAGAAACATATAATCCACCACGAACAATCGGCGACGATGTTGCGTTCTTGCTGCAGACCGCTTGAGCGGTGCTTTGTAAGGCGACCGGGCGGTGGCGGTGATGGGCTTTTGTGGCATACGGATTTGAAACAACATGCCTCTGGTGATTACTCTATCGCGGTGGTTCAAGCTAACTCTAATTTGGAGGATCAGAGCCAAGTGTATACATCTCCTTCTGCAACTTATGTTGGGGTTTATGATGGTCATGGCGGACCTGAGGCTTCCCGATTTGTTAATAAGCATTTGTTTCCTTTCATGCAGAGTAATTCCTCTCTCCCTCTCCTTTTGATCTAATGCTCTGTTTTGATTAGGCTCTGCTTATGTAAATTTTGTGCTAATAAAATCTATTTACTCGTTGGCACATAGGCTGCACTTAAGTTGAGTTGGTTCATTTGTATTTGTGCTTTATAATCAAGTGATGTGATCATTCACTCCATGGTATTTGTATGATTCCCTGTTTGTTATTAATAATGATAGACATGTATTGTCTTTTTCATGGTATCTATTAACTGTTTTGTTGAATTTTTAAGTAATTAATACTAGTATATAGCTTTAATTTAGTTGGTTTTCTTTTCTTTTTCTTTTCAAATCCTTTCAAAATGACTTTTATGGTTTTTGATTCCCATGTATAATTGGTGGAAAGAATACTGGACTTTTGAAATCCTGTAAAAGTATGACAATATTGAAACTTCATTTTTCTTTTTTATTTTTTTCTTTCGAATTTCCCCAATATGGGGAGAAGAGTTAATACTCAAAAATTGGATGCGCTTCTCACAATATCAGAACTGTCTCTTTTATGTGTTTTGTTTTTATCTTTGTCTGATTTTTATGTGTAAACCGCAGAATTTGCTAAAGAACAAGGGGGATTATCACCAGATGTGATAAAGAAGGCATTTAATGCAACTGAGGAGGAATTTTGTCGTTTAGTGAAGCGATCACTACCAATGAAGCCACAGATTGCTTCTGTTGGCTCATGCTGTTTAGTTGGTGCGATAACAGATAATGTATTATATGTTGCAAATTTAGGGGACTCGAGGGCTGTTCTTGGACGGAGAGTTTATGAGGATAAGAAAAAACCTGTAGTAGCTGAGCGATTATCAACTGATCACAATGTTGCTATTGAGGAGGTTAGGAAGGAAGTTGAGGCTCTTCATCCTGATGATTCGCATATTGTGGTGTATACTCGTGGAGTTTGGAGGATTAAGGGCATAATTCAGGTATAATTGAGTTGATTTATTTTTCTTGTTCTTTTGGCTGATTGAAAGTTCTTAAGTTTAGGGAATGATAAGCTGCAGTCTAATTTGGTTTAGGGGTCGACTAGATTTTTTCCCTTTCTTATCAATTGACCCTAAAGCCTTCCAAGATTTATCCTATGTTGTTTGAGTAAATCTCTGTGTCTTCAAATGCTACTGTGGTTATTTATTGATTTGGGTTGGGTATCTGAACTTCAAAGCTGAATCCCTTGCAAAAGCATTCAGTTGCTCATTATTCTTGTTTCATTTGTCCTTGTGCACAACTGTATGAAGTGAAAAAAATTACAGTTAAAATTGTTCCAGTGACTGCCTTAATACTTTTTCTGCAATTCTATTTTCTGCTTCCTAATTTTTTATCCTACTTAATATGGTTGGGTAATAATCCTGATGTGAGTTAAAATGTATGTGCTCCTTTTGCTGGAGGCAGGCCATTAAGTTTCTTTATGATATCTCATGGCCAATAATGTTAAGGAATTTAATGCCAGTCTAAACCTTTTATTTTTTTTGTCAGGTGTCAAGGTCTATTGGGGATGTTTATCTGAAGAAACCTGAATTTAACAGAGACCCAATTTTTCAGCAATTTGGAAACCCAGTTCCTTTGAAACGCCCTGTAATTACAGCAGAGCCTTCAATAATCATTAGAGAACTCTTACCACAGGACATGTTCCTGATCTTTGCTTCAGATGGTCTTTGGGAACAACTAAGTGATGAAGCAGCTGTAGATATTGTTTTCAAAAACCCAAGAGCTGTGAGTTACTCTGGACTTTCATCTCTCTTATACTGATCGTTGGTCCTTTGGACTTGATTGATTTACATACAAAAGAAAACACATGATCACCTTAACTACACCATGCTCTTCTGGCATGATTGTTGGTATGAAGAAAAGAAAAAGAAAAAGAAAATCACAGAAGAAATAAGAAATTTAGTGAAAAACATGCGTATATAACATTTCAGAAAATGAGGAATTTATGGACAATTTTTTTTAACAGCAAAGTGTTGTCGTATGGAGAAAGAGTATTCAGGAAAATTTGCTAAACAACCTTTAGTGCTCTTATAATGTCAAACTAGATGCATAATGACTTGTCCATTCTTAACTAATGAAACATACATTACAATATGCATGCATTTTTTTATGTTACTTAAACACAATGAAATGATCATAAAGAACTTGTAGCCATATGAAAAAAGTGTGTTACAGATAGAAGATTGGACGCAGATGATGCAACAATAAACAAAGCATAAAACTTGAAGACTCTGTGCAATTTGACTAAAAACAAAGAGAGAAAGATAATATAGTTGTGCATTAATTACTGAATCATATTTAATTATTTGAACATTGTTTGCCACTTTATTGTTTTTATAAAAACTTGGTGCTGTTAACAAGCAAAGAAATGTCAATTTGGACTTTGCACTTTGGCCATAGTCCAAATTAAGTAACTTTGTCTATTTAAATGAGACACTTAAAATGGAAACTTTGTCTATATAAAAGAATCGGAGGGAATACATGCTTAGGCAACTTATACTTTAATTAGCCCTTGGAATAAAATAATTCAATTTCATTTTTAAACTAAAAGCTTGGTTGAATCCATGCAATATAATAATTCTTTTCATTTTCCCGCAAGTAATAATTCCAATGCAATGTAACATTTATAAATATTTGGGCAGGTTGTAAGTAGTTTGCCTGACTGTTCTATCGATTGCAGGGGATTGCCAAGAGATTGGTAAGAGCTGCTCTTCAGGAGGCTGCAAAGAAAAGAGAGATGAGATATGATGACATAAAGAAAATCGATAAGGGTATAAGGCGACACTTTCATGATGATATTACTGTGGTAGTAATTTATCTTGATCACCAAAAAGGCTCCTCAAATGGAAAATTGAAGCGCAAGTCAGTCGGCTGCACCAATGCTCCTGTTGACATTTTCTCTAGAAATGCAGACGAAGTACAGAAGGATCTCTTTCAAACAATATCTTGAACAAAGAAAGTCCCTTCTAAAGGGTGACACTGGCTTTCTTGATTTCTAGGTTATACAATGAATTTGCATATTGATGATGGACATTAAGGGATTGAAACAAGAGGAGTACAGAGTAGTGTAGATAAGGGTTCTTTTCTTTTCTTTTTTGGGTGGGGGTTGCTGGAAATTGGGGAGTACAGAAAATGGCCTTGTGAAGATCTAACCACATTTTTTTCTTTCATTCTGCTACTGATTTATTAGTTTTTGAGAGATTATAGCTCCATTTTTACTCTCACTTCAAATTTCAGAAATTATACTTCATTGACAATCCATCATTTTGTCCGCATGATGTTTGTTAAAGGCATTCTCATGGGTTTGTCTATGTGTCGCCGTACAAGTTACGCACAGGCAGTTGCATGGATTAAGTGGCTATTATTATTATTATTATTATTATTATTATTTCGAAACAAAAGATAATTTGAGTTGTGTTTCCTATTTGCCTAAAATAAAAAGAAAATAAAGAAAAATTGTTTTTAACTAGAGTATAAGTACAGCATGAAAAATTATTTTTAAAACCAACGAAACATTTTTTGTTTAAAAAAAATTCTGATTAAGGGCAAAGTTTCTAGCCAGAGGGAGAAGTTTCCTCCCCATGCTTTTAGTCGTTTTTTACAAGACTATAACTAACGAATTCCCTGTTTGGCAGTTTCTGCCAAAACAGCTCTCTATAAACGGTTAGGTTCGGTTCAGATATTCATTGTCCTTTTCCTTCTCCAATTCTACTTTTGCTTCTCTGAAGAGTACTCCACTTATTATGCTTTGTTTTAGATGCATGCAAAATATGGATGAATGTAAAATAGAAGATGAAAATATCTTAAGATTTTCAATTATTTTATTTGGTTTAGATGAAAGTATTAAGGAGAATGTAAAATAAATTTATTTTATATTGTATAATTTTCCTTCCAAAATGGAGCAAAAATAACAAATAAGAAGAGAAAAATTATTGTTCGTACATGATAATGAAAATAAAATTTATTACGCCCCTATTTAATCTTATAGGCCACTTTAATCTTGAACTTATTTAAAATGATTAAAAATATCTGATTTTACTTTTTAGACCAATTTAACCCTTGATCTTATTTTGATTTTTACAAAATTAACGAATTGATTTTTACAAACTCTAAGGAACAAACAGCCTACTTATCATTCAATCCCACATAATTAAAATTTCATTAATATCTCTTCAACTCAAGAATCCATAATACTGCCTTTTATTACATTAGCTAAGAAAGAAAAATACAAATAAGCAAATCAAGGAACAATTCTGTGAGATTTCATTTTATCAATCCAAGAAGCAAAACATGTTTTGGAATTTCTAAACCCTACAAATCCATGTTCTTTACTCTTGTTCATAGTATCCAAATATGCAGCCCCTTGAAAAAACAAATCAATAAGCCACCAAGCTCCAACTTCCTCCAATCTTGTAGGCACCAATTCCTTCTCTCTCACAATTTCATCCCACACTGGCCCCATATCTTTCATCCTCTCGACTAAGCTCAGTTTTTTATCTCCAGCTTCAAACCCATAATTATCAATCTCAAATTTCTCTGCCAAAACCTTCCACAAATGCTTCCACTTGAAAACATCCCCATTACTGCAATTAAATGCCTCATTCTTTGCATTTGGATCTACTGCTGCCCATATTTGATGCTCTGCGATCAAATCTGCATCAGATGCATACCAATACCCATCCCATGCTAATTGATTTCCTGGGAAGGTTAATGGAAGCCCTTTATGCTTACAAATTGTTGCATAAACACAGAAAGTCCCTACTACATTCATCAAGCTACAAGGCGAGACCCCGAATATCGCTGCCGGTCTATGAATTGACCATGTTAAGCCTTCTCTCTTAGACACTTCATCAAACAACACATCTTCAAGTGTGTAATAGAAATTTATTGCTTTAAGCCTCGGAAGATCTTCATGGAATGGAGATTCGTGAGGCACAATCTTGCCAATAGACTCGAAAGAACCTAGGTAATGCTTCTGTCCTGTTTGTAAGCAGATATGTTGCAGGTTTTTTGCATTTGGGATTACTGTTTTAAGAACATTTTGTAGCATAGAGCCATTTATTTTACAGTTTTCTGCTTCTGTAGGTTTGCTTGCCCATGTAACGTAAAAGATGTGTGTTACATCTTTAAGATGGGAAAGCTTTTCAAACGTTTCTTCTTCATTTGAGATGTCGCATTGTATGTGTTCGGTGAGATGACCAGCTTGCCAAATTGGCTGCGGGCGGCGCGCCACACCATATACCTTCCAAGGGCCGCCTGGCGTGTCTGCAAGTGGCAAGATCTCCGCTAGACTGTTGCCTACAATGCCAGTGACTCCTATAATGAGGGCCACACTCTTGAATTTTGGTGGCCGATCATCTTCTTCAATTTTTTTCTATTGCATATAACGATCAAAACAAGAAAAGCGAAAGATAAAGTTAGAATCAAATAAAAAAGAGTGCCTATATTTAAATATTTTATTTATCTATTAGCATATTAATAATATTAGCACATATCACCAAATTACTAAATTATAGTCCAATAAAAAATCAATCAAGTAATTTCTTCTTACAGTAATCATGTAACGCCATAATAACATGAACATAATTTGAGCACAAACTCAGTGAATAAATTTCTTTTTTTTTTTTTAATCAAAATAATAGAGAAAGAAAAAAAAAGTTATAATCTAATAGAGAAAGTGGTACAAGAATTTGAATTCTTCATTTCCTGTGTTACAATCATCAGAAAAGAGAAAATGAGTTTTGATTTTTCACTTACGCTTGCTGTTCCAATCGCTCTTGCCCACCACCAACTCATTGCATTGATTTGCAGATGCACAAAAGAGAGAAAATTGGTGTGGGAGAAAAAAACTATTCTTGTGGCTGAACCTTATCCCTAGTAATGCTTTGTGCAAAAATATCTTAGCTTCTCATCTATATTGTGCTACTGTTTATGCAAGTTCTCGAAAAGTTTAATAAACGTTGTAATGAGGGACAAAGGTCCATTTATTTATTTTTGTTTGAAAGTGTCATTTATCTTTTGCAAATTAATTAGAAAATGTCTTTTTGGTAAATAGGAAATATCTTTTTTGAAGTGTAAAATGGTCCCTTGGATTAAGATTCGAATAAATTACAAGTCACTAATTTTAAGATTCAAATTTCCTACCACAATCCCTCTAGTATGTATAGTATTAATTTCATGTGTGTCAAGCTTTATGATATTCAGTTCCTCGAGGTATCATTTGGTCAGGTTGGGTCGTTTTATCTCATTCTCTCTCTGTATTCCTATTTTTATTTCTTTGATTTTTTTTGGGCCAATGCTTGTGGCATTAGCTTCTTAAAATTGTTCTTCAACTCTCTTTTTCTAATAAAAAAATACGTATAAACACATTTATATATTATTAATTTCTTCTACATTAAGATATTAGAGTTAATATTAGAAACAAAATATTCATATAACGGATCCCAGCTAATTTGAGATCAAAGCTTAATTGTTATCGTAAAAAGTAAAATCAAACTCGACACTTTAAACACCAAATTCTATTTTTCTCTCTCTCTTTTATTTTTGGTTATAGAGAGGTGTCTTTCAATAATTCAATTTGTCTTCTCCCACAGCACGGTCATCGTGTTTGTAAACATTATCCTCATAATTGCCAAAAACAACAACATATAATGCCAATGAACTGCAACTGAAAGCTATGAAGAAGATATAGCTGCTTTTTAACAAAGGTAAGCCAAAAACCCAGCATATAATTTAAGTTTTTCCCAAATAGAAAGAAAAATTTTCCAACTGTTTCTACATAGTTTTCCAGATATTTATACGGATAAAATTCAGATAACAAAAATCGTTGTGTCTTATTAGTTTCTCTACCTTTCCTGTGCTGTGTTAGTGCCCACTCAAGTGAGACCCACATATTTGCTATTGGTGTTTTATTATTGGTGTGGCGTGCCCACTCAGTGGAATCCACACACATGATGAAAAGAAAAAAAAATATAGGTGAAAGTTGGCATGCAACTTTGACAAAGATGGAGAGCCGTGAATGAGTTATGCACGGCTCTCTCGTCTTCCTCTCCTATAAATAGGAGAGGATTTGCCTCAGTTCAAACACACAAGCAGAGTAAAAGAAAAGAAAAGAGATTTAGAGAGTTTTAGTTTTAGAAAGGGTTCTAAAACTAGGGTAGAGAAAATAGTGAAGATAATTTAAAGAGATTTAGAGAGTTTTAGTTTAAAGAAAGGGTTCTAAAAACTAAGGGTAGAGAAAATACGTGAAGAAATAATTTGGGATGTTTTTTGGGAAACCACTTTTGAGTGCCCACTATTTTTTGTTTATTACTCTCTTTGTAAAGCCTAGTATTTTAATAGTGGAAGAAATATTCAGTATTTGGTCCCGTGGACGTAGCCCTAAAAGTTTAAGGGTGAACACACGTAAATATCTCGTGTCATATTTCTATCTTTTCCCGCTGCTGTTATTAATTCTTCGTTAATTTTATTGCCGGCGCCTAACAGTGTATAAAGCCAGAAGGCTTCCAACAGATCCAGCCAGGTAGATACGTGGTTACCCTCGGATCCAGTGGATATATTTTTGAAAATAATATACCACGACGACAGAAAACCATTAATGACGAGTCCTTGGTGGTCCGAGAAAATTATGACGAGTCCATTGGTGCAGTCAGTTCAAAAAAACGTTGCAGAATCGACCTAGTGATGAATAGTAAAATAGTAACTCAAAGTTGATAATGAATTCAAGCAAGCCCAGCACTATTCACGTGTATAGTTACTATTCACGCATACAGATACTATTTACGTATACTATTATTCACGCATACAGTCACTATTCACGTAGACTACTATTCACGTGTACGGTTGTTGTTGGTGATAATATTCTGCACAAGTCAAAAATGGACGATAAAACAAGAGGAACAATGGTTAGACTCAACTCATCAAACTATGCAGTATGGAAGATACTAATGGAAGATCTTCTATGCTGTAAAGATCTCTTTGAAACGATTGAGTTGAAAAAAGGACTCAGGCCAACTTCAATAAATGAGACTGATTGGAAGTCAATTAACAGAAAAGCAGTTGCAACTATTAGGCAGTCTGTTGAAATGAGCGTCATAAATCACATCGCTCAAGAGAAAGATGCCTATTCAATCTGGAAGAAGTTGGAGGACATGTACGAGCGGAAGAATGCCCAAAAAAAAGCTTTTTTAATTAAAAAGCTTGTAAATCTAAAGTACAGAAATGGCGAAAGTGCTTCAGATCACTTGGGCAAATTTCAAGAAATATTGAACCAACTGACGATGTCAAAAATAGTGTTTGACGACCAGGTGCAGGCACTATGACCGGCAGGCACTATTCTTATTGAGTTCCTTGCCTGACAGTTGGGAGATGTTGACTTTACGCTTAGTAATGTGTCAAAGGGGAATCTAACCTTAACCACAGTTAAGGAAAGTATTCTGAATGAAAATACCAGAAGTAAGGAGACTGGTACGAGTAGCAACTCAAATGCACTCGTTACGGTTACAGAAAGGAGGGGGAGAAGCAAAACCAGATACCCCCAAAATCCAAACAAACGTGACAATTCACGGAGAAGATCCAAGTCAAGAAAAGGTGTCACTTATTATCATTATGGCAAGCCCGGTCACATCCAAAGGCATTGCAGAAAGTGGAAGAAGGAATGAGCCAAAGAAAATGATGAGGAAAAAGACGATACAGAGGTAGCTTCAGTAGCTATTGATGTTGTCGCACTTAGTGATGGTAGTGCGCTGATTTCTCATGCTGGTCTCAGTGAGTGTTCCACTAGTCAACAATCTCTTTGGATTATTGACTGTGCATGTTCTTATCATATTTCTTCAAAGAAGAAATATTTTTCATCAATTACCCTCGGAGATTACGGCCATGTCAAGACTTTGAATGGCACATATGTGAAAAATTGCGGCATTGGAACAGTATGCATCAAAACCAATGCTGGTTGCCGGCATTGGAACAGTATGCATCAACCATGCCTGGTTATGAATCTATGGTTGGAAGATGTGAGATTACCCTCCTCGCACTTCAATCTAATCTGCTTGATGATTGGTTATGCAAAATCTGTTTGTGAACATACTTGAAGCTTTCCCAAAGGTACACTCTGGTGTTCGTAGAAGTCAAGAAAAGTTACACCCTATTACTACAAGCGAGGGATCATAAAAGTTTTGCCACGGATGGTGAAATAGTACAGTTGAAGATCGTCATCTGCTGGCGTTGTGGCACCAACGACCTTGGTCCATTCTGAGTGCGAGAAAGGAATGAGCTCTCTAAGAAGAAATGCTATCTTGGCAAGACAAAGGTTTTGGCCTCTAAAAATATGCATTGATTGTCTTTGGTCTGGTAAACAACATAGAGTTTCTTCGATTTCCGCAAAGATCCTTCTCCTTCTACGAAAGCCTGGTATTCTAATACTTTGGGTGGACGAGTGTTGTTCTCACTGACTGCGTTTGCTCGAGTTGGTGACAAACTCGCCCGCTGTTAGTGCGGTCGTGCTTCAAATATTCGTCAGCTCTTCATCTGATGTACGCAAGCATTCTAGAAAGCAGTGTGGGCTTTACCAATAAAGTCCAAAAGACCTAGGTGCTGGAATATGTTTAAAGCTTTTTATGTCATGTGTTGAAAGACAAATGGGAAGAAAGCTAATGTGGCTTAGAGTTGATAAAGGTGGTGCGTACAGAAGGACGCATTTGAGAAGTAATTGCAGAACACGAACATCCAGGCCCTTCAGAAGATAGTTTCCGAAACTCCACAACAGAATTGGAGTTGCAGAGAGCAGAATGAACAGGACCATTGGTAAAAGGGTTAGATTATGCTATCTCTCAATCGCTCTTGCCCTAAAACCTTTTAGGGCTGAAGCATAAATTACTGCAGTTTTACTTTGATACGCTTTCACCTTCACCCTCCCTCCAACGGAGGATGTCCAGGAAACGGTGTGGTTTAAGGTGAGAAAAATTATTTCTGATTCCAACATCTTAGATAGTTTGGCTGCGCAGGGCTTTTTGTTCATATTCAAAAGATGAAAGATCCAAAGCTTGATTCGAAGTCAAAAATTAGCGTATCTGGTCTTGGGTTTATGGACATGACTGATTTTTTGGGTACAGATTATGGGACTTCCCAGTTGAAAAAGAAATCTTCATCCAATAGCAGAGATGTCCGTATTCACTGGAAGACCAACGATTTAAAGACTTTTGAGAAATAAGCCAAGTCCTCAATGTTTTCACTATTAAGTCTTCGATGGCACGGCTAACCTACAATGTAGAGACAAAAAACAGATAAAGAAGGATGATGGTGACCTATTCGAATTGATGCTGAACTCACTCTACAGAGATTCTGCCTCTCAATTGGAGTACAGATTCTGCGAGAGGTCCAGGATACTCCCAGAGATATCTCCTAATGAGTTGACTTGTCTGACTCAAGTGGGAGAGACCAGAGAACTACCAGGAGGCAATGGAGATTGTAAAAGGAACTGAGTGGTTGGAAAAGCCATGCAAGATGAGATGGAGTCCTTGCATGAGAACCGGACCTTAATGAGTTGGTTGAAACAGCTGCCTCAAAGTAACGAAGCACTGAAAAACATGGGTGTTCAGGTTGACAAATGAACAGAACAACATCCAGCCAAGGACAGAACAACTCACAGCCAAGGTACAAGGCAAGACTAGTTGTGAAGGGATTCGGTCAGAAGAAAGGAGTTGACTTTGAAGAAATTTTCTCACCCGTAATCAAGAAGTCTTCTATCAGAGTTGTGCTCGGATTAGCAGCTAGCTTGAATTTGGAGATCAAGCAACTTGATGTAAAGACCGCTTTCCTCCATGGTGACTTAGAGGAAGAAATTTATATGGAGCAACCAGAAGGGTTCATAGTCAAAGGCAAACAACACTTTGTGTAAATTGCAGAAGAGCTTGTATGGCCTCAAACAAGCTCCCAGACAGTGGTACAAAAAGACAGTGGTACAAAAAGTTTTGAAATCTTTTATGGTAATCACGGGTATGAGGAAAACTACTTCTGATCATCTGTGTATTGTGAAAAAAGTTTCGTAAGAAGGCGATTTATTATTCTCCTTGTTATACTGTTGGATGATATGCTTATTGGTGGGCCAGATGCTGAGAAAAATTGAGAGCTTGAACAAAGAGGCTTGGACGAAATCCTTTGCCAGAAGGATTTTGGGATCGGCAAACAGATGTCTCGGAATGAAGTATCTCCAAAGATACAGAAAAAAGAGAAAGTTGTGGCTGTCTCCAAGAGAGTACATCGAGAAATTCTCAGCAGATTATATGAGCAATGCGAAAGGCAGTTTTTGGTACTCCCTTACACAGGTCATTTCAAATTAAGTTCTTCAGTCAATGTCCTTCAAGTGAGAAAGAAAAAAGAAGAACTAAAGAAAGATTCCTTATGCATGCCGCCGTTGGCAGCTTGAATGTATGTCATGTATGCCACAAAGACCGGATATTTTGCTCATGCTGTTGGGTAGTTAGTTAGCACATGTTCTTTCAAATCCCAGGGTCAAGCAACACTGGAATGCGGTGAAGTTGGATTCTCAGGTACTTAAAAGGCAACTTCCAAATTTGCTTCAGTGTTCTTGGATGATAATAGACCTGTGTTAAGTATGGTTACACAGATGCCACGATGATGGCGTGTAAGTTGATTCAACGCAAATCAACTTCTGGATTCTGATGTACCTTTGCAGGAGCATGCATTTCTGGCATCAAATTACAAAAATGTGTTGCCAAACTCTCATCCCTGAGCGCGGAAAATATTCGCCTTTTGACAGAAGCTAGCAAAGAACTTTCTGTTGGATGAAGATAGATTGCCTACAAAGAATTGGTGTAGACAAGAGAAGTACATTCTGCTATGTGTATAGTCACAAGCGCGATACATCTCAGCAAGAATTTGACCTTTCATTCAAGGTCAAAGCACATTGATGTGAGGTATCATTGGATACGTGATGCGTTAGAGTATGAAGTTATTTCAGATTGAAAAGATTCACACTGATGATAATGCGCTGATACTATGACTAAAGCTTTACCTACGGAGAAACTGGTCACTTGCAAGAAGAAACTTGTCACTTGCAGAAAGATAGCCGGTATGGTTAACGTCCCCACTTGAGTGTGCAGGGGGAGATTTGCTGTGGCGGTGCCCACTCAAGTGGGACCGACATGTTTGTTATTGGTGTTTTACTATTGGTGTGGCAGTGCCCACTCAGTGGGACCCACACACGTGATGAAAAGAAAAAAAATATAGGTGAAAGTTGGCATGCAACTTTGACAAAGATGGAGAGCCATGAATGAGTTATACGACCGGATAGTGGCTACAAAGGCAGAGAGGTGTAAAAAGTTCCAGGAAGGCCTAAACGATGAGATTCAGATGGGAGTGGTAGCTTCCAGATTTAGAGAGTTTTTAGCTTTGCTAGAGGCAGCTCAGGAGATAGAGCGAATTCAGGCCAGTCAGCGTACTAGACACCAGCGATCTCAGCAGAAGAGAGACCAGACTCAGAGTGCACCCAGTACATATTAGTCAGAGAGCAAGAGATTCAGAGGTGCTAGTACTTCAGTTGGTTCTAGGCCTCCCTTTAGCCAAGGCACAGCTAGGGGTGCTAACGCGCCAGCCGTATCAGTCGTGGCTAGTTCTGCCGGTAGTAGTCGAGGTTCAGGCAGAGGAGTTGGTAGAGGCACCGATAGAGGTGCAAGGTCAGATGGTTATACTTTTCCACCTTGTGAGCATTGTGGCAGACGGCATGGTGGAGATTGTTGGATGGTGACTGGTATATGCATGATATGCGGAGCATCAGACCATCAGGATACACACAATAACAACAACAGGGCCTTTGGAGATTCCATTATCAATTCAAACTTCAGTGAAGAAGAATGGATAATAAAAATGGAGAGCATGCTCAACAATGAAAATAAGGATGAAATTGAAAATGAAAATTCTGTGTGCATTTTTGAAGTTCCTGATCCTATTTGTACCGCAAACCCACAAGCCTACGCTCCTCAAATTGTAGCCTTAGGACCTTATCACCATTGCCACCCTAAGCTCTACAAAATGCAAAGATGCAAGCTTGAACAGATACAAATTTTCCATCACTAGCTCAACCTTCCAGATTTCCAATTTCTCTTTGATCAACTTAAGAGAAAAATAAAAGATGTCAGAGGTTACTACTGTAAACATCTGCATATCCATGATGAAACCTCATCATGGATAATGCTAATTGATGGTTTATTCTTGCTTCAGTTCCTATACAAAGAACAAGAAGTAGCAAATGCAAATTCCATGGAGTTTCTTGACTCTTCAGGAAGAAAATTTTCTTGGAATTCTGTTCTCAAAGACATAGTAAAGCTTGAGAATCAGATTCCATTTTTGTGTTAGAGCATCTTATAACCAGGTCAAAAGCTACATCCCAACCCAAAACCTCCTTACTTTTCATTACCATCAAGTTTTGTCCAACAATTTCTCCAATATTATTGCAAGGGAATTTCTCATCAAGGAATCTCCAAGACCCTTTGCATTTGTTGCAGCTTTTATACGATTTGGTTTGGTTTGGACCGAAAAATACAAGAAGTGGTATTTGGTGTAACCTTTGGGATATGATTTCAACTCTGAATATTGATTTCTCGATCATCCCTAAAAAAATTATAGATTTAGTTATTAAAATGTTGCAAGTTCTTGGAATTTCAATCTCTTTCCAATTGGCAGACGAAAAGGCAGATTTGACTCTAACAGCACCAGAATTGTCTAGTGTCAAGATTAAGTTCTTTCACATTTTTCTTGGCATTAACCATATATATTTTGACCCAAAGGATGCAAGTCTGCACCTTCCAGTCCTTACACTCAATGTTAATTCAGAAGTTATAATCAGAAACTTACTCGCATATGAAGCTATGGTAATGCCAGAGACTCGAAATTTTGCACGTTACATCGAACTGATGGCTACAATGATTCATACTACTGAAGATGTAGAGCTGCTCAAGAATGAGAGATTTGTGATTTATGAAGGAGATAGTGTTGAGGTTGTGAAGCTTTTTGATGGGATAAGAAATTCCATTGTGTCTGAAGGTGAGTCAGAATTAGATTGCGTGATCAAAGAAATCAATAAGTATTACAGAAATAATTGGAAGATAAAGTTAAAGAAACTCATGAAGAGGTATGTGTATTCTTCGTTGAAGATACTAACAGTTGTTGCTACCATCTTGCTTTTGCTGCCGATGGCTCTGCAGACTTTCTGCTCAATCTACAGTTGTACTTATATATTTAGGGCAAGCAAGACATGTCTGAGCTTGGCTTTTAGCCTTTAGTTATGGTTTGGAGATTGTTATTTTGTGTCACCTTCAAGCACTGCTTGAACTTTTATGACTTTTAGAGTACCAATTCCATTCTTAGAGTAAAAACATTGCTATATAATTCAACCGCACATGAACATGAGCGGACGAAAGAGCCAGAATATAACTTTCATATATAATTTAACCAAAACTAAAGGATGTTTAACAAAGCATAAACCGGTAATCCCTACTAATATCCTCACAGAAAACCTACACATATTAGAGCAATCCATACCGGAAACTCTATCCACCAATAAAACTTAAAAACATTACTAATGGCAGAAAGCAGCAGGCTTGATTTTCACGCTCACCCAAAAAGATAGCCAGTGCACAAAATAGTCAGTTCCAAAACCATCCTCCTAGTTTATTTGAGAAAGTGAGGACTAATCAATCCTGCAACTTCAAGAAATCCAACACTGTCCCTGCCACCAAATATCTTCTTCAGCTTCTCGTCACAGATTATAATCTTCTTGTTATTAGGGTCCTAAAAAGGGAAAGAAAAACCAGGGTTAGATCAAATTAATGGCAACAATATAGGCATGGCCAAAATTAATGTTCAGTTCATCACAACAAAACTAGATATAGAAAAATAGAAGAAAGAAATACTCAATTTCTGAAACATTCTGACACTAGAAGAAAAATTGATGCATATAATTAAACCACGAACAACAGAAAAGGAAGACTGAATACCGTACATTGAAAAATCCATCACCAAGAAAGAAACAGATGCGACTCACTGGCACATGAACACGAACTAGGAAGTGCTCTCAAGCTAGAAGCAATCACATTTTCTTTCTCTAAAGCAGTACCTTATACTCCCAATTTAGCAACAGCAGGACAATCTTAAGCATATTAGTTAAATCCCAATCAACATAATGACATTGGTCATAATCCTTCTACATCAACCAAAGGTTTATTAATCCTCTGATATAAACACCAAATTAGTTCATACTTAAAGCAAATAATTCAGCCATACATTTAAACACAAATCCTCACAAGAAGAGGCAACATCATACTGTAAAATGGCACACCAATAGCTAGCTTCCCTGTGTCCCACAAACCAATTGACTTGGCTTAGCATATTTGCATTTGCAAAATTTGATAACTATCAATCAAGATAGCAACTGATTTACCAGAATGAACTAATCCTTTTTTTTTTTTTCAGTGCTTATTAGAAAAAGGGAAAATTCACCATTAGAGCACAAAACATTATCAGTAATCCAAAGACATAAAAGTAGAAATTACACACATTAATACTATAAGATAATTTACTGCAGGAGATATGTCCTAAAACTTTTCAAACAGAGAACCAAAGTGCACAAAAATAATCTATCAGAAGTCCACTCCAGCTTGAAAAACTGGGTATGTTCTCTGTGTATACTGATAGAGCTCTCAATTTTCAGCATGAAACTAACTTCTTTAACTTTCCTCATCAATTTAATTCCTCATGTCATTTAAAGGAATCAAACTAAATCATAGAGAAAATAAAGAAAAAATAAAAGCGCATGGCATTTCCTCAAACTTATGCTTTGTCGCATTCTAATTTTCTAATTGACCTTTATCTTTTGAGCATGCACATGCTATAATAACCAAGGTTGTTTGAGCCGTAGATTCTACCATGAACCGGATGAGTATCCTAGGATCGTAAATGATTAGAATCATAAATGAACCGTTATGCTACTTCTTATGAAAAAACCACTACAAGTTTAAATTTTGAATCTAAAAACTCCTAACAAATTGCAAAAATAAAAATGTCACATTGCAATAAGCGCTAAAATAATAAAAATAGTAAAAAAAATCAATATAATTAACACCAAAATCACCTTGCAATTAACATCATTTAATCTTTACACTTGGAAGCTTCATCATTGCATTATTTATTTAATGAAATCCTTAATATTTATTTTGATTAATGAAAGACATCTGTTTTGTTTATTTCTGTTTTATTTAATTTAATTACTGGAATCCTTTCAAAACGTTAAAGAATTATCAGACTGATATAGATTGACAAGCAAGACAACATGCTATTGAGAGGAGAGCAGAAGAGAAAATAAAAAGAAAAAAAAAAAAAGAAAAAGAAAAAGAAGAGCTAATAGAGAGAGAAATTTAGAATTAGCTGCTACCAAAGCTTCTTTCTTTCTCCTCCTTTATTTCTTCTTCTATATCCTTCTTTCTCCTTCTATCATGCTGCTGTCTTTTTCTCCATTTTTTTCTTCTTTGTTCACTTGATCGTATCAGCTTAGTTATTTTTTGTTTTCACATCTTTTATTCAAATTTACAGCAGTGGATGAGAAGACAATGGACTAGAAATATGTTTTGGCTGAAAAATAACACAGCTCAGTTGTACATTGAATCGGTCACAGCTAAGTTTCCATTGATTCTGCATTGCAAGACGCGATTCTACCTGATTCTAGCCAACTAGCGATTCTTGATACGATTTAGAACAGCTTCCTTTTTAGCACAATTTCTGATAACCATGATAATAACTACTCGAAAGTATTGTTTCCAATTTGAATAACCAATCTTTCAATCAGAACCCAAGTAACCAAATATTTTATTATTTAGCAAGTTAAACACAATATTCAAAATGTAACTATTTTTTAATATGCATTAACTCATTAATGCACGTAGGAATATGCATGCATGCCATCTATGCAAGAACAGCATGTTATAACCAATATGTAAGCAGGAGATATGCAATCTCCTTGCCTAATAGACGAAAATCAAATATCAAACATTAGCTACGACATGCAAATCAAACACAGTTTCCTAACTCCTTAATCAAATTTGTAACGAAATGCATATAAAAGCCACCAGAAAATGCAGATATCAAAATGACTATAGCAATAAGAAACACAGATATTATATGAAAATTTATTTAATATAACTTCTGCAGCTAGTGCTCCCAACTAAAGTGTAAAAGTTAAGCCAATCAAACACAGATCTTTATTTCATCGAGAGTGCCACAACCAATATGAGTTATAAAGGACATATAAAACCAATCTCCATAACAGAATCCACAGTGTATCCATACATAAAACGGCACTCATACAGTGATATATCATCCACAGACACAAAAGCTAAAACAAACAATGTCCTACACATGCATTAATTCATGTACACATTTGGATCCAAAAAAAGTAAAGCAAATTATCACATATACAAAAAAGCAAATTTTCACCAAATATAAAAGAACAAAATTTCACATATAAGCAAAGCAAAAGCACTAATCTAACTACGAACAAGATATCACAACTGCACTTTTTTTAATCAATTAAGCAATTTACTTTGCTAATACATCTTTCCAAAAGAACTGTAATGCTAGTAATACAAAATCACCCTTTTAATGACCTAAGATTGTCTAGAGAAAAGGCTCATTAAGAATTTAAACAAAGAAACGAAAACACAAACAAGAAACCTACCACACACACAAATATTGTCCATCTATGTTCAAATTTAACATGCGTGAAAAACACAATTCATTAAAAAAAAAAAAAAAAAAAAAAAAAAAAAATAAATGCTAGTAATACAAAATCAACCCTTTTATGGACCTAAGATTGTGCTAGAGAAAAAGGCCATTAAGAATTAAACAAACAGAAACGAAAACACAAAACAAGAAAACCTACCACCAGATCACAAATATTGTCCATCTATGTTTCATATTTAACATGGCGTGAAAAACACAATTTCATTAAAAAAAAGAAAGAAAAAAAAAAAAAAACAAAACCCTCAGTTTTCGTGAGAATGTAAAATAAACCACGTCTGTCCCAACCAAAACAATAAAAAAAAAAAAAAAAAAAAAAAAAAAAAACCCTCAATTCGTGAGAATGTAAATAAACACGTCTTCAACCCAAAACATTTCAAGCAGCCCAAAACACAATATTTACTTCACTACTCTAGACTTGCATAAACATAAAAGAAAATTATAAAAACCAAAAAAGAAATATGCACCCAAAATCACAAAAAGTAAATTTTTTAAGAAAATGTCAAGAGACCTGAAGATTATGCTCCTTAATATAAGCCCAAATGAGCTTAAGAGCTTGGGTGCGAGGGATTTCTGGCGCACCAACAAGGTCAGCCATTTCCGGGGAGACGGGGCGGGGCTTCATAATGCCTCGAGGACGGCGCTCCTGCTGCTGTTGCTGCGAAGAAGCAGTGGCACAAGTGATGGTGCGCACCATTCGCAGGTTAGCAGAAGGAGGAGGCAAGGGTAGAAGCCTGGAAAAGGAAGGGTTGAGAAACGACACCGTTTGTTGGGAAAAGAGAGTTGAGAAAATACCAGAAGAAATCGCCATTGATAAGGCTCTCTTAGTCACAGGGGTTTTGGATTTGTTTTTTTATTCAAATATATTTTGGATATTTGAGAGAAGGGGAAGAGATAGAGGTTTTTTTTGGGGTTTTGTGTGTGGAAGAGAAAGACAGAATAAATTGGCTAACCCCGCCTTAATCCTCCCGTTACACTTTCTTGCCTTTTTCAGTAGTTATGAAATGACCAAAATGTCTCCATGCGTAGACATGACTCGCCTTTGCATTGGAATATATCTAGGGCAAATTCGGAGGTACGAGATTGTCATATTATTATGGGACAGACATGCTCCAGAAATTTGTGCGGCAACTGAGGAAGAAAGATTGGTGGAGTTGGGTTGGGCCTTTATTTATGCATTGCACAAGCTATCTAGGGCTTCGACCCAAGCCCGCCTAAGTTTTTAGCTTTTAGGAGTACAATTGACAATGGGCTAATTGATACGGCTCGGTACAGAAGTAGGGTGATTTTGTCATTTCCACCTTGCATACCGTTAAGGGGATAATTGTTTTTTTTGGAAGGACCGTTAAAATGGCTCATGACTCAACTCACCAAATATGTAAAAATGGTATATAGAAGCTAACGAAGCTACCTGCACTTTCTTGCCGGCTCGTCTTTAATATTTTTTTCATTTAAAATTAATTTTATTGATAGGATTACTATTTATTTTGTACTCAAATTTTTATATATTTTTTCATCGAAAAAGCATATTCATTTTATAAATTTTTTGCTTTACTATTTCTTATTATAAAAAATTATTAAATTTTATACAAAATATTCATTTTTATACTTTTAGATTTTTGGAGTTTTCTTTTCAAAGAAAAAACTGTTGGTAATTTAACAATCAAGAAATTTTAAAAAAATTAATATTACCTATCATAATTTTTCCATATATTTTACTTTTATCTTTGAGCAAATACATAGAATATATAGAAATCCAAAAAAGTTATTGCTAAGTAAGTATTTTAATTTGCTTAATATTATAGCTGCGAAGAAATATAAAAATGTTAAAGCAATTATTTGATGAATTTGGATAGTTTTTAAAATAAAATGCTATAAATTTTTAATTAAATATCTTTAAAATAAGTTTAGTGATATTAGGACTCAAACTTATTTCGACTGAGTTCTATATAAACAGAAAAGATAAATTATTTTTAATTATCACAAATTTTAAATTTAAAATGCTAAATATCGAAAAAGCAAGTATGTGGTGTGAGAAAGATATTAGAACAGAATTGTGATGACAAAATGTTAAATATAAGTAGGGGCAAAATAGTAAAAACGGTAGCTAAAACATAGTTCATATAAGACAAAATGGCAAAAGCATGAAAAAGGACATAGGTTTATAGGAATAACATTGTTCTATGAACAGTGTTTTTGGGTTTCAATTTAGTAGATATATAATGTGTTAGAATATTAAAGGGTTCATTATATATATTACATAACTTGAATTTTTTAATCTTTGATTTTTATTTGAGTAGGAAGTCATTCAACATACTTTAGTAATCAAAATGATAACAAAAACGTTAAAAATCACTTGTTCGCAAAAAAGAAAATTATAATTATGAAAGATATAAAAGAGAGAGAAAAAATAAGGCTACAGAATATAATAGTAAATTAAAAAAGAAAAAATATAGAAAAACTGAAATGAAAAGTAAGAAAAAAAATCCAAATACATCGGTTAATTACTATATTTTATTTTTTTTATTTTTCAAATTTTTTATACCTTAATTTTTAAATTTTTTTTTTTATTTATGTCAAAAATGTCTCTAGCTCATTGGACTAAAGCCCGCAATATAAATTTTCTCGCTATTATTATGAACAGTGGACCTCTTGTTTAAAGGAATTTGAGCCATACAAATCTCTGGATAATTTTTAAAATTATATTTCAGGAAAAAAAAATTAACTACCAGATTTTGAATTTGTAATCCCTTAATGAATTAATGCACCAATGATTGAATTTTGCCTTCACAAAAATCACCCTACTTTAGAAAAATTCATCCATATTTTCTTGGTAGAAAGATAAAGAAATACTGGGGAAAAAAAAATAATTAAGGCTCTGTTTGTTTCCGTAAAATAACTTGCAGGAAAATAACTTGTTTTCGTTTGTTTCAAATGACTTATTTTCCATTATTTGGTTGTAATATTAAAAATTAGTTAAAAATATTAAAATTTTTATTTCATAAGACCATAAAAAAATATTAATAATAGCTTTCCGTAAAAATGAAGCTTGCAGGTAAAATAACTTGGTTTTTCGTTTGGTTTCAAATGACTTATTTTCCATTATTTGGTTGTAATATTAAAAATTAGTTAAAAATATTAAAAATTTTTATTTCATAAGACCATAAAAAAATATTAATAATAATAGAAATTTTATAATTTAAAATTTTTTATTATTATAATTTAAAATTTTTATTATTAAATATGAAAAGAATGCAAGAAAATATATATAAATTATGAAAGCTACCGGTAGCCAGTGGTGGTGGCTACCAGTGGCCGGTGGTGGTAGTCGGTGGTAAATGGTGATTGATAATAGTGACTATGATGATTAATAAATTAAAAATATAAACTTATACAGTTCACCAATATCCAAAAAATATTTTACTTTCTCAAAAATAGAAAATTATTTTTCTTAAAAAATGACTTGATTTTCCTTTGCCCAGAAAAATATTTTCCGTTGATTTATTTTTCTAAGCGCCCTAAATAACAGAAAATTGTGAAAAATATTATCCTGTAAATTATTTTACAGAAACAAATGAAGCCTAAAAAGTAAATAACAAGCATTCAATAGGATTAAAATATTTACATTATCCCCTTACCGTTAAAAAAACAAAAAATTGACGGCCCTAGAATGTAATAATATAGTTATGATCTAAAGGTAGCTTTTCATAATATTTAAAAAAAAAAAAAAAAGAATAATAGAAGTCAGCTTTGGACATCTAAAAGTTCAATTTTTAACCTCAAGAAAAAGAAATAGTCCACCAACAGTAGGAGGACGCTGCCAAGTTAACATCATATGCTATATTGCTAGAAATGATGGTTAAACTAACTTGGCCCCTCCAAAATCCCTTTTACTCTACGCTTCTTAGAGGAATCCTTTCCTTTGTCTGCATGACTCTGTCCATCCTTTCTTTACTCTATAATATTTTGCTTCTTCTACACTTTCGCTTTTAATTTCCCATGTGAAAATAATTTTATTATTATCTGCTAATCAACCCACATTAATGTTTTTTAATATTATTATTATTATTATTATTATTATTATTATTCTAGCCATAATGCCACTTCATTTTTAATATTATATGTAGTACAAAAATGCGAAAATTTAGTTCGGTTGGCCCTTCAGTTTCTGTAGATTTTACATTTCAGAATACTATTAAGTTGTTGAGAAGTTGCTATTTTTTTACTAAAAATAAGTGGACATATAATGAAGATGAGCTTAGGGTTTACCACGTAACCCGGCTCTGATGTTTCTGGAAACATCAGTTGAGATTGGAAGTCTGATGTGGATTTCTACTTACGGACTTTAAGGTTCATCAATCACTATTAGGATCTCTTAAAAATTCCTTAATTCAGTTTCAACTCTCTCATGAAAGCTTCCAAACATTGTTTCTGAAATAATTTATTACCTAACTGAATGTTTCATCACCACTCTGAGGTTGTTGTGTGCCCAGAGTTTTTGTTTTGTCCTACTTGCTTATTTATTGCTTATTCTTTATGTCACATTAAGAACAACACACACCCAAAAAAAAAAAAAAAAAAAAAAAAAGAAAGAAAAAAAAAAAAAGAGTAGTTACGACTCTTGAATATAGATTTTGTTCTTAAAGAAAAAAAATGTATCCGTAAGCGGAAGACTAAACTAGGTGGCAATAGGTGATCCTCATGAAATTAAAGAGTATTAAACTAGTATTGTAAGTAAAGATAGCATTTATTTTTAAAGAAGAAACGAAGGAATGTGTGTAATCTAATTTTCAGAGTCTTCTTTTTGTATGCGGCATTAGATATGTCTTAATGGCCTAAATATTAATAAAATTAAATAATCAATCATTTATTTTATTTAGTATATTATGTAATACTCTAATTATTAAGATGTAATATTAGTCGAACATAATATTTTCTTTGACCACATACATGTTATATTGAACATACTGAATAAAGGCTGCCCTCAAAAATAAATAAAAAATATAAATTAAAAAATGCATTATTTGATCCTTTCTAAATGTCATTTATGTTTAATCAAATTATTTTTTTCGCTTGGAGAATAAATGAAGCGAGAAAAAGAATGGGCTGAAAGGCATTCAGGGAAGGTATTATAAAAGTAGTGTCCCTAAGGATTAGGTTACTTGTAATGTATATTTAGAAAAGAAACCTAACAATGATATGTTCATAGACAAAGTTTTAATACTGTTGGGATTTGTCTTTGTTCTAAATTGGAAAACCAAGTGTGAGTTAGATGACGAGCCGGTCAACCCTTTGTTAATGAATATATATTATTCTTTCCCTTCAATGCCCTAAGAAGTTAAGGAACTCTCATTTCCTATCCTGCCTACGCTATTGTGGCTGTGGAACTCTATTACCTACACAGTCTCCTTCAACCACTCTCTTTTACAATTAATTTCTCAAGTAGGAAAACAATTTAGGGTTTTGAGAAAGTGGTGGAAATTGTAATGGGTGCTGTGGTGTTATGGAGAAAAAAAAAAATATGCTATTTATAGGAAGTGTAGTTGTATATATATTATATATCTTATATCTGAGTATATATATAAAAAAACTTATAATTAATTTTAAAAAATAATTATATATATAACCAATATATAAAAATAAACTATTAATTCCTATAGGAAATGTATGTTATAAGCTGGGAGGCTGCTGCAGGTTTAGTTATGAGCCTTGTGATTCATTCAATCAAGAATAAAAATTATCAAGATTTTGAGGTTAGTTTGTGGCACGATTATAACAGCCCATTTTTATTCAATAAAGATCTAATGTAACAGAGTAAAGCTAATAATAAAGCAACGAAATCATTCACATATAGAAAGAGCATTAGAATATAGACTATGCCAGCTCGTATTATAACACCAAAATAATAGAGAGACATTATAAAATCCCATAAAATTTACATTGCTAATACATTTATAATACAATAATCAAAGTATATAAAAGCTAGGAGATATTAATATTATAAAAAAAAAAAAAAAAAAAAAAAAGATAATTACACTCTTAATATAATTTTTCTTAAAAAAAAAATTATCTAAGGAGACTAACTATGCAATTAGGTGATCTCATAAATTAAAATTTAAACTATATTTAGTAAAATATCATTTATTTTTAAAAGAAACAAAGAATGTTAAATTCTAATTTCAGATCTCTTTTTGTATCCATTAAATTCTTATGCTAATATTAATAAATTAATTTCATTTATTTATTTATTTATTACTAATTTTGTAATACATCTATTTTAAGATGGTATTATTGTCGAACAAATATTATTTGTCTTTGACCACATGACTTTATAATTGAACTTCTGAATAAGGCTTGCCCTCAAAAAATAAATAAATAAATAAATAAATAAATGCATTATTTGTCCTTTCTAAATGATTTATTTTATAAATTATTTTTTTTCCTGAAATAAATAAGAGAAGAAAAAGATGGGGCTGAAAAGGCAAATTCATGGGATTATATATAAAATAGTTCCCTAGGATTAAGGTACTTTGTAATTATATATAAAAAGAAACCTAACAATGGATTAGTTCATAAGCAAAGTTTAAACTTTGGATTTTCTTTTTCTAATTGAAACCAATTTGATTAAGACACCTCAACTCCTTTTTAATGAATATTAATCATCTTCCCTCAATAGCCCTAAGAAGTAAGGACCCCATTTCCTATCCTGCCTACAGCTATTGTGGCTGGTGGAACTCATTACCAAAGTTCTTACTTTTTAATTATTTCAATAGGAAAACAATTTATTTTGAAATTGAAATTAATTCTTTTTTGAAAAAAAATATCTTTTTGAGTGTTGTAAATATTAAATTCACTTTAAAATAGACTTTATAATTTAAATATTTTTATACATAATTTAAAATAAACTTTATTTCTATAGGATGTATTTATACTGACTCTCAGGCTTTAGTTTATGCCTTGTGTTCTTCTCAAGATAAAATTTCAGATTTTGGGTTAGTTGTGGCAGATTATAAGCCCATTTTATGTCATAGATCTTATGTTACCGTAAGCTAATATAGCAACTCATTCCTTAGGAAGAGCTTTAGACTTGCAAGCTCGTTTTCAATAATGAGCTTATATCCCTAATTTCTTGCTATCTTTTATAATTCAAGTTAATGCTAGGAGATTTTTTTTTCAAAAAACAAATTTATCAAATTATCTTAAAATAGTCTTTGATAGTTTTATAATCGAATATTATAATTTTCTATATAGTCTATGTAGTATCTCAAAAAGAGTGTGTCGTAACATTTTTCATGTTGCATTTAGCGTTTTGATTAAGGTTAAAAAATATCTCTATTATTTATAATATAATAAAATGCTAAAAATTATCTAGCAAGTATCATAACAGTTAATAATTACTGAAATAACTAATTTTAAATCGTGCATTTTCTCTAAAAATAGTAAAAATTTAAAAAAAAAAAAAAAGAAAGAGATTAGAGTCTTAGACCCTTCAAATTATAGAAGCCATACCATTTCTCATCCTAAATCCAATCGAGCAACAAAAAAAACGAAAACGGGAAAGGAAAAAAAGGAATATCCATAGTGAATAACTGGCTCCTTGCCCTCACGGGGTTTGTCTCTCCTTTTTGTTATTGATGCTAGAAGTGGCCCAGCTGGGCTAAGATTGCCCAAACGAGGACCTATCACAGAGTGACAGGGCAGATGATTTGAGGCGGTGGATCCAAACATTCTACCAACTAGAATTTGGGTGATTATGCCCAAACCTTAGCGTAAAAATTACATAATGCCAGTTGCCAACTCACAAATGTAATGCTGGCTTATAAACTTAAGGTCCAGCAAGCAGTACCACTGCCACTACCGCACATGAATGATAACATTGGGTCCGCTAATCATAATCCTGTTTTCGCTCTTGTAAAAGGAATAATCATCATATATATCTCTCTTCTCTTACTTCATGTTTATGTTAGTTAGAGGAACATCTTTTTTTTTTTTTTAAATATTGATAGAAAATCGAATGAAATGAATACAATTCACCATAATTATTTAAATTTATATTCAATTGAAAGGAAAAAAAAATGAAAATTATGAAAATTATGATTCATGTGAGTATAACTTTTTGAAATATAATCAACAAATACTCCAAAGCAATTTATACGCATACAAATGTTTATAAGAATCAAGGGACTCCATCATTCTAACGACCTACATTAACAATCATTTACAATCATCTCTATAATGCCCCCACTTTCTTAACCACCCTTCTTTCATCTCTTAATTACTTCTCTACCAGACAATTAATAACCAAAACAAAATTGTCATTATCATTAATACTCCAACATAAACTCTTAGCTGCCCGATCCATCTACGTGTCACGCATAAATCAAATCCAAATCACATGCATTCCTATGCTCCACCATCAAAGACCATGATCGGACGCCGCAAGATTTGTTCGGTAGATGATGGGTCCCTCTCCTTCTCTATCAAATATTGAGAACCTTTCTTACGGTTTAAGACCTCTGCTCTTCCTATTTATTCTGTCTCTTCATTTGCTTTGTCACTCACCTCTCTCTCTTTTAGCATAGTATTTGCAGTTTGAGAGAGAAAGAGAGAGTTCAACTACAATGAGGCATCAAAAGGTTAAAATCTTTGTTTCTTTGATCTGCATTGTTATTGCTGGTGTTTCTGGCCAATCTCCGACAACTACTCCTGCTCCGCCAACTCCAACCACTACTCCTCCTCCGGTTTCAGCTCCTCCTCCAGTAACTCAATCTCCACCTCCGGCTACTCCTCCTCCAGTTTCAACTCCACCACCGGCTACTCCTCCTCCTGCAACTCCACCTCCTGCCACTCCTCCTCCCGCCACTCCACCACCAGTCTCTCCTCCTCCAGCTACTCCACCACCAGCCTCTCCTCCTCCTGCCACTCCACCTCCTGCTTCTCCTCCTCCAGCAACTCCTCCTCCAGCTACTCCACCACCAGCAACTCCTCCTCCAGCTACTCCACCACCAGCAACTCCTCCTCCAGCTGTTCCACCACCAGCTCCTCTCGCCGCTCCTCCTGCTCTGGTTCCAGCTCCCGCTCCAAGCAAAAAGAAGTTGAAGGCTCCAGCTCCATCTCCGTTGGGACCGAGTCCACCAGCACCACCAACAGGAGCTCCGGCTCCAAGTTTGGGTTCAATCGCTCCAGGACCAGCAGGCACAGACGTGGTACGTACTTCAATCTCTAATTCATTATATTCGTAAATGGCTTCTCCCTACACTGCACACTTGATCTATGCATATGGCGCAATTTAGAGAGAACGTAGTATTGTTTGAACTATCGCCGTAAGTGTTTTATTTATGTGTGTTTTTTAAATACTTAGTATCCAGTGTGAATGGGACTAGAATATGATCTCCACTTAACGAATCAGATTTGATTTCTACTAACTGAATGAGTCAAAGTTTGACTTGATCAGTTCTAATAAGGTAGTGTTGATGTTTATCTGATCAAAACCTGTGTCTGTAGGTGCACCTTACAAAAACTTTTATTATGGATTTAGTTCTAATTGTTAGGCCCAAATTTAACCTAGCCCAGATACATAATGCAATTATTGGTGGATTTGTCTGTGGGGTTTGACGGGCCCAATTACAGCCCAACACACTAATAATATTTGTATTTTAATTTAATGTTTAACTTGTCACACACTTGCTCTAATTCTTGTTGCAAAAATGTAATTGCAGAGTGGAGTAGAAAAGATGGTTGGGAGCTTGGCCTTCGGATGGGGTTTCCTCTGTTTGCTACTTTAGACATGCCTTTATGAGTCTAAGCTTCTATGAATTTTTTTTAATTTTTGTGATGTTACTTTTTTTTGGCTATATATATATATTATAAAAATTAATGGCTGCCATTTTAGCCCCTGTACTGTGATAAGATCTTTTATTACCTGTATTTGTTATTGCATTCTTTGGAAGATTTTTGGGTATTGGAGGAGAGGAGATGGGAGAGAGACTTGGTTTTGTATCTGGGATTTGCTGGTAGCTACCTCTTGATCTCATTTATTATATTTCTTTTCACTAATCTGCTTCTTCATTGCTTCCTTGTCACTTTTTAAGTACAATCAAGGAATGCCTCGGGTGTTACTGACGAGTTACAAACCAACTCCAAATAAAAATTGAATTTTTTATAAGTCTAAATAAAACTTATGAAACACAACATGCTATAAAGTTAGGTGGATTTGGATTAAATATAAATAAATTCGAGTTTTAAATTGATTGATGGATATGTTAATCATCTAATATCATATGAGCACAAACGGTCAATTATTTAATCAGTTAGTTTTTACGTTTTAATATTTGTAATTATGATTAACTCAACTCTAAATAAATTCAAATTTCTGTTCAAACTGGTTATAAATTGAAATTGATCAATTGTTTCCTTTTTGAAGTATTTGATTTGAATATAAACTTTATGTTGTCAAGAACTTGCAGAAACTATTTGATTTGAATTTTCTTTTTTCCAAATTAACAATTTCTTATTTAATCCGAAAGTCTAAATAAGTTTAAATCTCTGTTCAAACTGGTTATAAAATCAGTCCCTTCCTAGAAGAAACTTAATATTTTCAAGAACTTATTGAAACTATTTGATTTTGAAACTCTTTCTTCTTTTTTTTTTTTTTTCTCAAATTACCAATTTCTTACTAAACTGATTATGTTAGTATGAATCAAATTTTATTTAGATTAAATTCACAATAGATTAAAATTGAGTTGACACAATTTTATACATGTCCACAAGGAAAACGAAGCTGAAATTCATTGATCAGAAGAGTATGAAAAATACAAGGAAAAATAATACACAGTCCCTTGAATGCAAATACACCCAATGTTTTCGCCTTTCAAGTAAATCAATACAGACCAAGAATACAAACAGAGGTAACAAATAAAATTAGAGAGAAACTATAACGCATAAATCTCACACTGGGACTGTAAATCAGCCGAGCCAAGCTTGAACCTATTTGAAATTCGGCTCAAAAATCGTTGAATCTAAAAATTTTGGACTTTAGCTCAGCTCGAGACTATTCAAACTAAACATCATTAAACTTGATTTGAGCTTAACTTTTTTAAACTCTTTTCCCGAGATTGAATAATTCGCTACCTGACTCGGCTTATTTACACGCCTATCTCACATTATTTCCTATTGAATCCTTTTGTTACAAGGAAGCCAATATATGAGTCTTGTTCTATTTGTCCAAGTAGCTTGTTCATGGATTTACAATTCCAACAATGCTTTGGAGTTCAAACCACCGTTAACATATTGGAATTGCTTTCGATTTATTGGTTGTAGAAACTAAAACCAGCTTGTGGTCAAGTGTAGTAAAGAGTGGGAACTAGAGTTTTGTGTTCAAAGCCCTTGAGACAACAAAAGATATTTATTATGGGCCAAGTTTAATCACTTTACCCGAAACAATTGCCAATACAACCCAATGGGTTATATGGGTTTCTTGTGTTATATTTTATATATATATATATTTTTTATTACATGCACAAATTTATTTTGTACACCTTCAAGATTGTTTATTGGGAATGTGAAACATTATTACACTTTCCTTCTTCTTTCCTAGGACTAGAAGGACTATGTTAGTTGACTTGTAACCAAAAATTCAAATTTTAGATTTTTGCTATCATGTGCTATAATAAGATTAATGAATGATTAAAGAAGGAGCTTACTTAGCTGGCCTAAAATATAATAAATTTTCATTACATAATTTTGAAATCTTTTAATTTTTAATTAATATTATATCAAAAAGAAAAGAACAATGAAGCACAAGATTCTTCCTATTGTTCCAATTTAATATAGTTTTATGCTTACTTACTTTGACTTTAGGAAACTTAGCTAAATCTTTTTTAATACTACAAATGTAGCTGGATTTTAGGAAGTGTTGTTAACTTGCTTGACATGTTGAGCATTTCAAAATATACATAGAAGAGTTTGGAAACTTATTACCAATAATTAATTAATTATTCTAGCCGTCTCTCTCGTTTTTTTTAATTTTATTATTCGAGTTATTCTCTTCTTTAACAGATTCTTTTTCTTTATTTTATTGTTATATTTCAAATATATTTAAATTTTATTCAAAAGATTAATTCCTTTCATCAAAACAGAAGATTTTATTGCTCAAATTTATATTTTTTATTCCTATTATTGAAATATTCTGATTTATTTTTATTATAATCTTTATTAATGAATTGTGAATTTCATTCAAAAATTAATTAAATGTTTTCTCTAAAAAAATAAATAAATAAATAGAAGTATGAAAGCAGGCAGTGTCGGCAAAGGCAGCTTCCTCTAGTTGGAAGGGTAAGGATTCAATGGTGCATTAAATAATAGAGCAGCAAAATCCAAGATTTTATGCATATTTATGGCTCCCTGCTGGGAGACTACCCCATGCTCTACTCTTAAATAAAATTCAGTATCTCATTTAATTTTTTTTAATTTTTTTATATAATTTATTTTATAATACTATATGTTTGTCTCAATGTGTGCATTCACAGACATATGTTACTGTTATATATATAAATTTTTCAAAAAATAAATTCAGAAATTAAGTCCTTTTTTTCTTTACAATATAAATTAATTTGTACATGTTGGTATCTTCTTTTTGTTTATGTTCTATACTATATAAGAAGACATTGTTCAAAAAGATTTATATTTATGATATTTTTATCTGGAAAAAGAAAAAAAAAATTATATTACTTTATACATCGTATAAATAAAACAAAAATTTTATCAAATGAGTGAAACTTTGTTTATTTGTATTAATGTGAATTATTCTTTCTTTTTAATCGGGGACGGAGGAAGAGACGCGCATGAAAAAATATTTTGACTTAATGAAACAGATTGTTCGATTTGTTTAATTGAATATTTAATTGAATATTCAGAAAGAAAATCAAAAGAACTAATTTTATAAATAATATTAACATCATATTTAGAGATAGACCAATTATGTAGTTGATTTTCCACGTCAGGATATTCATTTCTTGAATATTCAAATCACTAATGCTAGAATTAGGGTTATTAATATCAAAGACTTATTATTAGAAAGTAAATTTAGTAATATACTCATTTTGCCGATTAATAATTGTAATTAGACACTATTGATTATTGGGACCACTTTTGCAGGACCACTTATCACACGGCTGACCAACACTTACACTGACTGACCAATAATAATCCAATAGCTTCATAATCACAACTTGTAATAATTTAATGGATAGATTTCTATATCTTATTTCTAATAATTAATTCGTAAATATTAATACTATTTTGGAATATTCAAATTGATATCAACAAAATATATTTTTAAAATTGCTTTTAAAAAGAAATAAATATGAAATTGATTTTAAAAAATCATAGACAAAAAGAACAAATCAAGACAAAGGCTCGTAGGGGTGAGCATTCAGTTAACCAAATTGAATCAAACTGAATTAGCTTGATTTCAGTCTATCTGAATATATTTTTATGGTATTCAAATCTAAGATCATATGGTATAATAATCGATCCAAACCGAATTAAATTAGTATGGATTCAATTATTCTAAAATAAATTAATTATTGGCTTAAAATAAATTCGTTTCAAATATAGTAATTGAACCAAAAATTGAAAATTAAATGATTTTTATATATTAAAACTGATCGATAATTAAATTTCTAAAATAACTATTTGAATATGACGAAATTGAGTTGAATCGGTCATAAATCGAGAATTGGTAACTCCAGCTCTCAACAGTAAACAATATTTGTCTGTTTCTACCAAGAAAAAACAAAAGTATTTGCCAGTGTGAACATGCACACGCTCAGATTAAGTATGAAGATGCACTCTTTCACGGAATATGTAATGTAAGAGCCTAAGACCCAACACTCATTAATTGTACTCTCTGTGTGTGTATTTATCATCGGTCTTCTCACACTCCTGCATTGGATTTTATTAACCAACGACATTATTTTGCTTGTGTATTTAGTATGGGACAAACACTCCCTTTGTATTTCATCTCAACTGCATATCATTCAAAGTACCTTTTTTTTTTTTTTTAAGTACCAAGAGTTTTTCCCACCAATTTTTTACTATTAGAACTATTATTAGAACCAATATATTATTAGTGAATACTTTCCATTTAATCTAAAAGAATATTGCGTGAAAGTTAATATAAAAGTACTTTTTCAAAACCAATAAGGTGTTGGTTATGGTGAGCGATCTCAACTCCAATAAAAATGAAAACACAAATTCAATTTTTGAAAAGTGTCATTTACTGAAAGGACAAATAATCTTTACGTTCTACTGTTTAATTGGAATTAAACATTTTGGTTGTAAAAAAAAAAAAAAAAAAATTTGTCTGTTTTCCCTAAAGCGCCAAGCAAATAACAAAAGTAACTCTTGCGCCAAGTGTGAACATGCACCACCACCTCAGATTAAAGTATGAAAGAATGCACTCTTTCTCACGGAATATGTAATGTAAGAGCCACAACGACCCAACACATCATTAATGTACCTCTGTGTGTGTATTTCTCATCATCCCGTCTCCGTCTCACACTCCCTGCACTCTCCGGGATTTTTATTAACCAACCGACATATTTTGCTCCTCTGCTGCCCTCACTCTTTACGCTAACGCCGGACCACCCAACCCCCCTCCCCTTTGTATTCCATCTCGAAACTGCATATCATTCAAGTAACCTTTTGTTTTTTTTAAGTACCCAAGAGTTTTTTCCCACCAATTTTTACTATTAGAACTAATTATTAGAACCAATATATACTTGAAGTGAAATACTTCCATTTAATCTAAAAGAATATTGCTGTGAAAGTATATACAGGTACTTTTCAAAACCAATAAGCGTGTTGGTTAATGGTGAGCCGATCCTCAAATCTCCAATAAAAATGAAAACACAAATTCAGATTTCCTTGGAAAAAAGTGTCATTTAACTGAAAGGACAAAATAATCTTTACGTTCTAACTCAGTTTATCTGCGGAATTAAACATTTTGGTTGTAAAAAAACACAAAAAAACACTTTTGATTTTTTGGTTTGAAAAAAAAAAAAAAAAACACTTTGATGCTGACCCATTATCAAAGTCTAAGTATGCAAGTTTAAGCAGCTAACCATAATAGCTATGAGAAGAAAGAAAAAGAAGACATCTCTTAAGGGGTTATTTGAGTCTAGAACTCAACTATATAACTATTGTACAGACGTCATTACGCATTCTAGAATATTTATTATTTGGTGTGCACTCTTAGAATACTTATAAATAGAGAGCGACTCCATTGTAAATACTACGCACATTGATCTTTAAATTTTAAAGTCACTCTCTATACCTTGTGCTTCTCTTTTCTTTTTCCAACTCGCTAATTTCTTATATTTTTCTCACGTGCCTTTCATCTTTTTATATTTTTCCTCATCTTGAATTCTTTTTATTTTCATCCACTTATTTTTGGACTAAATATGTTTCAACTCGTTTGTTCAAATATTCCAAGACACTCTTGATAGACGCAAATCCAATGAACGCATTATAATTTTGAACCGAACATTTCATATTTATATAAACACCAACCTTTGCAAAATAGTTATTATTAGGGAAAATTACTTGTATTAATAATAATAAAAAAAAAAAAAAAAAAAAAAAACCTTACTTGTATAAAATCAAAAAAAAAAAAAAAAAAAAAAAAACCTTTTAAAAAAAAAAAAAAAAAAAAAAAACCTTTGAAATATGAGATTGGAAGAGAGGCTGAATGGAGGTGAAACCTATTCAATCCAAGTCATTTGAGCAGTGTAACATCAAAGTGTACTATAGAAAGACCTTTAATAGATGTATTGACTGATAAGATACAGAAAAGGACAATTGAGAGAAGTAGGGAATGACTATGTGTTTGGTAAAGCTACCTCTTTAGCAGGTAACTAATGGGTCAAATTCATGTTAAATCAGATTCAATGCCTCTTTTTCTTTATCTCTACCATCATAAATCCAACTACCCAAGTAGAATTTTTTTTTTTTTCTTTTTAAAGATATACATTAATCATATTATTATAGTTAATTAGAGGATAAAAATAAATGGATGAGTAATTAGGTTAATTTTTTAGTTATCCAAATTTATTTTCTGTTGATTAATTTTAATTTTAGTTATAAAAAATAAAATTATTATTTAAGCTTTGGAAAATATTGAAAATTTATTATTAATTTATGTTATTGATTGACTAATAATTGGGTGTTGAATCATATGTGAGGTTGAAATAGGGTAGGTTTAAACTCTCCATTATCATCCTCGACCGACAGATAGCCATAAAAGAAAAAAGAAAAGGAAATAAGGAACAGAAAAGGAGGAAAGGGTAGCTAGAATATCATTCTCACCTGCCTTTGCATTATCATTTATGAAACCATATTGGCCAAATGAACCACATGCTTCTAAAATTGGGTATCAAATAATGAATTCTCTGGCCTCTGCTGTTTATGTAACATTGGTTTGGTTTCTACATTTACTCACCAAATGCGTACCTCAACATCACAGTCCCCCCCAAAAGTGATGTACCATTATGTTCTTTGCTAGCTCCTATTCTGAATTGAAATTTCCAATTTTGGTTCGTAATTCGAAATATTTAAATAGATAGGATGATTAGATCAATAAAAAAAGAAGTTGAAAATTGATTGAATCGGACTAATAATTTTACTTTTAATATCAAGAATCAGTACCATGCTTAATCTTTTTTTTTTTAATTTATTTATCATGCAATTCATAATCTTACAATGGATATGGATCCAATGAGGGTATTTGTCTTGTGGTCCTTGACCTATAACTAGGAAAACAATGGAAGCAACTCCCCAATGGGAAATTTGACCATTCAGGATGATAATGATGAGGTGAAACCTTTAAACTTCTCTCAATAAAGAAAATATAACAAGAAGGAAGAGTAAAGACTGAAGAGAAGAGACATTGTCTGTAAAAAGCATGAAAAATTGTATACATTATGTTTCATACACAAAAAAAGCAGCCAAGGAAGAGAAAGGAAGATAGAAGAAGAAGCAATCACATGGGTTTGGAGAACCTTTTTCCCCCTTTTTTTTTTTTTATCCCCTCATGCCTTTGCTGTAATGATGTTTCGTACGCACAAGTTTTTGCCTTCCAAATGCATAAATTTATTTATATATTTTACAAAAAAATATCTTATACCATATCAAACTTTATGAATAATATGACTATTGTGCCGGAAGTTATGAATTTTGATAACATTTCGTCGCTCTACGTACTAGCAATAACAATTTTTTAGATTATTTTTTAGTTATTAAGTTCCGAACTGAATTAACCGGTCTTTGATAATAAGATCCGAATACCGGCGATTTACACAAAAAGAAATATATATAAGATCCGAATACCGGCGATTTACACAAAAAGAAATATATATATAAAGTATAATATAATATAATAATATAAATATAATATATATAATTGTATAAACTTTTCAAAATTGTATAAAACTTTTCATAAAAAATTAAAATTATATATTTACTAATATTTAAATTTAAACAGAAGTTTTAAAATAATTATTCATGTAAATAACTATGCTATTCCCTTATTATTCTATGCAGAGTGAAAAGGGGGTTTTCAATATTTAATTTAAGGATAACAATAAAGATGATACCCCACAAGAAAAGTCATCTTGTCCCGCAAGGAGTCAGAGTCAAGAAAGGGGAAAAGAAGATGCTGCGAAGCACCATAGAAAGAGATGACAGTTATTTAGAGATAGAACCATAAAGGTACTAACATAACATAACTAAAGCATTAAAAAAATTTTCAACAATAAACAGACCCCACCATTTCTAATTAATTGATTAATAATATCCATATTAAAAAATTATTAAAGTTGCTCACTTCTCGTATAGCAAGAAGTCAAAGATTCAAATTCTGCAAGTTTCCTCACTTTGGCAGAGCATTCTTCTCATGCATCCTCCAACCATTATTTTTCCAAGATGCTGTTTCCATTACATTAAACTTTACATATCTAACAAATAAAGGCACAACCAAGAATAAACAAAAGGAAAAAAAGAAGGGTTCAGACATGTAAGAGAGAGAGAGAGAGAGAGATGAGGAAAGATTTCTGATATCTATATTCATAAGTTTTCAATATTTGATCAACAAATTATCCTGTTTACATCCTTTTTCCACCAGCAGCAATGATCAAATGCCACAACAATCAGATACATATCATCAAGCCTGCATAATTTTGTAATTGCAGCTAAAAAACTAACCCATATTGTTAACCTGTATTTTTTCATCAGATTCAGAAAATTTCCATTTTCTTCAAAACCCAAAAACAACTTTTACATCAAGTAAGAAATCACACAAAAGAGTAAGGAACCCACAAACAGAAAATTGAACAAACTAGACATCAGCGATAAACTCATGTTAAAATTAGCAGCTTCCCTTTCTGCCGCTGTTGCTATATGCATTGACACAAAAGCATTAGTACTATAAAAAGGTTAATGGTTCTGCTGTGTTAGAGCTTCACCACCTTCCTCAAGGCATGGAAGGTAAACTAAAAATTGACCTCCATTTGCTCATCCCTAACCGGAAAACTGAGCTCCAACTCCCTAGTTGGATTCTGTATTGAGAGTATAAAGATTCATTCAGGCCTAGTTTAAACCTGTGAATGATCATGCTCTATTTACAGAGATTAACAGAGGCATATCTCAAAGTCCAAAAAAATGACTTCAAGTGCTACTTAGCAATTTCTAATGGGTTAGCCAAATTAAAACTAGCTAATGCTATAAACAGTTCCCCTAATTTAATCCTACCATTTGTTAGACCTCCATCTTCCATATCATGTTATTCGCGCTGCTATCATGTTGTTTTTCTAGTGCTGCAACTTTTGCCCGATGAGCTGCAAGGGCAATTGCACTTTTTCCTCTTTCATCTTGAGGGAGATCACAAGCTTCGCTCATGGACGCCGATCTTAAGTCTGCCGGGGGTATAAAACAGTCTAATGAAAGGCCTGGAACATTGAAAGCAACCTCTTCAATATTCCAAGCTTCCTCCATCTTTGTCTTGGTATGGCTCATTGCTACCTCACCAAACCTGTAAAGGGTCACCACAGACCGACCTGAGTGAGCGATCATTATCCCTTCAACAGGTCTGTAATCCTCAAGGAATGAATTGATTGTAGTTTCCCAGTAAACTGCATCACCACCATTAGATTGTATGCGGGTCAGATGTGAATCCTCCATATGAACAAGAAGACCAGTCTTTTGGCTGAAGTAGCCAAACAGAACATGCCTTATGATCTCTGCCGGGCCTTCACTCCTAGCCTGAAGCGTTTGAGGATCAGCACATAGCTTTAGTATAAAGCAATCCTCACCATTGATATTCTTCTCCCCTATGCACCTTGCATCAGCAAACATACTAGCTGTGGTTCTTGGATCAAGACCCTGAAATAGCAAAAGCAAGTCCATTAAAAAAAATAATAATAAAAAAAAAAGTAAACAGCCAACATAAAATCAGTACATAAATGCAGCAGTCAATAAAGGAGAAATACACAAAACTTCACCTGAAGGGCACGTCGCAAGGGTCTAACTGGCCCTTTTGCTGTGTGGGCACCAAGCCATGGTGTGTGCCTCCAAACAAGCTTGCCATTGCAGCCGGCATGAACCTTACTACCCCCAACAGCAAGCTCAACATACCACATGTCAGGATTCATCTGCCAAAGCACAAAGCCACCTGATTCAGCACTCCTAGAACCATTCCGGTTCTTCACTACTCTCGTGGGTGTTTCGAATTCCGAAGCTATCATTTTGACCTTTCCCATTGCATATGCATTTCTAATAGAGTTCTGCAGCTTCTGCCCACCAGAGGCTGCTGTGTATTGCTGCAATATGTACTGAGCAGAGGAAGTTTCCTGCAATAATACATCTTTTAGAAGACAAACATTTTTAGTGGTTCAATTTTTTACTGAATTTTAAGCAGTTTCTTTCCCCTCTTACAGAACAGCAAAATGAGATTTTCTGTCCACATTTGTAGAAAAGCCAAAGATCAATTCTGCCAGCTTGCAACAACCCATTTCAAACAATTAAGCAAATATCAATTGTTTTTATTCTGAGAACTTCTGATCCAATTTTCAGCAGAGAAAAATAAATCAGAACATAAAAATCAAATTTCTCAATAATTTGGTGAAGAATTGACCATATATTTCTTGCATTTTTATTCTATTTTCTCACCAACCAAAGAGAAAATAACAAAATAAAAGACAAAAGTAAATAATCCCATGGATCTAAGATTCTTTAGACATAATGATTCTTAGGCGTCCAATGACAACTGCCAAATCACATTTTTTTAATAAACCCAGCAAAAAGTTGAAAAATCTAATTTACCAAAAGTATCAAACAAAAAAAAAACACTCCACAAAACTACTACTTCTGGTAAATCAAATACAACCCAAACTCTCAAAATAAATTGATGTATGCAAGTAAAACATTGTTAGGGCGAAAAATCAATGAAAATAAGGTAAAAAGAAAAGCAGTTTCCAAAAATTTAACCAAAGCCATTTTTCCTTCTTTAGTTAAACCCTAGAAAATCTCCACAATTTCAAAGAAACCAAATGCATTGGAAGAGGAAGAAACCAAAAGAATTGGGAAGATGGAGAGAGAGAGAGAGAGAGAGAGAGAGAGAGTTACAATGGGAGTGTCTTTGATACTGAGATGAGGCAAAGGGTCCATGGTGCTAACGTGCAAAGGAGCTAACGGTGCACCCATCACTCCAAGAAGCAACCTTAGATCAGACCTTCTATAAGCCAAACTAGAAACCGATGGAGTCCTCGTTAACTGACCTTTCATCCAGTTGCCAAGACCCGACCCGACCCGCTTCGATTCTCCTTCTCCTCCTCCATCAGGATCCGGACCCTCGATCAACGGCGTTAAAGTCTCACCGACCGCCGGCCTCAAGCTCCCCGATCTCATAGACAAAAGCTCCGGTTGCGCGGCGTAGGGATTACAATGACTGTTGCTACTGTTTTTCTTTCGCCGTAGCAGAACCGATATTGGCGAAGCGGTTCGGGCAGGGCTGTTGGAGCGAGAACGAGAAGGGGAAAGGCCGCGAACGACTTCTTCTTTGAGAGCAGCAAAGAAGCTTTGCTTTTTTTCCATTTCTTGGTATATGAAAATGGAAAAATAAAGAAAAAAATATTATGAAAATGGAGTTAAGGTTTTTCCTTCTAGTGACTAATTAATGGGTTTAGAGAATGTGAAAAGGTAAGGGAACAGAGTCGTTAATGGCGATGTGAGGTTTCTTCATAGAGAAAGAGAAATGGGTTTTGAATAGGACTGTGTTAAAAGAGTGTTGAGTGAGCTTTTTGAGCGAGAGAGAGAGTGAGAGAGAGAGCAGCGTCCTTCGAGGACGAAATGGAAAGGTCGTAATATAGAGTGGGGAAGGCAGAGAGAGAAAGAGAGAGAGAATATATTTTGCATATATATTCTCTTATTGCTTTTTAAATGTAACGTGTTTTTTTCCAGTCAATTTAATTAAGTTTGCTTAAATTAAATTTAATATATTTCTATTATTACCATTTTTTTAAAATTTCAAATGAATTTTTATTTACTATCATTCAGGTGGTGGTCTTGAGTTTGAGTCCTCACAGTCAAAGTTGTTTTCACCAATTTAGTAAGTCAAGAGATTGTATAACCTACAATATTATTTTGGCTCGTAAAAGTCTCCAATAAATTAAAAAAAATATTTATTTGTTGCATGATAAATAAGGTGTCACAGGTTTTCATTTTAAGTTTTTTAATTTTTTTTTTCTTCAAAAACAAAAAACACATTTGTTTAAAACTATTTAATTTTTTTCCTCATGAATTTTAAGGGGCCGGCCATAAATAGTGAATTCAAAATTTTAAACTTAAAAATATAAATAATATTAGATTAATTGTAAATATTTGATATTGGATTTATCTAAAAAATCAAATTAATATAATTATCCATTTTAGTTAATTAATTTAATCAATATCATTTAAGTAAAACAATCAAATTAATATGATTCTACAATTTATTTAACTAATTTAATAATAAAATTAATGTGATTATCCATTTTAAATAATTTAATTAAGATAATAAAAATAATATGATTATCTAATTTAATTTATTTTTTATTTAATATTATTTATTTAAAAATTAATAATTATGACTAATAAAATAATAAATATTTTAAAGATATTTGACAATTAATAGTAATATTAATATTAATATTAATTAATAATCACAAAAACTCACATATTGACTTGAAGAATTCTATTAATATTATAATTTTATTTGAAAATTTGAAATTTAACAAAATTTAATTTACCTATCTATAATAATAACAACATATATACATAACATGGATAGATGTACTAAGGAGGAAAATGTGAGATTTCCCAAACTATGCTTAAATTAAATAATTTACATTTTAAAAGATAATATCAAAGTATAAATTAAATTAAATAAAAAATAACTTAGACTTTAATATCATTATAGTATTTAAATATGACTCTAATATATCTTTTCTACATATTTACTTATAGTTTCTATATATATATATATATATATATATTAAATATGACTCTAATAATCTTTTCTACATATTTACTTATAGTTTCCTATATATATATTATATATAAATATATTTCTCTTAATATGTATAATCAATTTCTAATCGATCTTATATTAAATTTAATTAATTAATAAATTTAAGCATCTTAATAAATTGCTAATTATTTTAAATCAATATAATTTTCTTTATTTAATAATTAATTAGATTATTGATATTCATAGCAAGTGGTAATTTTCTTCTTTGAGATTTAATTTTCTTTTTTTTGGATAATAGTTAGTTGTATTATAAGTGAAGTTTGTATAATATTATATTTAGTTTGCATTAAATATTAAATTATATATAGTATTAATTATAATGCTAATATAAACTATAATTTTTTATATTTAATATACAATAATAATATAAAGATAAATAATAACATTTAATATTGATTACATATTTCCCTTATAAGAATTTCGTACAAGATTATTTATTAGAAAAATAATATAAATAATATATATAGAAGAATAAAAAATTCATTTAAAATGAATTAAAAGTTTTAAATGTTAAATTATAAATTTTAGAATAATATTAAAATAGAAACTTTATCAATATCAATTTCTTAATCCATAACCTAATTATCGTATAATCTAAAAATAAAGTTATCTATAAATTTTATAATATAGTTATATAATGCCTTATATATATATATATAATATATAATATATAAGTAATAATATATATCTTAGATAGATATGGTATTTACTAACTATTTAATACTTAGGTTTAGAATATATTTTCAAAATAAATTTATTTTCAACATATTAATATTTAATATATTTAAAAAATATTATTGTTAGATTAACTAATTGGATATATAAAGATAACAAAGCAGATTAATTATTAATAATTATTTTATTAGTTATTTTCATTTTTAGTTATTAAGAATTTCATAATCAATGCAAATATGAAAAAAAAGAAAAAAGAAAAATAATCAATGGCTGGATTATTCAAAATTGCATTAGAAAAAAATGAGAGTAAGAGAAGTATATATAATAAATATGGTATATATACATTTATATTGAATTGCAAATAAATAAATTAGACTAACTAAATAGGGTTTCTAATAAAGATGAAAGAAGATAATCACATAAAAAATACAGAGAAAACAGTTTTAATAGGAAAATTTGATGTTATATATATATATAGTAACATATGTGTATTTAATGTAAAATTATTCATTTTATTAATTTAGAAAATATAATATAAATTAGTAATGTATTTATTTTAATCTTAATACAAAATCGTAGTTTAACATTATAAAATCATCTAGATAATATAAGAGAAGGTCACGATCAACACTTTATTATATAAAAAATCAAATATAAACAACAAACAATGGCAACCTGCAATGCGTGCCGTAAAGAAACTAGTTTACACCTTAATTTTATCTCTACTAAAATTTACTATTTTTTTCTGACTCTTATCTATTTATATAAATTGAGTATCATTTATTTATTTATTTACTTAGTAGTATGTCTGTGCTCTGCACAATAAATATATTTATTCTGTAATATTAGAAATATTGTCTAATAATATTTTGAAATATATATTTTGGAAATATATAATTTTTAACTTTAAGAAAAAATTTTATATTTAAAATTATTTACTTAAATTTTCATATTTGTTTAATTTTCTTTAAACTTGGTTTAAATTAGAATAAACATCTATTCAAATTTCAAAATACTTAAATTAATTATATAAAATTTAAATATTCTTATAATAAAATTGAAAATGAAAAGGAAAAATAGTATTCAAATCCACTTCATTGATTTATTAAAATTTTTCTCTAGTATTGATATAAAAACTAAATTAAATAAAAAATTAATAAAATGCGATAATAGAAATTTCAATAAAAGCCTATATATATCATTTTCTTAATGATTAACTTTTAATATAACCATTCTATAGTTCTATCAAACGAATATAGAGAGAACGAAGAAAAAATATATCAAATGTTTGAAAAGAAATTATATAATGACATTATTTAAATATAAATAAAAAATTGAGGTTTACCAAACAACTCCAAAAGAGCCGCTCTCTATCTGTATAGTGAGTAGTACTGCAATTTAATTGTGTGTTGCAATTCAATATATTATCCATTTCAAAATCTAACAAAGGACGGACCATGTACCTGTAATTTTTAAACAAATAAATATCGAACAACGTTTGCATAATATTCATTGTTAAAGTAAACTACTTTAATAAACTATTTTCACGATAACTTTTTTTATCATTTTCTTTTCAATATAAAAATTTTACTTCTAATAAATTAAATGACATTTATTGATATTCAATATTCAATATTATAATAATATTAATTTAAAAGATAAGTTATTAAAAACATTATTAATATGATTAATGCAAACATAAATAATTCATTGACAAATTTTGTAATTAAAATATTAGGGTTATAATATTATAATTAATTTTAATTAGGTTAATACACACACAAGCACACACATATATATATAATTATACTTTATTATATATATATATATATATATATGAAGCAAAAACACGTGAGTTGACACTCTAATCTTTGAGAATTCTATTTTATATTTTTTTAGAAATTTTTGAATTTTTTTCTTTATTTTTCTATATTTTGATTGGATGGTTATATTTATTTAATTTTAAAATTAACATTTAGATAATAACAATATTTTTTTTGAAAAATATAATTCATTAATAATAAACTCAAGTATTACAAATACTTAATGAGACCAAAAATAGAACTTACTATCATAATAAATAGAAAGTTTGTTGATCATTCAACTATAAAATAATTATTTATATTCTTTTGAATAATAAAATTAAAACTAAAAGAAATAATATTGGATTTTTCCACTTGAAGATAACTTGACCGATATAAATCTCTATAGTAGTAACTGGTCTTTTAATTGATTTAGACAACAAAATAACTTCTTCGGCTCTTTTATGCTTAGATAGCTTTTCCAAAAACTTGCTGCGTATGACGTACATGGATGAGTTCAAGCCACTATGCGTTGATAGCATCAACGGAGGAATAGACCGCACTACCAAGCTCTATTAATCGAAGATACACATCAGTAAAACAAGATCTAAATTTGCCGACTAAATAAAATTAAATATCATACCTTTTAAGAATAAAACTTTATAAAGAATGAAGTAAACCCTCATGAAAGAAGGAAGAAAAGAACTCCAAATATGGAGATAAAGCAACAATAACAAAAAATAAATAAAATAAAGAAGAAATAGATCTGAGTTTATTAAAAATGAATAAAAAATTAACAATATATCTTGAAATCTAACCTAATTTAACAACTATTTTATTTTATTTGGTATTTGATTTTCTTTCTGAGTTTATTAAAAATGAATAAAAAATTAACAATATATCTTGAAATCTAACCTAATTTAACAACTATTTTATTTTATTTGGTATTTGATTTTCATTTTCTAAAATTTAAAATTTTTTAAAAATAATTTGGCTTTTGAAAATTTTTAATTGGAATTTTTGGGTTTTTTTTCTTTCTTTTTATATGTTTTGATTGGATAGTTATATTTTTGTAATTTTAAAATTACTATTTACATAATAGCAATATATTTTGAAATCTAATCTAATTTAAAAACTATTCTTTTTTATTTGGTATTTGGTTTTATTTTTTTCAAAATTTAAAATTTTTCAAAGATAATTTGGCTTTTCAAAATTTTTAATTTTGTACCTATATATGTATCTATATTAGTTATTGGCTTAAATGAACAAGATGATTATTTTTTTACATAAAATATATAGTTAGTTTGTTTTTAATTGTATACCTA